CCGATTGCCGATGGTCAGTGGACGATGGATACCCATCAACGAGGGTTTACGTATGTACGGTCTTGAGAACTTAATGATAAATCATGAAAAATATGAGATACAATATCAAGAATATGATTTGGATTATCCATTATCTCTGTGCACAGACGGTAGTAGATACTGAGTATTGGGGAAGATCGTTGCTCTTTCCAAGTTGATGGTGCCGGCCAGACTGCTAACCTCTATATATGTGACTTCGGCGCCCGACGCTCACTTTATCAGTCATCATCATCAGAAGACGCCAGATACATGTACAATTAGGCAGACAGCGACAGCGGTCTCCGAACGAAGTACTCGGATAGCTTTGCATGCTTCACTGAACAAGACAATCACAAATTTTCGAGGGGAAACCCACTAAGCAAAGAGATACTTGGCCGCATGCTCGACATGGTCATCCGAGAACGTCGCCATGGTATAGTAACTATGGTCGTAATCAGGCTGGTAGCGGATATTGACGCCCTCGACGCCAGCCTCCTTGGCAGCCTTCTCGAAGTTCTCCGGGAGAAGCTGGCCCTGCTTGTAGAAGTTGTCGCCGGTACCCTGTGGCATTCTGTCAGTTTTTTTTTCTTCCCAAAGTGAAACAGCGAAGCAAGAAGACGAACCACGTCAATGAGAACATCCAACCGCCCCTTCCACTTCTTCACCAGCTCGGTGGCATCGTGCTCCGCCCATTTCGCTTTCTGGTCTTCGCCGAAGTAGCCCGCGAACGCTTTCTGGCCCCAGGGGCAGTTGATGGGGTTTGCGATGGGCGCAAAGGCAGAGACGGATTTGTATTTGCCGGGGTTACGGAGGAACTGTCACGCGGCACTTTGTCAGTCCAGCTACTCTCGAATTCGCTCTGAACAGGACGTACCAGCGTCAGCGCACCATGTCCACCCATACTGTGTCCCGTGATGCTGACCCTACTCGAATCGAGCTGCGGAAACGCCGCAAAGACCGTCTTGGGGAGTTCCTCGGTGACATAGGTGTACATGTTGTACCCGTTATTGTAGGGGGCTTTTGTCGCGTCGACGTAGAAGCCGGCGCCCGTGCCGAAGTCCCATGAGTCATTCTCGCCTTCAATGTTCAGACCGCCTGTTCTCGGAGCATTTCATCAGAATGTGTGCTATAACTTATCATTGACCGGGGGCGGGGGTGGGCTGTAACGTACGAGGGCTGGTGTCTGGGTAGAGCACCGCAATGCCTTTCTTGCTGGCGCCGTGCTGGAAGAAGCCCTTCTCGGAGCAATTGTCGGCTGTGCAGGTGAGGCCGGACAGGTAGATGAGGACGGGGATCTTCTGGGAGGAGTTCTGGAAGGCCTGGGGGGGCAGGTAGAGGTTGAAGTTCATCTCGCATTTTGTGGAGGTGGCGGCATGGCTCAGCTTCAGTAGCTTGCCGCCAAAGGAGGCGATTGTGGCTTTTGTGGTGACGGACATGATTGTGTGATCTTGTTCTCGGACAGAGTGTCAAGCTGCAAGGTCGTAGTGGAATGACGAGATGGAGCGGATGGTTTTTGTGACGGAGGGTGGGGGAGGGGAATGAGGGGAACCGTGAGGGGCAGTATTGAAATATAATACCACTAGGCCAAAAAGGTGTCCAGTCTAGGGTGCAACAACATCATCTTCCTGTCTTCTCCCCACCACCTCCTCAACGTCAGATGGAGATACTCTATGTAGAGAGGTACTAACTACCAGAGTAGCTTCCTCCAATCAATGGTCTGATCACCTCTTAGCAGAAATAAATACCGAGTCCCCTGTGGATCCTGCATTCCGGAAAACATTGCCCTTTATGGACATGAACTTACATCCAGGATAAGATGTGAGAACTCTATCACTGAGCAGAGATCGTTACCTGGGCGTTACTCTGCATCATCTGCATATCAATTCCCTAGATGAATAGATGGATGGTAAGAGATTACTAAGTAAATATACTGAAGGTGCAGACTAACCTCAGCCCACACAACGGACCCTTGAGGTTCAGTGATGAGCTCTTTATCCATGACCTTCCCGTCGCAGAGCCAGATTGTATGACCGGGTCTAAGAGGCCAAGCTCCTCACTTTGATACATCTGTATGAGGGCCAAAAAGTTTGACTTTTTGGCGTTGCTGGTCAGGATCGTTCAGGACTTCTAACATCCACCTTGCGGAGAAAGATCGTTCCGTCGTATGTGATTATGAAAGCATGCTTATTGTGGCACTTGATGCAGAGCTGCATTCCTTAATGCTCATTAAGATCGAGTCCTTGATCGATAGCCCGGAATGATGGCAGTACTGTGGTGGAAATAAAGTCCATTCTCACCCCGCAAGCCCGGCCAATCTTGCAGTTGGCACACGCCGGTTGTTGCATTAGGCAAAGTAGCTATTTGAGTGCCTCTCCTCTGAAGCCTGTGTCCAGATCCTGGCTAGTCTTGACGATTTGTCATGTTCTGCAATCCGGTGAAGATTAGCTGAAGCTACTGAAGAACGTTAGAAAGTTTCGTTTCTTCGTCAATGACGATCTCCAGTCCCCCATGCAAAGGGCATGTCGGGAAGGAAAACCCGATAGCAGATGGGCCAATGCCCCCGCTGGTTTATCTTGTTCATGTATTGCGGTGCTACCACTGTTGTATGTGTCTGATTGGTGTATGGCAGGCGATCATAATCGTCACCACTGTGACGTCTTGATCGGCGTGTGCGAGACCTCTGTCTCGGAGAACGACGCCGAGAGCTTCTTGACCGACCATTTTGGGTGCGGAACTGGGCAAGTATAGCTAACTGTGGCGAGCCTTAGCCGCACCGGTCGACTGAGCAAAGCACAATACAATGGTACTTCGTATCTGCCGGAGAATAGCCCAAGCAGCTGTCGGATCTTCATCTTATTGGCTTTCTTCTTTTCGATTGCCTTTTGCTCCTTCTGGCGCAGGGCACTGGGTTGGTCATCACCATTCGGTACTTCCATTCGGAAGCACTCCCCGTTGTTGACAGTCACTTGCTGCTATACATCCGGAGATATTGACTTGTAGCCATCGTTGCCATGAGCCGGCTGTGGCAACATGTTAGCTTTCATTCAGAGGAAAAGTGCCTAAAGGTATACTCACCAGATGATGATGGCTATGATAGTGATGGAAGACCACTGAATCATTCAGGGCTTCATGAGCGACAGAGTCCAACCGGCTGGGCACAGTAATGGCAACTTGCCTACTCGGAAACCGAATCTTCACAGGGTTTGCCTGGAAGAGTCTGGCTTGGAGGTGACTGTTGCCCCTCAGGAAGGCACTTTCTAGTCAGTTCCTCGGCGTCTCGACGTAGTCCCACAAGTATCTCAGAAATGAAAAATCAGCGCCCTTTAACTAGTTATTAACTAGTCGGCTAACTTGTTCGATATCTCCCTGGTACGCAAGGAACCATGAGCAAGACCAGCCTGGTCAAATCGCAGTGTATATTTGCCCGGCCGCCCCCATTATGTTCCATTTGTTGCAGTGATGTCTGGTTTTGCGGGGAGTTCTCGACGGCATTGGCTTCGATTCGATAGTCTCATTATCGGCAAGGGGCCAGTCGAGGACGGGGTCACCTTCTTCGGTCGCTGCAAGTAATCCTCCCTTTTTCAAAAACCGGTCTATCCTGGTTAGTTTGCGCAAAGACGAAAGGGAAGGAAGTTCGTACGTATCAAAACGCGGATCCCATCCGCGATTTTTATCGATACAATATGAACAGGAAGCGGCTTTGTTGTTCCACACACAATTTGCGCACGCCGGCAAAGAAAGCTCGATCTTGGCGGTTCACTGTATACTCTGGTGCAGCTACACAACGACGAAAGGTGCCCGCGCCGTGTGCGCAGGACTTGCACGTCTCGCGGTACTCAAGACCACGACGACGTTTGGTTTGCGAGTGGCAGGAATTGGTTTCTGTATATAGTCCTAGCCAGGAACCATGGAAAGTTGCTTGTCAGGTCGTCGAGATCAATCACATCATCTAGGACCTACTATCTCCTCCTCGACCATGGCAAAATTCCGACTCATGTTCGCACCCTCCCCTCAGCGTAGTAGCTTGCCAGGACAAAGGGGGTCATTCGTAGCGCGGCCGTTTTCGACAGGAGTAACCATGCGAAATGCTTGTTTAGCCAGGTAGCTCCGCTATAGAGCTGCTGCATGAATTGGACAATGTGCTTTGGCTTGGGGTTAAGCAAAGCTTTCACGGACTCCAAAGCCAATAATGGTTTTGGAAGAGGCAGAAACAGAGCCTTGTGGCAGATGCGGAGATGGGACTGGCATTTCATCATGGCAGCAAGATATCAATCATGTCCACTGTTCTCCTGCAGCCTTTATAAAGGCGGCCGCCATTGAGTGATTCCATATTGTTTTGTATACCGGGCCACGTGTGGCATTTAGACCAGAATGTTTTTGCGAGAGGCTTCGAAAGAGAACGCTGGATAAAATTTCCCCAGCCGAACAATATGGCTAATGGTGGTGAATGAGTGACAGTGTGAGAGCAAGATCCTCTGGTGGCGAGAAGTTGAAAGTTATATACGAGATGTCGACATACAATAGTCAGGAAGAATCGCAGTGAATAGCTTACTCTATTACTTGGAATAAGTAAATGCAGCAGCTTTCGATGAGTATATTGCTGAGATTCACATGAAGCAGCCAGGGAGAGTGAATACTCAAGACCAGAAGCAGTGGGAAGAGATGCGGGAGTATAATTGAAGTGATATATAGTCTATAGCATTAGGAAAGACGGAAGAGTCTGCAGGGAAGAAGCCTGCTTAAATAATATTTTAGAACAAAGGGCCTAACCCAGTGTCTGGTTATATCTCCATAGCTATTTGTTTGCATTGACTTTCATTATAAAGAGTGTTTGCCACTACAAAAGGAAGGTAAGGCAGTCCTTTATACAAGACCAAAAGCAAGGCTGCTCTATCGACAGGTCAGATCCTAACCCTCAAACTGAGACACGCAAAGTTACACACCTCGATTATTCCTGATTCTTCACAACGCCCTCCAAAACAATGTCCACAGGAAATTTGGGGATTCACTGGTGTTCCACCCGTTCCATCTTCATGTCTGGCACAGCATATCCCCCCTGACTTGAAACTAGACCAATATTAGGTGAGCAAGATACCACGACGAAGTTCAGGTGCATGTCTTACCACTTGCGCGGGGGCTTCTCTCCCAAGTTTCTGCCCGTGCATCTATCACTGCCCTGCCGCTTGCCACTGCAACCGGCACGGGCTTCAAGTATATTCGGTCCATCGACGGATGCGCTCTGGGTACCGGTGATGGAAAGGATGCCGCAAAAGCCGTAATAGAAAGATATATCGCACGCTGTCTCTTCCGTAAGTTGTCGCGGGAGATATCTAAAGAACACTGCAACGGTCCTTTCCGGCTCTACTGCGATGACCTTCGTCCCGACAACATCCTGGCGGATTCAGATCTTGTCGTCACGCGGGTTCTTGACTGGGAGTTTGCCTATGCTGCCCCTGTTGAGTTCACGTATGCTGCTCCTTGGTGGCTCCTGTTAGAGCGCCCAGCGGATTGGGAGCCTGACCTGGACGAGTTCTTGGTGCGCTTGGTGCCAAGATTCTGTTCTTTCCTTGATGTGCTCAGAGACTGTGGAACAAGGATGATTGAGTGTGGTTCTTTGTCAGAATCCCAGCGGCTATTAATCTCCATGGAGAAGTTATTTGACTTAGGGCTGTTTTGGATCTGTCTTGCTTCACGGCACAGCTATATGTTTGATGAAATTTATTAGAAGTACATTGATCAAATGTTTTCGGTCCATTGACAACAATTGAAGATCGACTTCATCTGCTAACCGCAGAAGAGCAGGACCGTGTAGATATTGTCGTGCCGGAGAAAATGAAGGTGAGTGAGGGCAAGTTAGATTCTCATTATAGCATTGATGAACTAGTTTGAACTATAAGAATTTCATCACTCGGGTCTATATTCAGCATCTATTTAATTATAGACCACATTTGGTGAGAAACTAACATCAAAGGTGCTATGGTCTAGGGGTAGGACGCCACGTTGTGGCCGTGTCAGCCCCGGTTCGATTCCGGGTAGCGCCAATATCTTTTTCCTTTTTCAAAATCCGTGCTTCATACGGAGTACTACCTATATTAATCTTTTTACGAACAGGACTTCATGTCAAGGATCAGACCAGCTACATCGTTCTCGCTTGGACTCTACTGGTGCAATGTTACAGTCCAAATCCCAACAAGGCGGAAAAATAGAAATCGCAAAGTGCAGAGGAGTCAAGGAATCTAAGACCCATAGCTATATCAATGCGGATGATAACGCCCGTGGGTTTTCCACAATTATCAATGAGAGTATATTAGATACGATAGATAAGAGCTATATTTTGCAATGCATAGGGAGAAGCAAGGATCCATAAGGTGATGGCTGGCATTGGATATACGCTGATTCTCAGGGAGACTGTTGGTGATACTGAGGAAGAGAGTGGAGGAGAAAAGGATATTCCATTTTTTTGACTCTAAGGGAGAAAAGTGGATCGTTAAATCCTTGGATGGAAATAATAAGCGTTTACTGTTTCACTAGGAACAGGCATTATATGAGACTTAATAATGTCAAAGAACGGATAGAATGTTTTCGTCCTAGTTCTTACTGCATCCGTCATGTAACATTGGCTGTATATAATTGCTGTTGGCTACTGGAAGTACCCAGTATCCCACTTGAGTCCATGTTGCTTGTCTTCAATATAACAATGGCTTTAACTCGGATCTACTGACCCAGTCCTCATAAAGGTGCTTGTTTAGAAGCCATCACAGGGAACCCTCCTGAGCAGTAATCAATATTCAATAATGAAAGGACGCCTTATAGGAGCTTACCAAAGTCAATACAAACATAGCGGGTTGAGAAGCTAAATGCCGCACTCAGATTCCTAAGAATTCTGGGCGCAACTATTCTCATCTCTCAACTGCGGCGCAGGACCCTAACCAAGACTAGGCAAGGTTAACAAGACTAGCTATCTCCGAGTTTATACTAGCTTGCATGGTTTCCTACCTTGGACCAATCAAACTTCAGCGTGATTCACCAATGCTCTCTTGATGTAATTGAATATGGCGACGTGTGTTGAACTAATGGACAGGGATCTCAGTGTCAAGATAAGCCTGAGGAGAAATGAATTCACCCCCTTTTCCCCCCCGGTCTCTGAGTGAAAATTTTGTCTCTTTAGGGTCTGTCCTGCCCACTGCAACGTGCTCAAATAGGGAGCATCCTGGTATAGATAACAATGCAGCCCACTATGGTGGCTGGATTGGACGTCGACGCAGATGTGTTTGTGAATTTATGGCGGAGACTAAAAGGCCTTCTTGGATCTTCACAGAAGGAACGTACGCCGCAGGGAGAGGGTGATAATGTTGACAGTGTCACAGAACGTTGGAGACTGCTCACTCAATACCAAGCAGATATACCACACTGCTCGGTCAGTGCTATAGCCATCTCATTTGGATTTTAATACTAAACAGTTTTCCTCTCCAGCTAAGTTGCATCTACGAACTGGTGCTGGAGTATAATTGTTCTCACACCGACTTTGCTTGCATCTGTACCAGGCTTGAGGTGATCAGTCAGGATGTGAAATTCAGATCCTGCTATGACCAGTGTCCTATCAATCCTGATCAGCGATGTAAGTTATACCAACAAAATCAAGCTTTGAAATGGTTTGTCTTAACGATATGAGCTAGGGACGCCGGGACGGTTGCTTGATTTCTGCGACTTAGTAGGGGTTCAGCCGGCCCTTCCGGACTACATGAGCCAATACACTGGATTACATAGGAGGCAACCTGTCGCAGAAAGGGCTTTCCCCTGGGAGTCGGGGGCGACTGGGCGGGTGAGCGCCCTTACAGTATCTGGTACTGCAACTACGATTTACGCGTCGACTTCAGATGCAGAGGATGTCTCCACGATGACGGTCGGCGCCACACAAACAGTCATAATAACCAGAACAGCGACAGGCTTCTCCACAAGTCAGACCTCCAGTATCAGTACATATTTGCCAACCGCAACACCTGAACCGGTGGATCCGAGCCTCCAATCAACCGGTCTCTCAACGGGAGCAAAAGCGGGAATTGGGGTAGCGATACCCTTGGCAGTGATCTGCATAGCTTCTATCCTGCTATGGTATATACGGCGCAAAAAGAGGAATGGGGGAGACGCCGAGGGACATGATGAAACCCAACTGCCGACAACTGTATCGCCAACTTCACCCGTCGTCAATAACTTGTCTTTCGAGAAAGACGGGAACGCTATTAGTGAATTAGATGGCCAGCAGAAATCGGAGACTGACGCAAAGACCAAGGCACCCATTTTCGAGCTGGATGCGAACCTGACCGGTCCTGAAAAGGATTCAGGAGAGCAAAAACAAGTGATTAATCACTGACTGCTGTCGAAGCCTTCCCACGACCTTGGTCTATCAGGAAGAGATGAGCGGATCAGCGAATATGTCTGGGTTCGATATCCCAGTAGAGTCCCAAGAAGGAATTCCGTCTCAGGCCTACGATGTTATCACGATGATGACCCAGCCTTGTGATGGTGTCAACCTTACTATCACTTGCCTCCACAATAACAATATCCGTGCCGACCCCTATTTATGCCGTTCGTGGGAACTACTTACATGTCGGGAAAAGCTTCCGAATTCTTTCCTTTAGAGAGCAATAGTTCAATATGAGGAATAAGACACATTGAAGCGCTACCCGTAGCACTCTAGATTCTTACTTTCAAGTAAACAGGGATATCACAGCACTAGAGGTTGTGTAGAAGATTTTGTTGTAGGTCAGGGATAAAGGTCCAATAAAATCACACTGTTTACCGCTGCGACGATAAGGTCTCTGACCTCCGCAACAAGTATAGTTAGCTGTACCCAATTTTTGTTCCTCTGCATAAAGAAATAAATGGCCCAAAGCCTTTCTCTGGGCTCGCCGTGGGGTGGCTCAGCCGGAGGACAACTTAATCCCCTGTATCGCTAAGCAGAAACCTCAGGTCCTCAGACGTACAAAAGCCTGCCGAGAAGACGACGATTTCCGGGAAAGATGTCATCGTCCTATACGCAGTGTGATATATGTGACAGCCTTGCATACAAGCGTGACGTGTCAGGTTGTGAACTTGTGCCATTGAAGCTGAAACTTTGGCCTTTGCAGCCACTTATCCTCTCTGGCCTCCCATCGAACGCGTCTCAGCATTTGCAAATCATTTTCCTTTCTAACAGAAGGTGTGTACCTTCCATCTTTCGCATCACGTCTCCTTGTGGATAGCCGCCCCGCCTCCTGTTCCTCAGCTAGAATAAGGCATTGCAATCTTCGGAAGCCCCTCTGAAGTACCACCAATAACCGAAACGGCCTTGTCATTTATCGCCAGAAACTTCTCATCGCGACAAGGACCTCGGCTTCCGTTGGTGGGCTGTCTATACTTGCTCGTGATCGAAAGGAGGCCTCCATCTGGCCCTCTTGGCATTGATATATATTGCTGTGAAATGAGCCATTTCCGAATTTACGATTTGCTTTGATGGTAGGCATTGGAGGAGGCGCCCCGACGCTAGAAAGGGACATTAGACTTGGCGATGTGGTCGTCAGTACACCGCACAATGGGTTGGGCGGCGTGGTACAATACGACATCGGAAAACTTTTACCTGGTGGTCGGTTCAAACAAACAGGTCAGCTGAACGCTCCTCCAGAAGTATTGCTTGGGGTGCTTCCAGAGCTGCAACGCCGTCAAAACGATCCTCGGAAGCCTGACCGACTGGCCGAGCATCTGCAGCGAATGGAAGACATGCGGGACTATCAACGCCCGAACCACGATCGGTTGTATCGTACCGACTACAGCCATCAGGGCGGCGGGAAGAATTGCGACCTGTGTGGAACAGATAAATTGGTACAGCGCCCAGAGCGTCAGGGTCGCCGTGCAGTTACCCTTCATTATGGGACAATTGCTTCCGGCAACTCTGTCATCGAGGACGCGATGGCGCGAGACAGGTACGCCAATGATCCCGAGTTGAATATTCTGTGTTTTGAGATGGAAGCGGCGGGCTTGATGAACAATTTGCCTTGCCTTATTATCCGAGGTGTCTGCGATTATTCGGATTCGCACAAGAACGATGACTGGCACAAATACGCGGCGCTCACAGCGGCGGCATACGCTAGAGAATTGCTTCTCGTTCTGAAGCCCACCAAGGTCGATGTCATGCCTCCATGGGTTGCTAAATTGGATGATGGTACGTAGCTCTGCTTCTACTTCCTACCAGTTTGCCTTCCTGTGACAAATTTGAGCCTTGGCTCTGCCGGACGGATCCTTCTTAGTCTTCCGTCACGAGCAAGCAGACGAATGATAACTGCCTTTTACAGTCGCCGAAACTGTGGTCAGGACAAACGCCATGGTAGAAAGCCTACAGCAACGGCAACGAGTTCGAGAGCATCAAGCCATACTTGACTGGCTTACTCCCATTGATTATTCCTCTCAGCAAGATGATTTCATCGCCAGGCGACAAGAAGGGACCGGGGAATGGCTATTAAGCTCAAATGAATTCAAACTTTGGCTCGAAAAAAGCAACCTGACGCTTTTTTGCCCAGGCATACCGGGAGCGGGCAAGACAATAATCACTTCTATCGTTATCAACCACCTCCATAACGAGTTTCGAAATGACCCTACCATCGGCATTGCATACCTATATTGTAACTACCGGCAACAGCACGAGCAAAAGCCCATTGGATTGGTCCTCAGCTTGCTGAAGCAGTTGCTTCAGGAACAGCGCTCCATACCTGAAGGTGTTAGGAACCTTTACATGTACCATAGCCCAAAGAAAACTCGCCCTTTACCTGATGAAATCTTAAAGGAGCTCCACTCTGTCACTGCTTCTTATTCAAGGGTCTTCATCTTAGTTGATGCGTTAGATGAATGCGGAATTTCCGATGAAGGATGCAGTATTTTCCTGTCACATATCTTCAGTCTTCAGGCCAAGTCCAGGGCAAATATCTTCGCAACCTCGCGGTTCATCCGGACCATCGAAAACGAGTTCGAGGGAAGAAGTATACAACGCGAGATTCGTGCCAGTTACTCAGACGTGCAGAAGTATCTTACAGGAAGGCTGGAGAATTTCCGACCAATGGTCTCAAAGGACCCGTCTCTCCAGGGAGAAATCAAGAGTAGGATTGCAAAGGCAGTTAACGGAATGTAAGTGCCATTTTACAGTAATAAATGGGAATAACAAAGGACTACCTTTAGCTGACGTAAACAAGGTTTCTCCTTGCACGGCTCTACGTCGATTCTCTAGCCTATAAGACAACACCTAAGGCTATAAGACTTGCCCTGAATGATCTGGAGATAGATTCAACAACCACAAGCGACAGCAGGAAATCTAGAGCTCTAGATCGCGCTTATACGCAAGCTATGGATCGAATTAATGCTCAGGCGGCAGAACTCAAAGAACTTGCCCGACAGGTCCTATCATGGATCACCTGCGCCAAAAGGGCCTTAACTTCTTCGGAGCTCCAACATGCTCTAGCGGTTGAGGTTAGTGAGCCTAGGCTCGATAGAGAGAATATCCCTTATATCGAAGATATGGTGTCCGTATGCGCTGGATTGGTCACTGTTGACAAAGAAAGTGACATCGTCCGCTTAGTCCACTATACAACACAGGAATACTTTGAGCGGACCTCTAGTACGTGGTTTCCTAATGCTCACGCCGATATCACGAAAACATGCGTTACCTACCTGTCGTTTGATATTTTTGGAACTGGTCCCAGTCCGTCCGAGACGGATTTTAAGGCAAGAGTACAGTCGAACATTCTCTATCCCTATGCTGCACAAAATTGGGGAGACCATGCGCGCATATCTTCAATTGGGGCGGAAACGTTAATTCTAGATTTTCTTGAGAGTGAGACTAAAGTATCAGCCTGCATCCAGGCTATGACTGCACGTCGAGGTTACTTGGACTATAATTCAACGCAGATAACTGGAATACACTTAGCAGCATTCTTCGGACTGCAGGAATCAATGACAGCTTTACTCGATAGGAAGCATGACCCAAACTGCATGGACATCGCATATCGGACAACACTATCATGGGCTGTGTGGAACAGGCATAAGGGGGTAGTGAAGGTGCTTCTTGACAGGGGTGCCGACATTGAGTCCAAGGACAAGATTAATGGTCAGACGCCGCTTTTATTGGCTGTGAGGAATAGACATGAGGGGGCAGTGAAGCTGCTGCTTGACAAGGGTGCCAACATTGAGTCTAACGATATTTTTGGCCAGACGCCACTGTCATGGGCTGCAGAGAAGGGGCATGAGGAGATAGTGAAGCTGCTTCTTGGCAGGGGTGCCGACATCGAGTCCAAGGACAAGATTGATGGTCAGACGCCACTGTTATCAGCTGCACAGAAGGGGCATGAGGAGATAGTGAAGCTACTGCTTGACAAGGGGGCTGATTTTACAGTTGTTGATTCTTGTAATAGCGACAGGACTGTCATGTCTTGGGCGATGGAGCATCGGTTGAGAACTATTGCCGGACTCCTGATAAACAAAGGCGATGAGGTTGACCAGAGCGACAAGTACGGTAGGAAAGTGATTTCTTGGGCAGCCGCACATGGCCACAGCGATATCGTCAAGTTGCTGCTTGATAAGGGTGTTGACTGTGCGGAGGAAGGGCATCCTGGTGGATCTCCTTTGTGGTGGGCAACAGAGAATGGACATTCACATATTATCAAGCTCCTGATAGGGTAGAGATCTCTCAACAGTCTTCTATCCTTGAACGCCAAATACAAGCTACGAATGATGGCACACGTCTCGGACGACTTTGATATTAGTCTTCGGCTGCAGATGCAGGGAATGGTGGTGCGGCTCGACGCAATGAAGTAGCTCCCCTTCCTGATTATCTACTTTGGCGTGATCAGTCTTGACGGCGCCAAGGCCATTCTGTGCCATGCGTTCAGCATTAACCTCGAGTGGGCGTCGACAGCCGAGGAGATGAGGCCGACGGGGTTCTACATCGGGATGGACAAGATGGTGAGGCGGTTCAAGTGGACGTGGACGATCTGTGCGGTTCTGTCGGGTGGTAAACTAGCTGATGTATGCAGAAACGAGGTAGGCTGACTTCGTATGATGATCTACTTTGCGGTTGGGGCGCCCTGGGGATGGTCAATTACGACGGGGCCGTATTCGACGGCGAATGTGGCGATAGCGCCGTTGGCTTTACAGATCTGCTCGGCGAGTTTTCTTCCATTCTTTTGGTATTGAATCGATACGGGATTCGGGGATGATGGTTAAAGTGTGAATTGAATGCAATTGAGGGTATCATGGAATCTTAGCGTTGTACACAGGATGAGTCAAACAGCGTATAACTGAGTGCCGGTACGATCCAGAAGTAGAGCAAACGTATTGTTAATGGCAGCCAGAGGAGCAATAACCTATGAAAGCTCAGCGATAACAGTCTGCCTATCCCCGAAAATACACTCTACCGGCCACCGGATCCAGCTCCGATGCTCCTCTGGCAGCGAAGCCTGGATCCCCGCCAGAACATGCTCATCCCAGCCCTTCATCAGCCATGATGACTGCATATACTTGAGAAGAATAGCCCAGTAGGCGAGGACAACCAGCGCAAGCGGATCCTTTGCCTCAAGCTGCCCGACAAACCCTTCCGGACGCCGATACAACCACCCAATGACCAAATGCATCAGATTCACCCCGTGCTTCCCAGCAGCTCTCATCCGATATACCTCGTCAAAGGTCTCTCGCAGACCCTCCAGAGCAGAATCGTACATCTCTTTGATTACTCCGTCATCCGTCTCCGCACGGATCAACAGCTGGACATCCCGGATCCGCCCCTTATGACGCTCCAGCTCCTCCGCCAGCTCCTCGCTAACCTGAGCCGCCCCCTCCAGCTCCTCAGGCTCCAACACGCCCGAAAAAATCTCCGCGCGCCTCGACTCCAGAATCGATCTCACCCCGCGCATGAGAACAAGCCACTCTGCCTGCCCTGTCTCGCTGAAAACGAGGAACTCGCCTGTGCGCGGACCATGCCCGAAGTACACGAGGCAGATCAGCACGGCTGAGATGTAGATGTACTGGCAGTTGTCCTCGTTCAGGCTGGCCAGCACGGTGGTCACGGAGCGGACGCCGAAGGTGAAGTGGGCATCTGCCTGGTTCCGGTACTGGGCACGCAGGGCCGGGTGCTGGTGCGCCAGGTGCAGAGCAGAGAGCGCAAGGATGAGATGCAGGATGGATGGGAAGGCGAAGCCCCATTGTGGGACGTGGATGTCCCATAGGTGTTTGTGGTCTTGTCCGTCTGTTACTGTGCTGGCCATGGAGGTGACGTAGTGGTGGAAAAGGTGCAGGTCTGCTAGGGAGATGCTCTCTAGAGGGGGAGGAGGAGTCGGTCCTGGACTGGATGACTGTATGCTGCTGTCTGTGGTTGATGGGTCTACCTGGATTTCATATTTGGACTGTTTGAAGCGATATTGTCCACGCGAAGGTCGTGATGGTGCAGTTGATTCGGTGGCATAATCACAGATGACTGCATGCTGGCGACAATTGGTGCAGGTCGGCTTTTTCTCATCGCACTGCTTGCATGTCAGTTTTTTGGCCATAGTTGTAGTAGAAGTTGAGTTGGATTCAAAGAGTGGCACTGGCAGCTTGAAAGAAGTCATCACTCACTTTGACTCGTCGCTTTTTACAGGTCTTGCACCCTAGCCGGGATTTCTGATGGGTTCTACGCGCGCGAATCCGACGGCCCTGCTCAGTTTCCATCCTGCAGGTGGTGATACAGAAGGATGAGATGGAATTAACACTTCGTATTCGTTTGCTTTTGGCCCCTTTAGGCAGCAGAAAATTTTGCCGAGATACGACGAATCCGGGTTCTCCTCTTTGGCAGAACAGCAGTAGATCATAAACTGAATCTGGACACACTTGCAAATATGTCAGTTAGATTTCAGGAGGTTAATGGTCCTGGTCAACAAGGACACAAAGGGGTAAAAGGTAAAAAAAAAAAAAAAAAAGAAAAAGAAATGATGCGTTAGCTGGGAGTCGAACCCAGATCTATTGCTTGGAAGGCAATAATGCTAACCGCTACACCACTAACGCTGTGGATGAAAAAATATGCCAAATTGTAACAATTGTAACATATATTCTAAAAAAATAAAATTACCAGACAACTGCCAATGCCCTTCTTTGCAACTACTACATAAAAATGATATAGATATACTCAATTGGGGCAAGACAAAATTCCTTTCGCAGCTGTTATATGATTGAAGGCCAACTGGTCTGCGTGACGTATGAACAACATCAGCAGAGTCGTGGAGACCGCAATGGACCAGAAGCTGCGTGAAGAGATTGCCAATGCAATCACAGCGAAAGTGCTTACAATGACAAGGCTACAAGCAATGCTTGCTAAATTTAGTGATCTGCGGCTGTTTGGGTCCCATGTTGAAAGTTTCAGGACAAGCTCAAAAAGACCCACTCGTACTCGTTCAAAAATTTCCCAAATGGGTAATTTGATCTCCCTCTACAGAGACAGCAATCCAGTATATGAGACCACCATGGTCGTCGTGGCTCTTTTCTCCTGATCAAATTCAATTCTCACGATCAAGCCAGCATGGACTTTACATTCCACAACGGAACCAATGGCTCGTCGCCATGGGTCGAATTCTACCCCTACACCCCCTCGGCCACAGCAGGATACGCCTTTATGTCCGTATTCGGCATCGCAACAGTCGCGCACATCATCCTCATGTTCCCATACCGCGCAGCCTACTTCATTCCCCTCATCCTAGGAGGAATCTGTCCGTCCCCCGTCCCATCCCCATCCTCCAATGCCAAATACACCGCTGACTCTGCAGGCGAAACCTTCGGCTACTACGGCCGCGCATGGTCCCACCGAGAAGGCAGAACCGCAATCGGCCCCTGGGCCCTCCAGGAGATTCTCATCCTCTGCGCACCCCCCTTCATCGCCGCAAGCATCTACATGGTCCTCGGACGGATCATCCGCGCCTTCAACGCAGAGCACCACTCCAGCATCCGGACCAAGTGGCTGACACCCATCTTCGTCCTCAACGATGTTATCTGCTTCCTGACGCAGCTTGCTGGCGCAGGGGTGCAGGTTACCGGTGACCCGCACGTCATGGCGATTGGTAAGAAGGCTGTCCTGGTGGGATTGGTCTTTGCGCTGGTGGTGTTCGGGGTGTTTGTTTGGGTGGCGGCGGCGTTTCATCGGAGGTTGGATGCGGAGCCGACGGCTGTGGTGAGGGAGTGTCCGCGGTTGGGGTGGAAGAGGTATATGTGGGCGATTTATGTCTCGTGTGGGATGTTGATGGTGAGGAATCTGGTGAGGACGGTTCAGTTTGGGTCGCGGAAGGGGTCTGCACTGAACACGGAAGAGGCGTTTATATATGTCTTTGATGCGGCGTTGATGGCTGGTTCAATTTTGGTATTGGTTGTTTGGCATCCGGGGAGGTTGGTGCGGAGGGCTCAGAAGGCGACTAAGGCGAGTCAGATGTGTGTGCAGATGGAGGATGCGCCTGATATCCCGTTGACGGGATATAGAGAGGTTTAGTCGACTGCATTCGGTGGACTGATCCTGTATATGCCAGCAGAAACTGCTTCAATATGACCTTGTTTAGATGAATGAACTCGAAAGAACTGAATTCAACGCTATGGATATCTCTATGTACACTCTAGGTTAAACATGCAAACCGTCTACTTTCCAAAAACCTTGTAGCGGTCCTCAATGGGCAAGAAGGTCTTCTCGCCAGCGTCGCTGGTAGGAGTACCAAAGACGAGCTGGGCATCCAGCTTCCACGAGGCAGGGAGGTTCCAGGTCTTCTGCACCTGCTCGTCGATCAGAGGGCTGTAGTGCTGGAGATTGGCACCGAAGCCTTCGGAGCAGAGGGCAGTCCAGACTATTCAGCGTCAGTTACATGCTATCTGTTTATAATGGCAAGAAAACCTACCGAGGTACTGCGACATGGCGTTGGACTCCAGAGCAAAAGGATCGAACTTGTCGGCGTAGATAGCAAACTGCTCCTTGATAGCAGCGAGAGAGTCGTAGTCAACGAAGAAGAGAACCTAGACCGTCAGTACAGACCATCATGTAAGGCAGGAATCAACCTACAGTTCCATAGGCCGCGCGGAAGGCATTCAGCTTGGGCTTGGTGTGGTTCTCAAACATCTCCTTGGGGACCTTGCCGGCAGCCACGAGGCTCTCCATGATGTTGATGGCAATGTCCCAGAGCTTCTGGTGCTCCTCCTTGAGCAGGAGGACCACACGGGAGGTCTGCGTGTTGAAGGAGCTGGGGACGTGCAGGACGGCATCCTGGACGATGCGCTCAATGGCCTCGTCCGAAATGGGGCTCTCGGCCTTGAGGCCGTAATATGTGCGCCGGGCCTTGACCAGCTCCAGCAGAGTGGTGGTGGCGGGGTTCTTGAATTCGGGTTGAGTCGAGCCCATTTTGTCTGTATGCGATTTAGGGTTTGGTATAGAGGTGAATCGGATGATGTTGATGACTTGATAGACGGTGATTGATTCCTCCTTTATCTGTATGGAGTAGGGAAGAGGGTATTTATATTCCCCATCACGCACGGCGCCATCACTTTTCTACAGACTTCTACCTGTGGAGACTCCAGGTACGCATCTAAGGAGAATGGATTAAAAATCGTTCGATCTGAAAATTGTCCACTGAATTTCCGTCATTATTGGCCAATTAGAATGCACATCCATACTTCGGACTATGGGCGTTTAATTTATAAGCGGATATACGGAGAACCAAATTAGCGACTTTACCAACAGACCCCATCATGCTCCACAGCGGAACTTACCAGATAGTGCTGACCAAATGCTTATAAATGAGTACATGCCTAGATTGGTAGATTATGAAGTGTAGTTAATATCATGCCATATTACTTTGGTAATCTGTGTCCCTTGATTAAGCCAAAAATAAGCACTAATAGTCTGATACTGATGTATAAGCGTAAGCACGAGCTGCACGACGCTAAACTTAGCTATCAATAGGAAATGCCTCGTCTTGAAAGCAAGTTACCTCAAGGGCACCTAGGCACGAGGGGATGGCTTTCAATCAGACCGAGGGGAATGAGGCTTCGATCCTGTCAACCATCTCAAACTAAAAAGGCGCCTAGACGACCACCTAGCGTACCGAGTAGATAAGATAGTAATGTAATAATGTGTTTCACGGATTGGTCGATAAAACTCATGTTCGTTCCCCGGTCCCATTTAGTATAGGACAAATGACACAGCCGTGTCATATAACTAGAAGGTGTCCTTTTCAGACTAGAGACGCGTGAGTCGCCCGAGAATGCCTAGAGCTATCCACTTAGATGGGGCATGGCATTCCCCTCCAAGGGAAGGAAAGAAGTAGGGGAAAGAAATAAAAAAGAAGGGTAGAAAAAAAAGAATCAAATGACTGGTGCTGCCCGGAATCGAACCGGGGCTGGCACGGCCACAACGTGACGTCCTACCACTAGACCACAGCACCGGATTTTTGATTTTGCGTTTCTTTTATGCTACATACGCAATATCTGTTCAATACTTAGTCGAGCACACTCAAATTAGGTCTGTACATTCCCAGCATTTTTGTCCAGTGGAAAACTGGTGCTTCATCGACGATGTAATGATAGATGATGGATTTCGCTGTGCCAAATTCTTTTGGGTGTTGCGTTGTTATAGTTCTCCTATTTACATTGCCCCGCGAATAAATATATATACTCTGGTAAGAGACCCAACTTTCAGCAGAGCAAAGGCGATATAAGACAATATGGCGACAGGTCAGGAGCGCAAAACGACAGTACTATCTGCATGGGGATGCCATAGATGCGATGACTGACTTGATCACGCTTTCAGTAAGTGAGTGGTCAACTTTTTATACGCCCTGACACCCTCCAGCAGCTCGTCAACTTCAATCTGCTCATTCTCTCCATGGGCCACGAGGATTGAACCAGGCCCGTATAAGTACTTTTTATGATCCCCCTTGAAACGAGGCACATCAGTTCCATATGACACTGGGGCTGTTTCAAACCCTGTAATCCGTCAGCAGGATTCGGACAAAGGTATGGTTGACAACCTTCGACATCATGATCAAGCAATGTCTCCGGATACTCAAACTTGAACTCCAGTCTGACGTGTGGATGCTTCGCAACAACCTCCGACACAATCCTCTTACACTCGGCCATATCAGTCGCCACACGGACGGCGCATAGTGCTGTGCTCGAAGCTGGGACGATGTTATAGCTCACTCCTCCTTCAATCTTGCCGATATTGAACGTCGACAGGCCCAGTAACGATGACTCGGGGAATTTAGTGCACAAGAACTCATTTAGGACTTCCACCACAGCGGCATTGGCGTTGATACCATGATGGGGATATCCGGAATGACTGCACCATTAGCCTCAGTAGATAGACATCAAAGCAGACATACCAAGCCTTCCCCTGGCCAATCAACTCAAACACCAAATGTCCCTTATGCCCGACAACCAATTTCCCCTCGGTCGGCTCCCCAAACACCACGCCCTCAAACTTCAAATCGTGATCGTTCGCCGCAATCATACCCGGACCTCCCTTCTCCTCGCCCACAACAAACAACAAACCAACGTCACCCTCCTTGACCGCTCCCTCCGCACGCAGCTCCTCAAGCGCACAGATCTGCGCAGCCATGGGACCCTTATCGTCGCAGGCGCCGCGGCCGTAGATAGTCGAGCCCTCAACGCGCAGCGGGATATGCGGCGGGACGGTATCCATGTGCGCGGTGAGACAGGCTCGCACCCTGCGAGTGGAGCCTAGGTACGCGTAGACATTTTCGCGGGTTGAGCCTGGGGCGATGGGAATGCGTTCGACGGTGTAGCCGAGGGTGGAGAGGTGGTTGTCGAGCCAGCGGGCGATGTCTTGCTCATGGTCGCTGGTGCTGGGGACCTGGATGAGAGATTTGAGGAGGGACACCACAGGAGCTTCAGACATTCTGTGTAGCTACCTTTGATTATTGGTGCTCAATATGAGATGTGTCTCTGTTATCGTGGAAGGAAAGGTTGATGCGGGGAGGACATTGCGTGCGGGGAGATTTCGTCATTGCATATGACATGCCCAGGATTAACACGATAATGATACACGATATGATAAAGCATGCCGGAAAGAAGCAGGACACCGTCGGACATTACGTTGTCGGTGGTAAGTAGCAAAATGGAAAAGATGGACACTCGTGGCTGAAACGCGCATTATGCTTGGTGGATTGCTTACTGCTGTAGCCTGTTGATTTACCCCGCCACTATTGCTGATCTCCTGTATTTATTATCTGGCTTCACGACCTCTCATTGCAAATAAACAGGATCAATTGTACAGTTCTCATCATGGCGTCTCTTTCTCTTGAATCTCGAGTTCAACCCAATTCCCCTGAGCAGCATATTTTCAACATCCTCAATGACTATCTTCAGCCTTCTAGCACAACCCCTCCCAGTGAGGCCGCGCAATCTATCCACGCCTTGACACCAAAGGCGGGTTCAACACAAGAAGAGAGCTCTGAGATGGAGGACTTCCTTTGGTACACATGGGGGACTATCATCAAAGTCGCCAAACAGATTCCTCACAATCACCCCTCGCAAGACCGACTGGTTGAGTTGATCCACGCTCTGACCGAGTTACCGCCAACAACGGTGTCAATCTGGGGTGTAAGTGTCTTCTTCCTCTGAAGCAGAATATACTGACTGTGCAGTCCGAAAATTGCCTATGGAAAGACCTGCCCATGCTCGGACCAAGCCTGAGAGAATCCTGGAATGGTACGTACCCCTCTCTGATAATAGTGGCATCATGCTAACAGACCAAGCGCCCACGTATACAAAACCCAACGACCAAGAAATCACCGAATGGATCAACCTACAAGCCTTCACCGCGCGGCTGATGAGCAAATGCGACCCATCCCTTTCTCTCCTTGGTGTCTGGAGTCTGCGGTCGGGATTGGAAGAGGAGCTGTCGGGCAAGGAAGTCGACGGGGAAGCTGCCGCGGCAGCGATGTGGATGGTGTATGGTGGTGCGAACTTGTTCAGTCAACTGGCAGACGCGGTGCCAGACGAGGAGAAGGAGCGCTTGATGAGGCCTGGGAGGCTGTATAGCGGACAGGGACAGTTGAGCCCGGAGAGGTGGCAGTTCTGGAAGCAGCGGTTTGGGGAGATGAGTGAGCAAATCCAGGTCAATGATGAGACAAAGGGGGTGATTCGGCTGGCCAGGGAGAAGATGGAGAGGGTTGAGCAGTAGTCTTTCTTTAAGAGTGGTACCAGGTCGCGTTCATATTAGCACTAGCTCTAGAGTGCGAGATAAACCCAATCTAGTCATTTCGAATCCAGCGCAAGGCTGTACTCGTGTCTCAGTCCAATGCCATACAACGTCATGAGTAGAGACGATAATTCCATCGGATGCTCTAGAAACTATCTATATACTGCTTAGACAATTTGACACGGGATGCATGATGCAATCGCGGAAATTCCCCGCTGTGGGCGCATCATCGCGGAAATACGGATTATAAATTTTCATTGATTATCTCACATCGTCTTTTCTGCATATACATACAGCAAATTCTTATCAATCATTGATATAGATGAGATGGAGCTTCCATTTCCATTCTATCATCAATGGAGCATTGCTTCGACCCAGAGCCAAAAATGAGTGACACCGAGGTAGAGGACGGCCTTGATCTCCAGCAAACGCGGTCGGGCTGGTCCATCGCCGAAAGCCTCTCCCCACTACGGGAAACGGTCTTCATCTTCGTGATATGCATGGCCCAATTCATGACCCAGGCCGGGCTGGGTAGCCAACTGGCCCCGCTGACCATCATCGGGGACTCCTTCCACATCACCGACAGCGGCATCCTCAGCTGGTTCATCGCGGGCTACTCCCTGACAGTGGGCACCTTCATCCTCTTCTTCGGCCGCTGCGGCGACTGCTTCGGCTACCACACCATGTTCGTGATCGGCTTCGTCTGGTTCGGCGTCTGGTCCATGGTCGCCGGCGTCAGCGTCTACAGCAACTACGTGCTGTTCATCTTCGCGCGCACCGCGCAAGGTCTCGGACCCGCGATGCTCCTCCCGAACGGCCTGGCGATTCTGGGAGCGACGTACCGCCCCAGCCCGAAGAAGGACATGATCTTTGCCATCTTCGGCGCGACGGCCCCCAACGGCGCCATCATCGGGGCCATCTTCGCGGCGCTCTTCAGCCAGCTCGCCTGGTGGCCGTGGACGTTCTGGGCGAATGCGATTGTCTGCCTAATCCTGGCCGCGCTGGGGTGGGCCGTGATCCCGCGCATCCACCACGAGCGCGAGAAGCACGGCATGACTCTTGTCGAGTGGATGCAGGAGCTGGACGTCGTGGGGGCGTGTCTGGGTGTCGGGGGTCTGATTCTCGTCAATGTGGCGTGGAACCAGGCGCCCATCGTCGGCTGGCCGACGGCGTATGTGTACGTGCTGCTGATTATCGGGCTGGTTCTGCTAGGGCTTTTCTTCGCGTGGGAGCTGCGCGTCGCGAGCAAACCGCTCATCCCGTTCCATGCGTTGACGCTGGACGTGTCCTTCGTGCTGGGCTGCGTCGCATGCGGCTGGGCCAGCTTCGGCATCTGGACGTACTACCTCTGGTTGTTCCTGGAGCATGTCCGCGGTAAGACACCGTTGATGGCCGCGGCGCAGTTTGTGCCGCCCGGGGTCTCGGGGCTGCTGGCTTCGTTCACGACAGGGTATTTGATGAGTCGGATCCGGCCGGGGTGGATCATGCTGTTTGCCATGGTGGCGTTCACGCTGGGGAATATCTTTGTTGCGATTGCGCCGGTGCATCAGACGTACTGGGCGCTGACCTTTGTTTCGTTGGTGGTCATGCCGTGGGGCATGGACATGTCGTTTCCCGCGAGCACAGTGCTGCTGTCGAATGCGGTCGAGCGCCGGCATCAGGGTATTGCGGCTTCCTTGGTCACGACGGTGGTCAACTATAGTATCTCGCTGGGACTGGGGTTTGCGGGGACGGTCGAGGTACATGTCAACCATGGCGGAAAGACGTTCCATGATAGACTACTGGGATATCGCGGCGCGCTGTACATGGGGATTGGACTGGGAGGGCTGGGAGTGGCCGTGAGTGTGATTTATCTGGTCAAGAGTATCTTGGAAAAGGAGCCACAGGGAGAAGAAAGTAAATAGCTCATAGACATAGATGCAACATTAATCCTAGTGTAATTGACCCATCGCTATGCATACATATCCAGGAACCCTCCTCAGTATAATCTGAGTCAGGCAGCAGATATCTCTTGCATAGGCGTGACTAGACTCAGGTTACAGGCTTGGTTTAACTGTCTAGGGACTAAATTAATAAAAAATAAGTCGAACTGTAGTTGGGTAACGGAAAAAAAAGAAATGAATGACAAGAGTGGGATTCGAACCCACGCCATCATACGATGATGAGGAAACTCTAGGAGTTTGGTATTAAGGTGGACCTTAACCTCACGCCTTGGACCAACTCGGCCATCTTGCCTTAGTTATTGGAAGGTACGCATATTAGGCTATATAAGTTCCCTGAGTCACTGGGGAATTCAACAATATACACTGTAGGAGCATCAGAACCGTTATAGTCGACCTGGATTCTGATGGGTGACTCCGCAGACACTTATGGTTTGACCTGCCGCCACTTCTCCTCCTGTCTCTGGTCTTCGACTGTATATTCAGATCTCGCCGCGAGCACCAAGTCAATCCAGAGTGACTCTGCCACATGCGCGGAAATACTTCCTTGTTAAACAATATTGAAAGGCAGCCGATTGGCATGCCCACTGACAATGCACAAGGGAAATATGCCGTGCAAGTCGCCTGCATGCACTGTCTGATAAGTCATCAGTCCCCCGGATATTGGACTAGTCGTACCCCGCATGTATCATCAGCCTTACCCCAGTACCTCCGTGATGCTGTTCATCTGACTCTGAACGAACCAACTTGAGGATATTCATGTCGATCATCTATATTCCGGGTCCTTGGTCCCGTCATACGATATCGGAGCCTTCAATCCGAGTCTGAGTCTGTCTTTTGCATCATCTGGAGGATGCAGCCTCGGTACCTGGTTTATGGTAGAAATACCAGATTCTGGGCATAACTATTCTATCAAGTTATGAATACACGATTCTATAAGCATAAGGACGACGATCTTTCTACCCCGCAATTATCCTCTGTCCACCATGCCGTGGCAGTGCTCATCGTCATGTGAAGATAGAACCTAGTTCGATCCTGAGAGTTCAGAAGGTGACCTGATAATTTTGGACCGTATCCGAACGAGACATGGCTGAGATAGAGTGAATTGAATTGAAAACCTACATTTGCATGTGCTGGTACAACCAAGTATAAATCAGCTAGCCCTTCATGAGCAGAGTAGATCAGCCTGAGCATCACAACCATCATCCATCATCATGGATAAACTACAGCTCACCCTTGAAGCGCTCCATCATCAAGGCATCCATATCCTCAAACTATACGCTCAACACCCCTGGCTCTCCTTCGCAGCATGCCTCACAGCCTACCTCACTCTCACCCTATCCCTCCGCTTCCAACGCCTCCGCAGCATCAAAGCGAAATACCACAAGTACTCAACCCGGGCATCCTTCGCCAGCATGACCGACCACGACGCCTGGGCTATTCAGAAACAGATCCTCCAGCTCGAGTTCCCATTCACCGCGCTGAAAGCCCTGCAGTTTGCTCTCTTCCGCGTACCCCCTCCCCGCTTCCCCCAGCCGTACAGATCTGATACTAATCGAAGTAGACATACGGCATCCCCACCATCTCCACCCTCCTCCTGCAAACCTCCCAATTCTCCAACCCATCCACCAGCTTCAAACGCTACGCCGACACCGGCGTCCTAATCGGCGAGTTCATGGGCTTCGAGCCCACCTCCGAACGGGCGATCACCGCCCTCGCGCGCACTAAGCTCCTGCATACAGGTTACCGCGCCAGCGGCAAGATCCTGGAGTCTGACATGCTGTACACGCTTAGCCTGTTTGCGCTGGAGCCGGTGCGGTTCGTGGAGCGGTACGAGTGGCGGGGGTTGAGTGCGCTGGAGAAATGCGCGGTGGGCACGTACTGGAAGAGTGTGGGGGATGCGTTGGGGATTAGCTATGCGTTGTTACCTGGTGGGCAGTCGGGGGAGGGGTTCCGGGATGGATTGCAGTGGTTGGAGGAGATAGGGGCTTGGAGTGAGCGGTATGAGGAGGAGAGGATGAAGGCTGAGAAGGCGAATCGGGCGGTGGCGGATAAGACGATGGATGTGTTGGTTTATGGGATGCCCGGGTGGGTGAGGGGGGTTGGGGTGAGTGTTGCGACTTGTGTGATGGATGAGAGGCTGAGGGGGGCTATGATGTTGGTCTTTCTTTCTACTGAGGCTGGATGATGCTGATGCTGTGCTGGTAGGTATGATGCGCCGCCGCGGGTGATCAAGGCCGTGTTTGACGCTGCGGTGGTGATCCGTCGGTTGTGCCTGCGGTATCTTGCTCTCCCGCGGCCGTACTTTATGCGCCGTGATGTGTTTACGGAGAAGCCCAATGAGTACGGGCGACACCATGTGCAGGTGTGGAACGGGATGCCGTACTATGTGCGGCCGACGCTGTGGAACCGATGGGGTCCGTTGGCATGGGTGCAGCGGCTGATGGGATTGCCATTGCCTGGGGACGAGGGAGACAAATACTATCCCCGGGGATACCACACGCCGGATGTTGGGCCCAAGTACTTCGAGGGCAAGGGACGGAAGAGCCTGGAGGAGATGAAGCAGAAGTTGAGGATGCAGAGGACAGGCGAGTCGCCATTCATTAAGCTATAGCATTAGTAGTGGTATGTATAGTTTGTATCAATGCAACATTTCTCAGAGATATATCATCAGAAGTCCAGTTCCCAGCACGATAGACAGAGACAACGCGGTCTCCCATCCAAGCCTGCGGTTTGCATTTGCAGCATTGGAATCACCTCCGGGCCCTCCCATGACCCCATTGACCGAAATGCCAATACCCTCGTTACCGCCACTGCCACCGTCACTGTCAGAATTGTCGTTACTACTGCCATCATCCCCCGACGTAACGATAGTCGGTATGCTGGCCGCCGTCGCATTCGTCGGTTTCACCGGATTCGTCGCACTAGCAGGCGTATAGAAGCTCATCGTAGCCGACAGCCGCGTAAACGAGCTCGAAGCATCCGACCGGTCCGTAGCTTTCACCGAGACAATCGTCGAGGTAGTCGTGACCGTCGACGTGCGAATCGAAGCCGTCGAAGGGGTATAGTACGTGTAAAACGTCACCCAGTACGTCCTGTTCTCATCAGCCATCTTCCATTTTCCTCTTATTTCAAGCGGCGAAGGGGTCATACCAGGTCACCGTCCACGAATACCATCTGTACTCCACCCCGGTATAGGTCGTCGTACGATGCGCCGTGGTATACTGATTCTCCGTGTAATGATTCACCGCGTCCTCCCGCGAGCAATCCCCGTTGGGACAGCAGCCCAGTTTCCCGTTGACGGTCATGCATCGCTCCCCGGATGGACAGTACCCCTTTACGCCGCAGCACTCCGCGCCACGGGGCATGCACCCCGTTCCGCAGCAATGCTCGCCAGAGTTGCAGAAGTAGCTGCCGCAGCAGACGTCGCTGAGGGACCAGACGCAGAGCCCATTCTCGCAGCAGATATTGGTTGAGCAGGTTGATGGACAAGTCCAGCGTTTGGCCAGTGGGTCGGATACGATGTCTGTTGTGGGTTCAGAGACGAGGGTGTTGTTGGGAACGCGGAGTGGGTGGAGGGGATTAAGGGCGAGTGCCCCAGACACGAATAGGAGTATGGACAATGGCCTCATTTTGGCTGCAACGGTTTTGCCATGCAGAGCAGAAGAGAAATCGTAGAGAAAAGGCTGAGAAAAGCAGCTAGGGGTCATCATTCATGTTTATAGGCGGTTGAGCCTCAGCGGTCTCATTGCAGCCATGCAGATTGTTGATGGACATTCAGCCTTCTTGCCTGTAAACCCTCGGCTGATTGGCTCTACAGCTCAGCTAGGACGGACGGTGAAGCAGCTATACGAGACCCTACAAATCAAGTGGCACAAGGATCAAGTTGGACCAATGGTGACCCGCTGTAGATCGTATTTAAGGTGCACTAGACGGTGGAGATGACAGATCGGCACCGTGCAAGGCTGTCGGGCAGATAGATGTCGAACTAGTATCATAGAGCAATTCTCTCAGGAGCTAAGAATTTCGTAGTCCATTGAAAGATAGTTTAGATACTTTGTTTAAGTTAGACTGCATCTGCGGTTGAATTGCTTCAAGGTATGCTATCCAGGACCTAACCCTATATTGATCTACCTATGTACAAGCAACAAGCACAAGCACCAAGCAACAATATATATACAACTCTAACCTACTTATGGTGATATTAATGATCTAACTGGCTAGAACCTTGAGTGTTGCATCATGGCAGTGGCATTTGATTTCCGCATTCGGCTGCAGATCCACAGCCGTGGTATGACGACACCAGTCAGGCCACCGATATAACTCAAATCATACAACACAAAGTGGCTGTCTAAATGGCTAACTGATCAATTCTTGCCTTCGCCTGATTATCCTAACTTGTTACAAAATGTCCCGTCCGCCGTCACGAGCGGCGTCTCTGTTCTCCTCACGCCCATCAACCCCAGCCCCTAGTACGGTCTCTCGCGACCCCGATTCCCTCGATGTCTGGATTCTAGGGAGTGGAATTGCCTCGTTAACCGCGGCCGTACACCTCATCAGAGAAGCCAAGGTGCCTCCGTCGCGAATCCACATCCTCGAAGCATTGAGCGAGCCAGGCGCGGGATCAGTGGGTAAAGGCGATGCCGAGTCGGGCTACCACTTTCGCGCGGAATGTATGCCTCAGTTCTGCGGCAGTCGAATGGAGGAATTACTCGCGCTGGTGCCGTCGGAGAGGCCCGAGAAAAGCGTCTGGGATGATATCCGGCAGTACTTTGAAGAACATGTATCGAAGCAGGCGTCGCGGACGAGGTTCCTGGCTCGGCGGAAGAACGGTCTCGAGCGGATTGGACGACGGAGACTCCATCTGGGGGTCAAGGATAGGATGGATCTGTTCCGGCTGTCGTCCAAGGCGGAGGATGCGCTGGGCCGGTCCCGCATTCAAGACCATTTCTCCGAGGGGTTCTTCAGGACGGAGTACTGGCTGGTGCTGTCGACGCTGTAGGTTTCGTGGATTCAAAAGGAGTCAGCATGTTAACTACGATAGGGTTGGTTTCCGGTCCTGTCACAGCGCTGCCGAGTTCCGCCGTTTCATCCAGCATTTCCCGCATGATATCCAGACGCATCATCCTCGTCCCCTGGACCATTTCCGCTTCAACCTGCATGACTCCGTTGTCGCCCCGGTTGCTCGCTTCCTACAGGCACAGGGAGTTGACTTTCGCTTCAACACCATCACGACTGATATCATCGTCGAGCCAGCACAGGACCCTACTCGCGTGACAACCCTGCGTACAGTATACAAAAGCGAGCGCGAGGTAACCATTGATCTTGGCCCACACGATATTATAATTGTTTCTTTGGGATCCGTCTTGTCCGGCGCTTCCTGCGGGTCAAACACAGAGCCGCCCTCGTTAGAGATGATGGAGATCGAGAAAGACCTCGACGACAACTGGCTGCTGTGGCTGGAACTGGCAACCAAGCATCCCAAATTCGGCAACGCATACAACTTTTGTACGCGACTGCGGGAGTCCCGGGTGGCATACTTTACCGTCACAGTCAAGAATCCGGCTGTTTTCGAGAAGATGCTTGGGATCACCGGCGATGACCCTGCAACGGGCTCGTTGGTCACTCTGAGAGATAGCAGCTGGTTGCTTACCCTGAATTTGCCCCGGCAACCGCTGTTCCCTGATCAACCGGACGGGGTTCGAGTATTCTGGGGGTACGCACTCGACCCAGAGAACGAAGGGGATTTCGTCAAGAAACAGATGCTATCCTGTTCAGGCGAGGAAATACTGACAGAGGTTCTGCGTCAGCTTGATCTTCCAGTCGATGAAATCCTGCCTCAGACAATTACTGTTCCATGTGTGATGCCGCGATTGACGTCCGTCTTACTGCCGAGGAGTAATGGGGATCGGCCGCGGGTGGTTCCCCCAGGAATGACCAACATGGCCCTCATCGGGCAGTTTGTAGATATCCCCGAGGAGATGGTCACCATGGACTATATGGTGCGAGGAGCGCAGATGGCGGTGCACCAGCTGATGGGGCTGGAGAGGGAGATGAAGAAGTCGAAGAAGGGATCTACGGTGAGCCTGCTGGGGTTTCCGAAGGACTAGTAGATCTCCAGAATGCATAGTATAATGCTTAGATCCGAGATATGTCGTATATAGCATGAGACAGTGAATCTCCTGATGCTAAATATTATTCCTTGTGATTGGACCGGGTTAAGTGCGGTTACCGAGTGTCAGATGCCTCGGTCCGTTGTGATACTTAAGTTAAGCCTTTAGTCCCCGCATCCCCAGACACTATTTCGTAACTAATTTCCCCGGATTGTGACAAGCTATTGATAGACGTTATGGATCCAGCAACTTCATCGAAGCCTGCCACCGCGGACCGGGGCTCCTTCACCACGCCTGAGCCGCTGCAAAATACATATACAACCGATGCGAATCTCCATCGCTTGCTTTCATGTGAGTCTGCAACAGATGATAAATACAGACAACTAACGTCAAAGGGTACCTTCCGTCATCAACATATCAATCCATTCAGTCCAACCTCACCCAGCTCGGCGAGGAAGCCATCTCGCCTCAAATCCGCGAATGGAGTGCCGACGCCGAGCGCCACCAGCCCTACGTCAAGGGATATAATGTCTGGGGCCAGCGATACGACTATGACCGATTGATCACCAGCGAGGGCTGGAAGCAGCTGAGCCGATGGGGTGCTCGACATGGGTATTCCCTCTGTTTATTGTCTTACGCCCAGAACTAACGAAAGCAGGGTGGTGGCATTAGGCTACGATCCTAGCTATGGCGCCTCCCGCCGTCTCGTCCAATATACCGTCAATTACCTGTACGGGCCTTCATCAGGGTTGACATCCTGCCCCGTCGCCATGACCGACGGCGCGGCGCTGATTCTCTCCCAGCAACTCCAGCAACACTCCTTCCCAGAAGACCATCCTTTTCGGGTCGTCTTCAACCATCTCACCTCCCGCAACGAAGACTTCTGGACCTCAGGCCAATGGATGACCGAACGCGCCGGCGGCAGCGACGTCCAAAACACCGAAACATGGGCCACCCACGACCCTCTCCCGGCCTCCTCCTCCACCACCAGCAACAACAACCCGCTCGGCACCCTCGGAGAAGGCGAGTACAGCATCAGCGGCTTCAAATTCTTCTCCTCAGCAACAGACGCCAACGTCACCCTCCTCCTCGCCAAAACCGCCCCCTCCGGAAAACTAAGCACCTTCCTCGCGCCCCTCCGACGCACCATCACACCCCCCAACCAAGCCCCCCGCGAAGTAACCAACGGGGTCCGCATCCACCGCCTCAAAACCAAGCTCGGGACCAAGGAACTCCCCACCGCCGAGCTGGAGCTGCGGGATATGCGCGCGCACCTCGTCGGGCAGCGCGATAAGGGCGTCGCGACGATCGCGCCCTTGCTGAACGTTACCCGCACGCACACCTTCATCGGCTCGCTGGGTGCGTGGCGCCGTGCGCTGAGTATCGCCAGGTCTTTCTCCCGCGCGCGCAGCACAGTCGGCGAGCCACTCTGGTTGATTCCGATGCATTTGCGGTTGTTGGCGGAGGTGGAGGTGCGGCAGCGGGCGGCGATGCAGTTGGGGTTTTTTACGGTGGGGGTGATGGGTGTTGTTGAGAATCCTGGGGCTACTGCCGAAGTACCTGGGCATGTGCCGAAAGGTGCTGAAGCGACAGTTGTCTTCCGGGCGTTGACGGCTGTGTCCAAGGCGGTGATTAGCAAGATGGCGATTGTGGGAATCCAGGAGTGTCAGGAGGCGATGGGGGGTGTGGGGTATATGGATGAGCCGGACGAGCCCGAGTTCAATGTCTCGCGGTTGCTGAGGAATACCGCGGTGAATAGTATCTGGGAGGGGACGACGAATGTGCTGGCGAGTGAGATGGTAAGGTTTCTGCTGGCTAGGGATAACTTCGCGGTGTTTGCTGCGTGGGTTGAGCGGGTGTTGGGCATGATACGGGGGGAGAAGCTGGCGCAAGCATTGAGGATGGCCTGGACGGCGTTCAAGGGCAAGGTGGCCAGGGATGTTGCGTCGGTTCTGGCGGATGGTCGTCGAGTCATGTTTACCCTTGCGTGGATTCTGATGGGGGCGTTGCTGGCGCTGGATGCTGAGCGAGATGGGGATGCGGTGGCGGCAGAGGTGGCTCGTCGGTGGATTCTGGCTGGCGAGGGAGGAGTCGGAGACACGGTGCATAGGGATATTGTGAAGCCGTATGAGGCAGACGCGGGTGAGAAAGATCATGCGAGATGGGACTGCCGGATTGTCTGGGGACAGGAATTGCCCGAGGTACAGGTGGCCGGCCATCGTTCTCTGAAGAAGAACAAGCTGTAGTAGCATTCTTTACACATCGTATCATATCATATCATATCATATTACAGGCAATCAAATATCCAACAACCAGGACCCGCTCCAGTCAAAGCCCGACCCCTCCCAGTTCTGATCCAAGATATCCATATACCCATCAAACGGCATCACATCACGCTTTTCCGTCTCCAGACTCGAGACCTGACTAGCAACTATCCCCCCCTGTATGACCCCCCACTGCCGACAAAGCCGCCGATCAATCCCATTAAAGAAATCCACCAACCCAGGGCCCAGACTCGGCACACCCCCCTCAAACAAGGGCTGTCGCCGCACCTGCTCCGTCAACCTGTCCAACGCCCGGATCGGGCCCACCGCCGAGCGCCAGCGCTTCGACAGCGTCTGCAGACACAGCTTGATAGTGGACAACTCATACTCGGCTGTCTCCTTGAGCGGCTCGTATCGATACGCCGAGAGCAGCGACAGCCCAGCGCTGAGCCCGTACAGCGCGAAGATCGGACCGAGATACTGCAGTTGGTTCTTTTGGTGGAAGACCTCGAAGATACCTGCTATGCAGGACGCGGCGACGAGGGACGCAGCAGACGGGACGCTGTTGGGTGTGGGCGAGCGGTGCAGGATGATCAGAATGGCGAGGTAGACGACGAGCAGCTGGTTGACTTCGAACTCGTGCGTCGAGGAGATAGTGTCGGGCGGTGCTGCGGCGCGGAGCGAAGGGAGGGACTGGTTGATCCAACGGTAGAGAGCGTTTTCGAGCTGGCTGCGGCTATCCAGGGACATGGTCTTGCGGAGACAGCCCTCGACTGCGTCGCCCAGCAGCAGGCAGATCGCCGTGTACGCCACAAAAAGCTGGGACTTGTCGTTTTGGATGTCAAAGTCGTCTACGCTGGGTGGGAGGACATCGCTGTCGCTGAGGTTGATGGTCCGCGGGCGTCCGGTGCCGGCGGAGATGATATTATCGCGGACCTATGCGGTCAGTGCATGCTTATTGTAGGCGAATATTACATACGACTAATGCCCACCAGAGCCTCCTCCGCAGCCCCCGGTCCTTTGCATTCGCGGCAGGCTCCTTGTGCAATCCGATCTGAAAGGCCATAGCGCCGGCCGTGCGGATCCAGAACCCGCTCGTGTCGGTTGAGACCTTCTCCGGTCCGACGGGGTTATACCAGTGGAGCAAGCACGCCGACACAATGGAAATAAGCGAATTGTTGCCGCTTCCGAAGAAGTAGAGCAGCTTCGCCTTGCGGTAAAAGTCTTTGCTCGAAACGTCCTCGGATGGCGCAGACACTCGACTCCCCGCTAGCAAGACGGCCTGCAACAATAGTGGTGAGGGGGACTCCGCGGTTAACCATTCCGGCTCAATGATCGGCGTCCATGGCGCACAGTACCGCATGAAGCAGTCGATGAGATGGTCCTGGACGGGCTTGGGTGGGAGATCAAACACCCGCTGGTGCTGGAACAGCTGCATGTCCTCGTGATTGTCGGTGTCGAGGGCATCTTGGCCGGACTGGACCAGGGTCTCGTCAAAGGGGACACTCCCGCTGAGATACTCGCTGCGGCCGCTGTAGCTTTTTTCAGCGGAGATGGCAGCGGCGGGACTGTATGCGGTGCGCGGGTCCTCCCGGGAGGGGGACAAGCTGTTGGTGATTCTCTTCCGTTTGCGGGTGAATGGGCTGATGGGTCAGTAGAGGACGATCTGATAATGGAGAGGCTTACAGGCACTCGGCCTTTGCTTTGACGCAGTTGCTACATGGCTGCTGTTTCTCCAGATCGCATTTCACCTGCTGCGGTTAACAGATGCACGACGTATTTGGGCATACTCCGTACCTTTCTCTTGTGGCAGATAATGCATGCTCTGATGACAGCTGGCATATTCCATATCTAGTCTACCCCGTTCTTCGTTTATCAATTATCTTGATATCAAGGAACAGGAAATGAGGTCCAAATAACCGATCATTGCCGAGGAAACAGGTGGGCCGGATAAGGCACCAATCAGATTGCAGGATCATTCTACAATCTATACAATATCATGGTGACAGTGTTGCTCGAGCAGTCGTACCTGGCAGAAAATGTAATACATGACATAGCCATGCTACAGTTTTACCCTCGCGTTAAATACAGATACGCTTGGTCTTCAAGGCTCGGTTCGAGGTCTGATTTACCACCCAAAACAGTCAAAGCCCTGGCAGCTCTCCTTGACAAAGACAATCACTCGCATGTAGAGAAGGTTTTGAGATTTCAAAGTTGCTTCTACCCTCTCGTACCGAAGCTCAGCCGGCAGGCCCTGAAGAATCTCTTTCAGTGTTGGATAACCCTCGCCTTTGACACGCAGATCTGCTGCTTTTTTGACAAAAGCATGCTGATTATCGATGGTCCGAAAGGGAGGTTTGAACTTGATTTCGGGAGTGACCAGCAAAGAGAGCAGTTCATTGAGGTCATTCGACAGGTGCAGATGGACCTGGGATTTCCTACCGCTGGCACAGGCTCCGATGAACAGTCGCCGGTACCCAGCCAGATCACCCGCAAGCGATCTGCCGACTCTGCGGGGTTTGCAAGCGTCCTCGACTCTCCTCTGGTCTCGGAATGTAAAGCTGGCGTGGTCAGCCGTTTCCCATGCGTCGAACTCACTGGCAGGATCCTCGTTCTTGCTACTATTGCAATTGTCATTCAGGTGTGTCGTTCACCGTAGAGATATTGCCATATCCTCTTGACATGACACCATCTATTCATAGACCTGTGCCGACAACGTCTTTGGAGTAATGACTGCAATCAATGTACCCAACGCACGAGCCGCAATGAGTCAAGAACTGTATATATAAAAGGGAAGGCCCATGCGTGTGATGACCGTGCTGCAGCGCTTATGCATCCCGAGGGCACCAATAGCGGGCATCGCGAAGGCAGATCTATGCTCTATTCATCCTGTCTTTCCTGCAGGACTGAGGGACTACAAGGGCAGTGAAGCTTTACAGGAATTCCAAAGTGGTAAGCGTCACTAAAACGTCTTTAAAAGGCGTTCAAGGATTAAGGGGCAGTGTCAGCGTTAGGATAAGCGAACCCTGCAGTCCAAGAGTCACACGTGCCTCTATTTCCGTCTTGTGTCGAGGCTTGAAGCTTATGCATCCAGGGAACAGATCAACCAAAAAGGACTTGAAAAGCTGAAAGTGGATTGTGCCCAAGGACCGATATCCGCCTAATTACCAACATGCCAAGCCACTACAAAGGGTCTCGACTTTGCGCTTTTGCGGTATCGGAGGAAGAAATGGCTTATGCTTGGTTTAACCGAGTCAGTTTTTAGTGAAGGGTTCAGTGTTTTGCTACGGTTCTAGAAATTAGCGACGGTTTCATAGGCGTGACATAAAATCTGGTCTCTGTAGGCTACGATAGGCACCAGCTCAGCCCGCCAGAGACATTTCTCATCGTTGCCTGTCCCTTATCCCTAATTCAGCAAGAGAAGCCGAGCATTGACTGACGGGAGCAGATTAAGAATAATATTAATAGCTTCTTTTTCCTGGCTTTCTGGCTTATGCATCCAGACTGGGCGGCTTATCCACCTGTTCCTGGGTCAGGTCCACTTGATCCCTGGACTATTGGACTAAGACTGAGTTTTCGCCGTGTTTCCTCCGGGTTTAGTGCAAAAATAGGACCAACGTTCTGACAACATTCACGGCTAATTGGCTCGTGTCCTGCGCGTGAGATGTAACCTCATTTCCCCGAAGAGTGGCGGACTGTCGCCGGATTGGCCGGTAAATGACTAGAGAGTAGTCTGTTTGCCAAGTATTGTGGACTGGACGTGTCTTGTCTTGAATACTGCCGGTGGAAGAGGTTTGAATGTTTACATGTTGTGAGAGTCTGGCTGGCATACTTGTGGTGCAGTCCACCTCCACAAGGCTGGAGTGCCCTGATAACTCCTGATCTAATTGTCTCGGACGGAGATATCCTAGCCTAAATCTCTACTCTGGTGTCTGCGGATCCGGATCCAACTCATCTCGTTTAATAATTAGTCCATCTCGCTAGACATTTCAGGGGATAGTGCCAAAGAGGTCCAAGAGTCAAATTTCCACCATTTCCCTGATGACCATTCAGACAAGCCCAAATCCCCGCTAAACCACTTGGTTTGACTCGATTTCGGGCCAAAATACCAGTCCCATCAACAAGAGCCGCAACATCCACCACTAGACAGAGTCTAGCAGCCATGTCGCTTCAGCCTGGTCAGGTCTGGGGGGGCATAGCCTCCCTCATAAGAGGACGAGTTCGCCTTGTCCGTTGCTTTGAGCTTTCTTCTTTCTAGTCGTCTGATTGTCCATCGCTCGTTTCCCGATCGTATATAGATCGTCCATTCTTTTGCAGCCATATTACCGCAGACCACAGTTTACTCTATAAGCACCATCTTACAGTCCTTCCTTCAGTTACTAATAAAAATGCGTCTCTCAATTGCTTCTGTCGTCTCCTGCCTGGCGGCTCTCGCCATGGCCGCTACCAAGCCCGACTACACCCAGGATCCCACGGGAAATGCCATCCTCAAGCCGGGTCTGAACGAATTGGTCCCTGCTGGAAAGCAGTACACAATCGAATGGGATCCCACTACCACAGGGCCGGTCTCGCTGGTTCTCCTGCGCGGTCCCAGCACCAATGTTGTGCCCATTGAGACGCTGGCCGACAGCATCCCCAACTCGGGCAGCTTTTCCTGGACTCCCAGCACCTCCCTCGAGCCCGACACCACCCACTACGGTCTCATGCTCGTTGTCGAAGGGACCGGCCAGTACCAGTACTCGACGCAGTTTGGTATCTCCAACCCAGACTACTCTGGCTCGACTTCCAAGTCGTCCTCGACTGCCACTACCGCCACCGAGACCAAGTCTTCTTCCGCGACGGAGTCTTCTTCTTCCAAGCCCTCGACCACTGGCACGCCCGAGACTGCTACTACTACCGCGACTTCTGGTTCGGCCAGTGCCGACTCCACCACTACCGCCTCGGAGACCCCCGCGACTACCCTCGTCACCCAGAGCAGCACCACCAACGTGCCCACCTCGACTGTGGTTGTGACTGTTCCTAACAGCTCTGCCGGCTCTTCGTCGGGTGCCTCTGGCTCTCCCCGCCAGTCCAGCACCCCGTCCCCCTCGCCCACTCTCTCGAGCGGAGGAGACCGCAAGGCGATCAGCCTGGGAGCGGTTGTAGTGGGAGCATTCGCCGTGATGGCTTTCTAAGTGATGGGACCGCAGCCCGAGTTGTGCTATGTATGTAGCGTAATAGCTAATGACTTTTCCTGAATATATATACCCCTGGATATGAAATACAAGTATAACTATGCTATGGTTGGCTCGTGCCTTTTATCGTCGTGGGTGGCTGCAGTGACGTCACCACTAGGAATCTTATCTCCACATTCCAATTCTTCATTCTTCATTCTTTCGGTCTTTCATTATATCAAATTGGCCGCGATGAAGGTAGATGATGTGCCAGACTGACCACAGCAGAATACATGGACCCCTCGCAATGCCCTCGCATAGCATCTCCGCACAGCAACTGGCGGACATGCTGCCCACCGGCGTCGCCATCCTCAACCACCGCGACGAAGCCATCTTCACCAACCGCCGCTTCCGCGACCTCATGACGAAGCGCGACCCGCGCTCCTTCGACTGCTGGTCCCAATCCATCCATCCCGACGACTACGACCGCCTCGCGACCGCCTACCACGACGCCTCCCGCGCTCAGCAGCCCCTCCGCATCCAGTACCGCACCCGCGACGAGGACTGTCCCTGGCGCCTACTCACCCTCGCCCCGATGGGCCCCGACGAGCGCGCCCTCTTCGGCCTCACCACCGCCGGCGGCGCCATCTGCACCATCGCCGACATCACCCAGGAAAAGACCGCCGAGCTCTCCCAGCGGAGAATCGCCGAGGAAGCGCAGCAGCGCAAAACACAGCAGGAGCGGTTCATCGACATGATCAGCCACGAGGTGCGGAACCCGCTCTCCGCCATCCTGCACTGCACCGAGGACATTCTCGAAGCGGTGCACCGAACCCGGAAAGGGCAGAGCACGCCTGAGGAGACCCATGCGACGATTGCGGAAGCAGCTGAGACGATCGGGCTGTGCGTCGCGCACCAGAAGAAGATCGTCGACGACGTGCTGACCTTCTCGAAGGTCGATGCGGGGATGTTGACGCTGACGCCGCGCCGGGTGCAGCCCCGCCGCCAGCTGGCTACCTCGCTGACGATGTTCCGGCCCGAGCTGCGCAAGCAGAACATCGAGTTCGAGTATAAGCTGGATCATTCGTATGAGGAGCAGGGGATTGACTGGGTGATGGCGGATTTGGACCGCATGAGCCAGGTGCTTATCAACCTTGTCTCGAACGCGATCAAATTCACGGCCAAGTCTGGCGGCGAGATGAAGGTGCGGGTGTCGATGGGGGCGTCGACAACGCGGCCCCCGTCGTATCCGCCGAACGTGGTGTTCTTCAACTCGGATGCGGCCGCGTTGAGGCTGGATAAGACGCAGCAGGCGGAGTGGGGGGACGGGCCGACGGCGTATATCATGGTTGCGGTGCGGGACACGGGGATTGGGATCAGCGATGAGGCGCAGAAGCGGCTGTTTGAGCGGTTCAACCAGGCGACGCCGCGCACGGAGAGTATATACGGGGGCTCGGGACTGGGGCTGAATGTCAGTCGGCGGTTGTGTCATCTGCACGGGGGCGAGATCGGGGTGAGCTCCAAGGAAGGCGAGGGCAGCACGTTTGGGTTCTTCTTTGCCGTCCGGAAAAGCGACGGCGTCGGAGAGCCGTCTACCAGCCCGACGGCTGAGCAGGACCAGACCTGCCGGAAGATCCTGTCGCTGGGCGACGAGATGACCGACGCGAACCACCAGATGACCTCGCCTGCCATTCCGGAGGACCCCGAGGTGACTTATATCGAGGAGATCAATCCCGCCTGCAATAGCGACGGGAGAAAGGACCACACGGCCAAAATAGCCGAAGAGACTACAGACACTGAGAGTTCCACTGCACCTACACCAGAGAGACGAGATAGCCAACACATCCTCCTCGTCGAAGACAACATCATCAACCAGCGCATCCTCTCCCGGAAACTCCAAGGCCTCGGCTTCAGCGTCACGGAGGCCAGTAACGGCCGTGAGGCGCTGGACGCCGTGAAGAAAGACCACTTTGACTGTATTCTCATGGACCAGGCCATGCCAGTGATGGATGGCAATTCAGCCACCAAGGCGATCCGCGAGCTCGAAAATGAACGATCGGCAGGGCATACCGCTGTGCTAGGGGTGACGGCCAACGTTAGAGCAGAGCAGCAGGAAGAGATGCTGCAGTCCGGCATGGACGATGTGATCCATAAACCCTATAAAATGGATGAGCTGACTGACAAGATTGGGCAGCTGGTTTTTAAAGAGTCGGAGTAGATCCCAGTGGCATTTGTATACATTGATACCAGGCATTAGTCGTTTGTAAATGAGGATTTGTGAATCCCTGATTCCCTTCATGGTTATGACCTTGATATATAAGAGCTACTATATTTCATCCTCCTATTTACCTGATCCTACTCTCCCTGTTTCTTTGGCCATACCCCTGCATTCAAAGAAGAATGAAAGATCCAACCAGACCAGATGGCTCCTTACTTACAGCAGTGAAACAACCATCTTCAAGAGCAGCCCATAGCATCAGATGCCTAATTGCAAGCATCCACTTCGTGGCAGATATGGCCCACAATTTCAGCCAATTCCCATACGACGATTACGTTGTTTTGGAGGAGATAGATCTTCTGGAGCACGCTCAACTAGGAAGCTGGAGGATTGAGCAATGAGACAATCAGAGTCGTCAAGTTAGCAAGGATTATGGGTCATCCCCGCTAAGTTCGTAATATGCTCAAGCGACGGTACCTCATTCGCGTACAGATAGGCACAAGCAGAACAGAGAGTCGTTGGTTTGCCCTGTCGCGATGTCGAGCAATATCAGAACGTGGTGAATAGTGTGTGATCAGGTATATACATTAACCATTGGGTGGATTTTGAAAAGGATTGCGGCGTGGCGAAGATTATCGTACAAAGGAGCCAGGCTTAGGTCTTTTCATCAAAGCCGTCAAACGGAAAGTGGTTCTGAATCTCAATTCTATCTTCATTTGTCTCGGCCGCTTCAAGCATCTTGGCTTTTATCTCACAAGCCATTTCTTTCGAAGCTTCATACTCTTCATTCGGCACCAAGCCCATGATGTCGACACCTAGAGCATTCCGCATATGATCCATCGCATCATCAGCTTCTTTCTGCTGCGCATCTAAAGCAAGAGTATCACGGATGACCGTGTCGGAGTATGTGAGAGGAGGTGTATTGCATGTTTCCAGTCCACGCCCGACAGAGTCTGCCGAAATCAAAGTTGACCAGATTTGTATGGCACGTATCCTGTCAGCCTTTAGACTGATTGAATCCCCTTCCCAAGGACTACCTGCACTTTCCAAAAGACGCTGAGTGATGGCCCCTCTCTCGGTCGAGCATCAGAGCGTGGGTCAAGGACTGAATATGATCATCTATTGACAATCAATGAGCTTCTCAGCCCGTTCCTCTACAATTCAAACAAAGAGGAACATGCGCATTAAGCTTTCTGATGAGAAAGGTGCGTGTATAATATGGCCTATATGGTTTGTCATTCCCATGCAGCTAGGAATATCTAATCACTGAGTGGACCCTAATATGGGCACGGCAGTCTCAGTACTAGCTGCAAGCAGTTCAACATCCTGCTGCTCGCCAAGTGTATACGTTCGGACTTCAGATATAAAGTTCTGACAACAGGAGTATAAGGCAGCTAGTAACTGTTACGTGTAACCATTCTGGTCGATTTCTCCATGGCCCATTGTCACGAGTCGGTTAGGTGCCTCAGGCAGCATTCATCTACCTCGGCAAGGGATTTCCGGCCTGACAATGACAGCAGCACAACCACTCGGTAGCCAAAGGCTCACAGCCTCTGGGCACGGAATCTATATGATATTTAGTCTCGAACATGTCTGGCCGTCGCAATCGTTCTGCAGTTGCATGTCAAGCATGTCGTCGACGCAAAGTCCGGTGCACTGTTACTGTAACCGGCATTCCGTGCATCAATTGTTCCCAAGATGGGCTGGAGTGCACAGTGGTGCAACGACGAGGGACGTACGTACATCCTTACGGCATTAAGTGAAAAGGTATCATACAAAAAGAACTATTCCTGACTGTCACAGTCAGCAGACAAGGAATCAACCCTTGCGCGAGATCCGCGCGGTTCCTCATCCGAGGTCCAGCCCGAGGCTGAACGACAGGACATCTCAAGTCGATTCCGGTGAGACGGTCGGTGGCCGCACGGTTTCGAATCTCGCCAGGAACATGTCTCAGTCCGGACGGGCTGTCTCAGAGCCAACGGCGGCGACAGGAACCACGACCCCGTATTCCGAGCAAAGCCGGATCGAAGACGAAGAGCGCAGTGCGGCTGACTTTGCCACGGCTTCGCTGGCGCCTCGGGATGCCGAAGCAAATGATATGCCTATATACACTGGTCTGCTTGCATGACAGAATGTATTCGAAGAAAGCTAACTGTAGTAGGTGAATCTTTGGGATTCTCTGCGGTTTTGGATGTTTTAGCCACGCAGGCTGTCCCCAGACATGTCTTCCGGCCCTCGTCGCATCCTAGTCTAACTGCTCAAGATGTCGAGTACCTCAAGTTTAAAGGATGCTTGACATTACCATCCAGTGATATATGTCGCGAGCTTCTTCGTGCTTATTTTCACCACGTGCATCCTATTCTACCGGTGGTAGATGCTGCGCAGGTATTGAAATTTGAGCAGCAGCATGACCGACCAGCCGAATGGAATCTGCTGCTTCTGTGGAGCATCTTCTTCGTGGCGGTTAATGTCAGTATCTCCTCACTGGAGTCACATCATCTCGCTAACTGATCAGTTTATTCCTGCCGAGACTTGCACAGTCGCCGGATACCCTTCCCGGAAAGAGATGAAGGAAGCCATGTACTCCCGTGCAAAGGTACTCTCCATTTAGCTCTTCAGGTTCATATACTTATGACCTTGACAGTGTATGTATAACAATGGGGGTGATGATAAAATTACGCAGATGCAATCTGCCCTGCTACTCGGATTCTGGCACTCGGAGATGAACAACCACGCCCAGCCCTGGTACTGGACAGGCATTGCAATCAACCTCGGTCAGATCATGGGTCTCCATCGCGATCCGGACGCAGTCAAATTTAATCCATCCATTACAGGCCGTCGACGAGCTTTATGGCGGCGCCTATGGTGGTCATGTTTTTTTCGAGACCGCTGGCTCGGTCTCACCCTCGGACGTCCGTTGAGGATCAACCTGCTCGATTGTGATCTTCCGATGCCCTCAACAGCGGATGTTCTGAGTGACTTATCCGAGGTGTCGCCATCGGTGGCAAGTCTGTTCATCCCGGAGGACCTGGCGCAGTTAAGCGAGTATTGGATTCTCCTACTGCGGTTGTCCAAGATCCTGGGGGATGCTCTGACCCTGAGCTATCAGCCAAAAAGGCCGAACCCTACTGCTGAGCAAGTTGAAGCAATAGAGTCGGAGCTACTAACTCTCGAGATTCCGCACGAGTGCGCATCTGACCAGAGCGAGTGGGCACGGTTTGCCGTTTACCACTTGCAGTTACATTATCAGTATGTCGACCTCTCACACTCATTACCGCAAACTAACACGAGAAGAGCATTCCTGATTACATTCTATCGCCCTTTCACAAAACGACTACCGGAAGGTGTGCCTTCAATCAATCAGACAACATATCAGTCGGCGATACGCGCCAAAGTAGACGCTGCTGCACTACAAACGAACACCATCCTCGACGCTTTGGCGCGCGAGAAACTTCTCAACTTTGCTGGCCCAATGACGTGAGTTTGCTCTCTACCATGCAATGCTGTTTCTAATCGGATGCAGTCCACCTCTCCTCGTCCCCGCCATGCACATCCACCTACTCAACTGCAAGTCGGACGATCCTCTCACGCGGCAGCTCAGTCTCAACAAACTTGACTTTTGCATGTTGATCCTCAAGGTCATGCAGGATGTACACACGGCCGCGTCGTATTACCGGGGCATATTCTCCGAGGCGATCCGCCATCTTTCGTCCACGACGAGCAAGCCAACCGGGCAGGGACCGGTTGTGGTTGAGACGCCGGCGTCTCTGCCAGGCGAACCCACGATGGAGACGCTGCTGAGCGGTGATTTCCTCGACGGGCTGATGGACGAGGCGTCATTTTTCAATTTCTGGGAGCCGCTCAGTAATATGTGATCTGTCTATTGTAATATAAGTCTATAGTCTATATACAGTTCTCAGGCGAGCACATGCTTCAAAAGGCTGGATAGCTACGCCTCCGACTTGTAAGGCCACTTAACCCTCCTCTCCGCCCTCACATACAGATTATTCGGCCGAATCAACTGAAACATCGGATCATACTCGATGGGACCATCTCCCTCCCGCGTAAACTTATACCGATAGATCAACTTGGGCAGGAAGACCTTGATCTCCTGCAGGGCGAAATTGAACCCGATGCACATGCGCGGTCCCATTGCAAACGGGATATACGCCGCCTTGTGCCGCTGCTTCACCTCGTCCGTGTCCCATCGGTCCGGATTGAAGCGCGCGGGGTTATCCCAGATGGCAGGGTTATTGTGGATGTGATGCAGGGCGGGGATGACGACTGCGTCTTGGGGGATTTTGTATCCGCCTGGTAGGATCAGGTCGAGCTTTGCGGTGCGGCCGGGCTGGAAGGAGGGGTTGTGCCGGCGCTGCGTTTCTTTGATGTATTTGTCCAGGAAGGTGAGTTTATCAGTGAAGTCGGCTGTGATTTCCGTGTTGTCGTCGAAGCCGTGGTCGACGAGTTCCTGGAGCAGACGGTCCTGCATGCCGGGGTAGGTGACCAGGCCGTAGATGAGCCAGGAGAGGAGCGAGCTGGTCGTTGTGAAGCCGGCGCCGGTGGCTACGACGAGGGCCCAGACGAGGCTGGACTTGGGCAGTTTCTCGCCTTTGTTGTCTGTTGCGCGGATGGCATAGTCTGTTGCTGTTAGCGGCGCTCCCTCTGAGGCTCAGGCTGGGTTAGTATACTCACCAACCATGTTCGCCGCTTGCAGCGCGGCATCCTGCAAGGGTAGATCCTCGACGCCTCCCCGCTGCGCCTTCTGCACTGACTCCTCGACCAGCTGCTCGATGCGCGCCTTTGTGTCCTTCAGTCGCTTGGGATCCCCAAACGGCAGGCTAGCGTACCAGTCCCCCTTGGACGTGACCTTCTTGTTCAGCGACAGTACCTCCGCGATCAAGTGCACCATCTCGTGGATCGGCGCATCCGCTGAAGAGAAGTGCTCAAAGTCCAGGCCCAATGTCAATTTACCCACAGCCTGAGACCCCAGCTTCAGCATGTACTGGTACACGTTCCAGGCCTCGCCCTGCGCATCTAGCTGGTCGAATATGGTGCATGCATCCTCAACGGTCTTCTGCATGGTGGGCGCGTAGTGCCGGACGGCCTTGGGTCCTAATGCAGGCGGGAGGAACTTGTGCGCAACCCGCCATTCGGGGGTGTCTGTGTCTCCTAGGAACACGCCAGCAGAGGGGGTCTTGAGCGAGTAGAGCGGGTGCGCCTCGTTGATTTTCTTGGTGAAGAAGTCGGATTCGTTGAGGACGATGGCGGAGAGGACGGGGTCGTTGGTCTGGTAGACTGTGCGGCCGAGAGTGTTGGTCTTGATTAGGGGACCGTACTGCTCGAAGAGACGCTGGTGGTTGCCCAGGTGGTCTGGGAATATCTGGAAGAAGTTGCCGAAGAAGGGGAGGCCGTTGGGGGAGGGGGCGTCCCGGATGGCATGGCCGTCGATGGTGATGGCGACGGGAGTTGTGGATGAGGTGATCTCGTTGAGATCCGTGAGGGATATGTCTTGCCCGGAGAATTCGATGCCTAGGAGAGTCAGTGCTGTCAGTTGAAACCCTGGGATGAGACTCACCACTCGGCTCGACAATGGCAAAATGAGATGCAATCAGGTTCCGCAAGCCCTCAAGATCATTCATGCCGTCAAGCGAGATTGTTCTCGCTGACGAGATCGATTCACCCAGAAGGTAAAACTGTTGTGATGCCATTTGGTAGCTCCTTTTAGGTCTGGTCATTCACTGATAGAGGCGTATGGACGTGTCTCTGATGCTGCTGACAGCTTATATACAAGTATTTGACAGCCAGACATAAAATTACTCACGGATAGCATAGACAGTGTCTGTAAACTTGGCCGGCATGCCGCGGACGCATATATAGAACAGGCATGCCGATTGGCTATATTACCTCGGTATTCATCAGATCGCTCCACTGATCTACTTTGTCATAATTTCCCGGTGACGACGACAGCCACGTTCTCGTTTGACGGCCAATAGGATAAACAGGATAGCACTAGAGTAGGAGACAGCGAGAGCAATGTAATTTGCAGCCGATAGCCGTTGCCGAAGTGGTTGAGGCGAAATGCCGAGAAATGCAATATAATGCACACGACTATATCATTCCTTCCAGCCCGTCTAGGAGCTATTGACTACTTGAAACGAAGAAGTCTTCTTTTCGCATATTGCAGACATTCATGATGACTGAATTTACAGTCGCAGACGTCTCAGGCCATAAGACCCGTGAGGACCTCTGGGTGATCATTCACGGCAAAGGTACGTCCAGGAACTATCTGCTCTGTCAGCAGTGCTAACTTTCCTAGTTTACGATCTCACCCAGTACATTCGGGATCATCCAGGCGGCGCAGATGTGCTGCTGGATGTTGCTGGTACCGATGCGACCGCCGCGTACGAGGACGTTGGACACTCGGAGGATGCGGACGAAATCATGCAGACTTATCTGGTGGGCACGTTAAAAGATGCAACTCAGTTTGTTCGCAAGTCCGCTGTGCGTGTTATTCAGCCGACCTCCGTGCCAGTAGCGAAAGGCAACAGCTCGTCTCGGGCTGGCAAAGTTGCTGCCGCCGGCTCAGTGGCTGGTTTGCTCAGCCTGTTATACTACGTGTCTCCCCGTCATGGATCCTCGCATCTCCCACACGCCCTTCACCAACTCGAGACATATCTCCCTAGTCTGCACCGCCTGTTGCCGTCATCCATGACCAGCATGCGCCTGCCACACGGGGGCTTCGCCAATGGATTCGCAGCCGCAGCCCTACTCTCCGCAATCATCACCGGCGTCGTGGGGATGCAAGTGTCGAAACTGACGCAGATCGATTCCGGCTTTACTCGATACCCCCCCCGTATCAAGAGCAAGCCGAGTCCCAAGGCAGATCCTCACAGCATTCCCGGCTTCCTCAATCCCAAAGACTACAAGACGCTCCCTCTTGTGCAGAAAGACCTCCTAGCGCCCAACGTCTACCGATTCGTCTTCCAACTGCCATCAGCCACAGATATCGTCGGCCTCCCAGTCGGCCAGCACGTCGCCATAAAAGCCACCGTCAACGGCCAGACTGTCTCACGATCCTACACACCAACCTCCAACAACCTCGACCGCGGCTACCTCGAGCTCGTCATCAAATGCTACCCCGACGGTCTTCTGACGGGTCAGTACCTCGCCAACCTGCAAGTCGGCGAGAAAGTACACTTCCGCGGCCCCAAAGGCGCAATGAAGTACAAGCGCAATCTGTGCAAGAGAATCGGCATGATCGCCGGCGGCACGGGCATCACGCCCATGTACCAGCTCATCCGGGCAATCTGCGAAGATGACAAAGATACCACCGAGATCAGCTTGGTGTATGCCAACCGCAGCGAGGGGGATATTCTGCTGCGCGAAGAGCTGGAGGCGTTTGCGCGCAGGTACCCGAAGCAGTTTAAGATGTACTATATGCTCGATGTTGCGCCGGAGAACTGGAAGTATGGCAAGGGGTATGTGACGCCTGAGGTGATGGCTGCCAGGCTGCCTAAGCCAGCGGCTGATACGAAGATCTTCCTGTGTGGGCCGCCGGGGATGATCAATGCTGCGAAGAAGGGGCTTGTCTCGCTGGGCTTCGAGGCGCCGGGCGCTGTGGGAAAGATGACTGATCAGATATTTTGTTTCTAGTTTATTTGTTGGTGGCTTTCTGCATGTGTATAACAGAGGATAGATAGTTTGTCTTTGCAGTATCAGAGCTTGGTCATTATTCACAGTGCAGCATTTAGCTTTACTATAATATGATAACCAAGTCCGTGGGACCACATCTACAAGTTTATGGCCACAGTTGAGATTCATTCATTCGTTATTGAAAGTGCAACAATAAGAAAGCCCGAATACGCACGGCCATATGCTGTCATACATCAAACCACTCAGCCAAAAAGGTGTCCAGACGACCATCCTTAGCTAGTAGGGATGATAGCACAGTAGGGTCAACACAGCAGTGGACACAACATATACTATTCCTAATATTGGTCATTGACACACTCGGAGGCTGAAGACAGATCCAAAGATTCTCTGCGAGTATTCCATGGTTCAGTTGTTCGTCATCTTCCAGAACACCGGCAAAACGGCTAAATACTTGACTTATTCACAAAGTGGATATGATGAGGAGACGCAACATATGGCTCATCGCCACGATATCATTCAAAAGCTCTGTTTCGTCAAGCTTTCCGGCCCGAGAGACAGCATCATCGGCATGCCGAGTACCGCGGCAATCGCACCAATCGGATTTGAGAGCTTATATTGGGGCAGGTATTCTTGGATCGTCCAACCGGTAGCAAGAAAGCATTCCTATTAGTGTCCTTCCAGAATGCGTCATTGGGGACTGCATTGTCTCGACCGTGTAGATCCCGCGGCAGCGGATAGTTCTCACTCTGCAGAATGGATACCGTCCGGTTTGTCATTCGTGAACTGTGGTCGTCATTCGGCATGTCGGAAGATCTGCCGGGGGATATGCCTCGTGGCCGCTGGATCCGGACATAAATGCTTGACAGTCGTACTCCTGTACATCCTCTTCTCATAGAATTCGAACATTCATACTTACCCCTGAGCATACACAGCAACAATGCATTCAACGTGGCAGCCCCCAAAGAACTATCGGCAACGCCCTGTCGCCATTCTCGGTGCAGGCGTGCTCGGTCGTAGACTTGGTATGTCTTCTATGGGATGAAATGTCCAATACCGAACTAACTTGTACAGCATGCGTCTGGGCCTCAGCAGGTTACAATATTCAAGTCCGCGATCCGAGTCCCCAGCAGCGCGAAGACTGCCTCGCCTACGTCAGGGATAACGTGGCCTCATATGCCGAGAGCACAGGACAGAAGCCAGGCACAGTAGAGACAACCGAGAGCCTCAAGGAAGCAGTGGACAATGCCTGGCTGGTCATCGAGGCCGTTCCGGAGAAGATTCAGCTCAAGGTCAACACGTTTGCCGAACTCGATGCTCTCGCGCCGAGTGACTGTATCCTCGCCTCGAACTCCTCGTCGTACAAGTCTTCGGAGATGCTGGAGAAGGTGTCAGAGGCGACAAAATCCCGGATCCTGAATATGCACTACTACATGCCGCCGCAGTGTATGATTGTCGAGCTCATGACGGATGGGCACACCGCGGCTGAGATCTTCCCGTTTATGGTTGAGCGGTCCAAGGAGGCTGCGACGGTTCCGTATGTTGCTCGGAAGGAGTCGACCGGGTTTATCTTCAATCGTCTGTGGGCGGCTGTCAAGCGGGAGGTGCTGACCATCCTGGCGGAGGGGGTGTCGGTACCGGAGGAGATTGACTCGATGTGGCGGGAAATGTTTGTCAAGGGAGGAGTCTTGCCTTGCAGGACTATGGACGGTACGTATGCCCTTTCTTTCTCGCAGACGTGTCTGACATAGGATAGCCGTCGGCCTTGATACCGTCGCGTTTATCGAAGGCCATTACATTGCAGAGCGAGGTCTCTCGTCCGAGAAGACCGTCGACTTCCTCAAGGAGAACTATCTCGACAAGGGTAATCTCGGCAACAAGTGTGCAAATGGTGGTCTTTATCCCGCAGCATTGCCCTCGGCAAATACGGCTGCACAACCCAAAATCATCGCACTCGATATAGGTCTGTCTGCCGCCACACCTGGTTTCACCGCGGGCCAGATTGTGGAATTCTCGGACGACGGAAAGCTTCAGCGAGTACTTGTCAAGGACCAAGCCCTGCCAGACGGCTTGTCAATTGACTCCGCCGCTAAACGCATGTTCTGGACCAACATGGGTGTACCAGGCAAGGACGACGGGGCCGTCTACTCTGCCAACCTTGACGGCTCAGATATAAAGACGCTTGTTGCACCGGGCACAATCAACACCCCAAAGCAACTAGCACTGGATCAGTCCGCTCAGAAGATTTACTTCTCTGACCGGGAAGGACTACGTGTATTCCGATGCAACTACGACGGAAGTGATCTTGAGATCATCGTCCAAACGGGGGATTACCAACGACCGGGAGACATGCAAGACGCTACAAAGTGGTGTGTCGGCATCGCGGTTTCCCCTCGTTTCGGCAAGTTCTACTGGACCCAGAAGGGATTTTCAAAGAGCGGCAAGGGCAGGATCTTCTGTGCGGATATTGACATGCCACAAGGTCAGACTGCGGCAAAACGAGATGATATCCGTTGTCTCTTGGAGGATCTGCCGGAACCCATTGACCTGGAGGTAGACGAGGAATCAGGCAGATTGTACTGGACGGATCGCGGTGAGCTTCCGTTTGGAAACTCATTGAACCGGGTCTCGCTGAAGGAGACCGGTTCGGGGGTCGAACGGACTGGTCGTCTGGGATACGAGATTCTCACACGGAATCTGAACGAGGCAATCGGTTTGAAATTGGATCTGGGACGTGGTCATATCTACTTGACCGATCTCGGGGGCAGCGTCTACCGGACAGACGCGGATGGGAAGCAGAAGGTGAAGTTGTATTCCGATGAGAGCCGTGCTTTTACTGGAATTGCTTTACTATAGACCTTGTCATATCATTTGTAAATATAAGTCTGATAGAGTAGAATTGACTGCCGTTCACATTCTTGAGATATATTTCCATATATGTAGTCAACATGTCCATTTGAATCATTCTGGTTCTCTACGCTATACATGCTATGCTTATTGGCCTTAAGCAAAGCATCCATTGGTGCAATACTATGCTACTCGGCTAAATTAACCAAACCATGGCGAAGCTACAAGCCTACAAAGCCCTGGTCCCTGGAACGAGCATAAATGAATACGAAAGAGCCGCTTTTAGTCCGCTTGTTCCAGTATAGCTCTCTCGGCGGGGATTCTAGCCTCCAATAACGAATATCACGATTCAGCCACCAGTTGCAGCCTACCCTAGTTGTCATTAGACGGTAACAAGACTACATAAGTCTCATTCGACCCAAATCTCACCTCCAAGCCAACGCAACACTTTGATCGTCATGGCAGATGCTTCTCTAGAAACACTTCCAGTTGAGCTCCTGAATCAGATCAGCAGTTATTTATCCTCCCTGCGCTGCGGAAAATATCCCTACAGCGTAAGCCAGAAGCACCTCTCCAGACTCAGTCGCACATGTCGGCGGCTCCGTGATGTCTGCCAACCGCTTCTATTCGAGTACTATTACCATTCCTCCAAGTCCCTGACACCTCTTCTCTCATTCCTCCGGACACTGGATGCGCGCCCTGATCTCGCAAAATGCGTGACTAGTCTGGACTTCCATGGGCAAGGCCAAGCGGATACCCTCAGCGACGGAGATCGACAGCTGGTGGAGAGCTGCATCGCCAAGTTTGGTCTGCCCCCGTTGCCAGCCGACTGGCAAGACTGTCTGGGCGTGGAAAGACGCCTGCTCGCGGCTGAACTTGTGGTCGCGTCGTGTCCGAATATCGAGGTCCTCAAGCTGCCCATGAACCCAGAATGGATGGTGAGCGTGCTCGACTCGCTGCCGAAGGACTTTGTCTTTGCGAAGTTGAGGAAGCTAGATGTTTGGCTTTACTATATCAGCGGCGACCACTATGGTATCGGGTACCAGAAGATTAGCGGGCTGTTGCATGCGTCACCGAACCTGGAGCATCTGTCTCTTCCCTCCATTGAGACGTTTTATCCCGGCGAGGCGGGAGTACCTATCCTGGAGAAGGTGGGGCAACTCGATCTCGGTGAGGGTGCGCCGTCGCCGTATTTCCTCAAGTGTGCTTTAGAGGCGTGTCCGAATCTCCAAAGGTTCGAGCTGCATTGGATTGATTCGGACGGATACGACCAAGACTCCGAAGAGTGGTCGCCTCTGGATGGATGGCGCGCCTTGCAACGCGTTCAAAGCTCTGTCCGCGAGATCATATTCGAGACTATCATTGAGTTCCGGGACGATGACAACCTTGAAGATGGCGTTTCGACGCTGTGCGACTTTCCGCACTTGGAGATCCTCAAAGTCAATGGCATCGCTCTGCAAGCTCTGTATAAAGTCTGGACGCATCATAGCCGCCACGGAACTGTGGAGCAATTCGTATACCAGGTGTTTCCGTCTACGATTAAGGAGCTTACTATCTGGGATCCCGATGCGTCTTTAATCGAGGCTGTCCGCTTTCTCGCTCGAGAGGCTGTTCGCGAGCAGTATCCCCATCTAGCGAGGATAACGATTTCTCGGTCCGGGCATCTGTCGGGACACAGGTTTGATGTGGCGCAATGGGCCAGACGAGAAGCCACTGTCAGGCGCGAGTTTGAGCGTTCAAGCATAGAGTTGTGCATGGACCTGCCGTCAGTCCCAGATTACCCAGATTTCCCCTATGTTTTTAGATAGATGAAGCACTCTTAATATATCGACTATCTGGATATTATAATGCTATTGCCTCATTAACTGCCTCTCAAGGCGACGCAAATATGTTTCTCTTGATCATCTTCAAAGGCTTTTCATTTCGTCTCCCTCCATCCAAGGACCGCAGCCGCCAGAACATCCCCAGCACACTCGCTACAACCATGGCCGCGGACCTGGGATCTGTGCATGGCGGTAGAAGAAGCATACCTTTGCTATGTGACAACCTCGTTGACCCGTGGTGGTAGATTGTATGTATTTCAGCCTTGGTTTCCGTTTCCTCCACCGAGCATACCATACTCATCAGCAGCGTGAGCGCCAGCTGGGCGACAGCAACTGTAGAATGACATGCGCGGAGACCGAGAAACTGCAATGCGAAACCCCCGACCGTGAAGCCAAGAGAGACACCAAGAGCCAGGGTTTTGGATGCGACCCCGTCGTCTTTCCAAGACGTGATGTGTCGGTTGAATTGATTGCTGGGATGACTGTATGGAGCGAGTCAAAGACCTGGTCGCCGATGAACTGGGTACCTGGCTGGACCCAGTAAAGTCACGACGTAGCTGTCGAGCTCGAAGGCCGAGAGAGACGAGTCCTTTCGTGCTCCCTTCCACCAGTTGGGCGCATCGGATCATCCCAGTACTTGAAAGGGCTGTTCCGATGGCGAGCACCGGCACCTCATTAGCGATCCTGGAAATCACACCGGATCCATGCAAGTCGATACCGAGCGATCCCAGCCCATATGAGAATACCAAGCTGCAGAAACACCCCTACTCCAGCCGTAGTAACCAACACCCATGTCGGATAGAATCTTATCCATCATGCACATTCCCCAGACGAGCTTCCCCAAAGTCCGAGAGAAGTGGCATCCCAAAACCGCTCATCCCTTCTTACGACGGAAGGGGCGAGACTGATAGACAGTGTAGTCGCCATCGACCTTTCGCGGGCTTGGGTCGATATTCTCACTGTCATCCCATTCGTCAAAAATCGAATCGTGCTTTGCGCTAATAATAATATTTTTCGCTTGCATATCTAGACAGGACATTAGTTGTTAACAAACAGTAGGTCAAAAAGTCACAAAGCAGTGTGTATTATATGCGCTTCTGAGTGTAGAAAATCAAGGGCAAGTAACAGCTGCTGTAGTGCTCCCTTTAGTAAGTCCTCCGGAAGGCTGGTCGGATCTAAGGTCGCTTGGAAATGCAAAGACTCGATAATAGCGGCTCGTAAACAATACGCTGATGGATACCGCTAGGTCCTGTAAGTTCAAACTCCTCTATTATTTTGCGGACAAGACTGCTGCTGGGATGATCTGTCTTTATCTTTGAAAGATGCTCCAGTACGCGCACCTCCTGATTTGCCTGGGGACTGCTGATGTAAATCTTCAGTGCAATGTACCCATGTTGTCTATCATAAAGGTTAGCCCAGTCTACAAGTCTTAAGAAGCGGTCAAATACTCAAGGTCACAGCAAAACCACACCGTTAAATTTGCACCAAAACCCAACTTGCTGAGAACCTGGTATCTGGAGTGGAACACATCCCCAAGCTTGACTGGGTAATAAAGACCTCGACCATATGCAGGCATTCGTTGTCCTCTACTCTCGTGGTAGAGTCCAGCATGGGAAAGTTGGAGGACTTGAGTCTTCGTGGTGGAGATGATGGCCGTCGAAGGAATCGACTGAGCCGAACGATGAAGGTAATGTGCGAAGAACGGGCAGACGCACTACAGGTGGTCTCCGCCTGTTTAGAGCACTGGTTGACTATAGAAAGAACGTCATTGAGATTGTTTTTGTTCAATGTGAACCCCTGCGGGTCCTCGACGCCTTGGTAGCGGACCTTGATCCGGCCTCGTCGGCAGCATCCATGAGGATTGAACGGGAAATTGCGTACTGAACCATTTCAAATCAGCATTAGTGCTCCTTGTGGGCTGCAGATCATGCATTCGCATTTTGTGAGATATCATAGCACGTAGCAATCCACCAGCGCGTGGACGCCGCTGGAAGACATCGCATCAACGATGGATCAGAGACTGGTAGATCGATCGTCTCGATGATCAAATGATTCTGTCTAGCATATTGCGGGCTCGAACCTATTTAAGTGATGCACGAATCGGTGCTGTTGATCAATTACCTTGTTCCCTGTCGGAGGATCGAGGAATCGAGAGCGCCCGTTATTGATCCTTCGGCGGCGGATCAAGGGTCGCTTTCACTTCATTGAGACGGATGTATTGCTCATTCGCAATGTCGATGCAGCAGGAAAAGCAGCAGAACTTTCTCTTCATGACCCCGGGGGCCATATCTCTGGGAGGGAGGAATGGTATGATTCTGCTTTCAATTCGGGGGCGCCTCAGCTGAGTAATTATTCAGAAACCATTGAGGGTATTAACTACCTCTTTGCTACTATACCCGCATGTGCTTTATTCAGAATCTTCTCCCTCTTTTTGAATCATTTGCACTAAGCCGTGTCATCAGTGTCTACGGCGGTGGCTTTAAGTACTCTATTAACACCTCTGACCTTGACCTTAAGAATAATTTCTCCCTGCTTAACGCCTATAAACACTTTATTACCATAACTTCCCTTAGCATGGAACACCTTGCTAACACCCACCCTGCCATTAGTTTCATTCACGTCTACCCAGGTCTTTGGCACTAATATCTATACCAACAGCTTCCCTGCACTGGTTTCAACATTCTATAACTACGTGATGTGGCCATTCATTTGGCCATTTTCCGTGAATCTCAGCGAGAGTGGTGAGCGCCATCTATTACATCTGAGCTCTGCACGCTACCCGGCTAAGCAGGGCATCCCCCAAGGAGTCCCGGTTGAAACTGGGGACGTGGCTATAGGCACTAATGGAGAAATTGGGAGTGGTGCCTATCTGCTCAACTGGAAGGGAGAGGTTAGGCCAAGTACCAAGGCTCTGGCGCAGTATCGGGAGCAGGGGATACCAGAACGGGTTTGGGGACACACAGAGACTCTTTTGCATGAGGCAGTGCGTCAATAAATACCTAAGAAAGTTTTCTTGATTTCTGTTTGCCATTGTTGGCTGGAAGATGTATTAATGCCATATAGAGAAAACTACATTCGGCGAGGCTGTATAAAGGTAGACGAGGTCGAACAGAAGGGATGGCCTGCGAGAGATTCTGCCTATCTAGACATCAAATGCCCCTAGAACTGTCTTAATGGCATGGAGAGATTGTTGCCAGCCTTTCATACACACAGTACAATAAGCCTCAAGTAGGGCCGTCACAGAGGTTATTTTCCTGCCCATTTAGAGATGGTACTGCATCTTTCTAGTCATGTCAGAGGGGAAGGGACTCAATAGTACCTCAGTATCTTCAAGTATCGAAGTTAGAAATTTGGAGGATCAATTGCCATGCCAGTGTAGCCGCAGGGAACAAGTGACAGATTGGGATGAGCGCCAGGATGGGAAATGGAAGCATGACAGTCGCCATGATACTACATACCAGATAAAGAAATCTAGATATGCTCCTTTGTCTATGGTTACATCGCCATAGTCATAGTAGTATCAAGTTAACATGGATAAGATTTGCTTCAATTTTAGGAGCACAATCCTCATCAGCGCCAAAAGAAACTGGCTCGTTCGCTGATAATTGCGATTATGCAGAGGAGCAAGTTATCATATTTAATTAAAGCGGCATGACCATTAATTGGATAGAAGACTATCTAAAATCACATTCTATTAATAGGTATGAAAATAAGTATTTATTTCTTTACTTACCCATCGTAATGTGTAGACTACAGAATGTAGACAGATGATAATCACCCCTTGTCCCAGCATAACATACCCTATAAGTTGCGAACTGTGTACTCTGAACTTAGGAGGATAGGAAATAAAAAGTATATTTAATTTCATATTTACCCTTGAAAAATGTCCAATTCACAAAATTACTCAAAGAGACATTTGGGCATGTTTATAGCTGTGCTACAAACCTTATAAGGCATGTAATCTAGGTATTTACCCTAGGTAATACTCATTCCAGGACAGCTCTCGTGATGAGATCTACCCAATAGATCTGTCAACTATTTCTCTGTATTGCTAACTCCACTTGTGATCCTCACCACATTCAGTAATGTACCTTAGTCAACCACTGTGATTCTCTTATTCTCTGTCTTTCCTACTAAGTATTAAATGTCAAAGAGCTGCAAAGATCATACTACTTACAAGCTCCAATGGTCACCTCACTTAGTTCGCCCGGCATAAGCAATGAGCACCCGGAGAGAGGGGAACCGGACGACAATACGAAAAATGGAGCCGCGGAAAAGGCAGCAGATGATCTGACGGAAAGGAACAAGAGGTGGGAAATGGCCTTTGCAGCCCGGATGAGGGAGATTGTGCCTGGTCTCTTCCTTGGTAATGTCGAGGCCTCGTACAAGCGAGAAATGCTGCGAGAGAATCGTATCAACGCCATAGTCTCACTGACCGATGCTCGGTGGGTATGGTGGAATAGCACTACCAGAGAAGCTGGGATTCCAGAATATCGTCACAAATGGGTTCAATGCGCCGATTCGTCAACGCAGGACCTTCTAGTTCATATGAGCGACATCTGTGACTTCATCGACCAGATGGCTTCTCCAGTCTTACAATCATCATCTACTTTACCAGTCGAACATGAGCACGGATTGAGTGACAAGCCGCGCGAGACACATTCAGAGGCTGTCTTGGTCCACTGTGATCTGGGAATATCACGTTCCCCCACTGTCATCATTGCATATCTCATGCGCAAGTACGGACTCAAGCGAGAGGATATTCTTGCATTTGTTCAATCCAAGCAGAAAGTCAAGCCAAGTGCCAACTTTACGCGGCAACTTGAAATCTGGGAGCAGACAGGATACGAAGTGTGGGAGGACGAGGAGCGAACAGTCCCGAAAGCGCCATACCGAGCGTTTCTGGAAGGCCGAGCAGCTCTTCTGAAAAGAAAGGGGCTCACAGGCAATGAGCCTCTGGCGCCCCTGAACCTTTAGCTGATCATATGACGTAAAACAGTATGCTCCTGCAGGATTTACCAGCTTGGTTTCCAACGCCAACCACAATTTGCGTCCCTCCATATGTGACTGGACATTAAGAAGAATAGTATCAAGTACTAGTGTCCTTACTAGTGCTAGAAAGTCTTTGTGAGCATCCTCTGGACTAGAATTGCCCTTACTATATTATTTATATCAGCCTTCTAATAGCTACCACAGAGGTACTCAGCGCCATGTTTGTATCCAGCAGGGCCAGTCCTAAGCACAACCACGTGACCCGTGCAAAACATCTGGTACAATAAGACTTTCAGCATCGCCTCGTTCTCATTGAGATCTACATGCAAAATATCATCCGAACCTTTGATCTGTTATCCAGATGTCGGCTGGATGGGGCCATTTGTGGCCCGCTATGATATTAATCACCGTGTTTAGTAGAATGTGGTCATGGTTTGAAAGCGACGACGACAGTCAACAGAGGTTACAGCAGGTAGGATCGTGGCTCACTCGATGGGAATCCAACTTCCCGTCCCAGAACCGAGACGCGCATGACATGAACATGGCCCCAGCTGCCTCTGACGTGGATACTCTGCTCTTTTCCCTTGAACTGCCCCTCGGTACTGATTTCTCGACTGCCATGTCCCGCGTTACAGAGTCCTGTTTCCCTCGAAAGAAGGCCACTGGTTTATGCAGGACAATCACGGTCCACTTGATGCAGTTGGTATTCCCATCATAGAACAGATGGATGACAATGCTTACTTGGGTTTGGACTGGAGCGAAGTTCCAGACATGGGCTTTGACTTGTGCAACTTGGACACGCCATTCTCGCCGGTCCCAATCCCGAATTCGGCTTTGATCCAGATGCAGTTAAAACACAATGAGCTATATCCTCACAAAAAATAGGATAGAGGAGTACTTCACCCTGAGTCTTAAGCAGACCACTACAGCACTGCCTGCTCCTCTGAAGCGTTCCTATCTCAATGTGTGCCTGAGGCATTTGTTGGAGGTGGAACCCCCCCCACTCTGGCCCTGGATAAATGAGCCAATGATATCCAAGGGTTAGTTGGGGTAGATCACCTGACTTTTAGTATTTGCATGTGACAATTGAATCTGTCAACAAAAATCCTTATCGGGTGGTTGTTGATGCGCCTCCAGGGGTATCCATGCGCCTCTGATCAGGCAAAATTCCAACTGCAGTCATTCGCATCACCAGGGGTCTCACGAGCAGTTGCCTTTTCTGTCTCTTCTTCTCTGTACCTGTACCTATAATGTGATATCATGATACAGCGTGATAAGGACCCAGATAAGATGTGGCAGATGTCTCCAGCTTCCCCGCTGATTGGGTCTAGTGGGGAGTCAATAGTTCCCAGTAAATCCAACAGATATTCTCAATGATTCCACTTCCATCCGGCTCTAATTGGTTCTCCCCATAGCTTCCTGAGGCCAGCTTCCCCTGTTCATTATTCATTAAGGTAAGGCAGCTAAGGTACTTACTTGTTCTTCCTCAACAAAAATAAATTTGTCCATTTTGCCTCACTCTTTTTTCCATCCCCAATCCAACCGGTAAGTTTCTCTCATCCCACGTCCCTCCACGCCTCATCGGATTATCATCTCACATTGTCCACTAACAGCTTCCAGATTTCTCTTTGCTTTTTACTCTCTGCCGCCGACACCGCGGTGTCAATTCACTCGTTCTACTCGCTTCTTCTCCACGTTACCGCCTCCCCACCGTCCCACAAATAGTCCTCAACCCCTCGAAACGGAGACCCTCAAAGTGTCAGGACAACGGTCTCAGACTGAATTGAAAGCGGATACACTCAATGTCGATTCTCGATACCACAAAAGACCTCTCGGCCCTGTTCACCAAGCAGGTCCATGCGACTCCCGATGCCCCCGCACTAGAGGATGATTCCACCACATACACCTATGCCGAACTAGATAACGAAGTGGATGCTCTGGCTCAGCGTCTGCGAAGCTATGGAGTCGGACGAGACAGCCTGGTTGGTGTGCTTCTCCCTCGGAGCGCTCATTATGTGGTCGCCTGCCTGGCCGCTCTTCGTGCAGGAGGAGCATTCCTTGTTCTCGAGCTGGCTTATCCTCCTGATCTCCTGTCCGACGTCCTTGAAGACGCGAAGCCAGTGGTCGTGGTGACTCACCGCGCCGAAGCAAAGAAGGTCAAAGCGGATGTGCCGTTGATCGCTCTGGACGAGCCCGCGACACATGCCAACGGACACACCAAGGAACCGTCGACTCCTCTGTCGGCTGAGGATGATCTCGGTCGACTCGCCTTTGTCTCATATTCCTCAGGAACTACAGGCAAACCCAAGGGAATTGCCAACCCACATCGAGCGCCTGTGCTTTCGTATAATCTCCGATTCGGCGTGCAGGATCTGCAGCCTGGCGATCGGGTGGCCTGCAATGTCTTCTTTATCTGGGAGATTCTGCGCCCACTGTTGCGTGGTGCCACTGTCGTGGCGGTTCCGGACGATGTGAGCTACGACCCGGCAGCCCTGGTTGATCTCCTGGCAGCCAAACGCATCACCGAAACTCTCATGACGCCAACGTTGCTGGCCACCGTGCTCGCGCGTCACCCCGATCTCGGTGCTCGGTTGCCCCATCTACGCACATTGTGGTTGAACGGTGAGGTGGTCACGACCGATCTCGCTAGACGGGCCATCAAGGCCCTGCCGTCAACCCGGCTACTGAATTGCTACAGCGCATGCGAAACACATGAGATTGCGTGCGGCGATATTCGAGAAATGCTCGATGATAATGCCCCATATTGTCCCGTCGGCCCCCCTCTCGATCCGAAGCACACCTATATTCTGGGTGAAGATGGCAAGACGGTCCCCGAGGGTGAGAGCGGAGAGCTCTGTGTTGGCGGGCCCCTTCTTGCCCGCGGATACCTCAATCTCCCCGACACTACCGCCAAAGCCTTCACGGCGGATCCGTTCGACTCCACACCCGGTGCGCGCATGTACCGCACCGGCGACCGTGCTCGCATTCTGCCTTCCGGGCTGCTGGAAATCACCGGTCGTGTAGGTGCAATGATCAAGCTGCGTGGCTATTCGGTGGTTCCTGGTAAGGTTGAAAACGAGATCGTCAAACACTTGGCGGTCAGCCATTGTGCCGTGATCGCGCACGGCGAAGGATTGGATCGCAAGCTGGTGGCGTATATTGTCCGAGACCAGGACAGCACCGATCGTCCGGTTGTCGAGATCAACCCCTCCGGTCACAGCCCGGCGGCGCGGCAGACTTTGGCGCCGTACCTGGCTCATTACATGATCCCCGCCCTGTGGGTGGAAATGGACGAGCTGCCGACCCACGAGGTGTCTGGCAAGGTGGACCTGAAACGACTGCCTCCTCCTCCCGCTCCCACTCCGGTGAATGGCAATGGGACCAAGGAGAAGGATCCCATCGGTATTGACCAAGTAGCCGCCATCTGGGCCACAACACTGCGAACCCCCAAGGCGTTGCTGAAGCCGACCGACAATTTCTTCGACCTAGGCGGCCACTCACTTTCTCTGGCGGAACTCGCGTCGAAATTCTCGCGGGAGTTCGGTTTCCGCGTTCCCATCGCGCGTTTGGCCGAGAACTCTACCCTGACCGGTCACCTGGAGACCGTGCGTGCCATCCGAGACGGCCACACCGCTGCCGTGCAGGCTGATCTGCCGGCTGTGCTGCGTGCAGACGCAACGTTGGATGAGGACATCCGACCTTCTGGTGATGTGAAGATCCGATCCGTGACGGATGCGCAAACGGTGCTGTTGACCGGTGTGACTGGATTCTTGGGTGCTTTCCTCCTCCACGACCTGCTGGAAACCACATCCGCGCACATCATCTGCTTGGTGCGTTTCAACGAACCCGCCGACGATGATCAGCCTGGCGGTGTGGCACGTATCCGCCGTAATCTGCTGGATCTGGGTCTTTGGCGCGACTCGATCATGGAACGCGTCGAGATCCTTCCTGGTAACTTGTCCCGCTCGCGCTTTGGTCTGTCTCCTGAGGCGTTTGACGAGCTGGCCGCTCGGGTGGATGTCATCGTCCATGCCGCTGCTACCGTCAACCTGGTGTACCCCTACGCAGCCCTGCGCGGTCCCAATGTCGGAGGAACCAGGGAGATTCTGCGTCTGGCCAGCAAGGGCGGCGCAACAGTACAGTATGTTTCCACCAATGGCGTTTTGCCCCCGTCTGGTGAAAAGGGATGGCCTGAGGACGCCATGCTGCCTGTTGAAGACGTTCCGAGCAAGCTGCTGGACGGATACGGACAGACCAAGTGGGTGGCCGAGCAGCTGGTCCTGGAGGCCGGTCGCCGCGGATTGCCCGTCAAGATTCACCGTGCGGGCACCATCAGCGGTCACAGCGTCACGGGAGCGGCCAATGCCTGGGATCTGTTGTCGGCACTGATAGTCGAATCTATCAAGCTGGGCTACGCGCCCGACGTCGACGGCTGGAGGGCGGAAATGACTCCGGTGGACTTTGTCAGCAAGGCGATTGTCCACCTGGCCACACAGACGCAGGCCGACCAGACGATTTTCCACCTGGGTGACCCGGATCCCGTAGACACGAGACAGGTGTTTGACGCCCTGTCGGAGCTGGGATACCCGACCAAGCGACTCGGATGGGATGAGTGGGTGGCGCTTTGGACCGAGAAACAAGGATCGGTCAAGGGAGGCGACGGCGCATTTACAGTTGACATTCTGCGAAGTGGTATGCCCACAGTGGAGTTCCTGAGGGGAATCGTCGTGCTCGACAACGCGGCTACCAAGCCATTCCGCGCCGTGGTAGAACGGCCCAAGGTCGATCGCGCATTGCTAGAGACCTATACTCGCCATTGGTTCGCTCGTGGATGGCTCCCCAAGGCTCCTGCCCGGTTGGGCAAGCCTCTTGCCGCCATCCGGGGTCCATTGAACGGCCGTGTGGCCGTCATCACCGGCGCGTCATCCGGCATCGGTGCCGCCGTGGCCACCGCCCTCGTTCGCGAAGGATGCCATGTTGCACTGGCGGCTCGCCGTATGGACGCGCTCGAGTCCCTTCAGCGGCGGCTGTCCGGCCAAGGCAGCAAGATCCTCATCCAGCGCACCGACGTCACCGACCGTGCGCAGGTGGAAGCACTGGTGCAGGCCGCCAGCGAACAGCTGGGTCCGGTCGATATCCTGGTCTCCTGCGCCGGTGTCATGTACTACACGATGATGGCCAACGTCAAGACGGATGAATGGGAGCGCACCGTCGACGTCAACTGCAAGGGTCTCCTGCACTGCCTGTCCTCGACGGTGCCAGGCATGCTGGCCCGCGGCAGCGGCCACATCGTCGCCATCTCCTCCGACGCCGGACGCAAGGTTTTCCCCGGCCTGGGTGTATACTCGGCCAGCAAGTTCTTCGTGGAGGCGACGCTGCAGTCGCTGCGGTTGGAGACAGCCGGGATGGGGCTGCGTGTGACAGCAGTCCAGCCGGGGAACACGGCCACCGATCTGCTTGGGATGTCGACGGACGCGGAGGCGATCAAAAAGTACGGCGAGCCGTCGGGGGCGAAGATCTTGGACCCCGAGGATGTGGCCAATTCGATTGTGTATGCGCTGCGCCAGCCGGCGCATGTGGCGGTGAATGAGGTCCTGATTGAACCAAGAGATGAGCCTATTTAGATATAAAGGTGTTATAGCTCACTATACTAGCTTATAGACTAATTGATTCTGTATTACGACCCTGCTGATAAGGAAAGAATATGATAGCAGGTAGCTTGTTATAGGTAAGCATGAACACAATGAGCGCATTGTGCTATACTTAGAATCCGCACATGGCAGTCCTTCCATGTACCTGGGGCCCATGAGGGTGAAGACTGCATCTAACGTTATCAGCAGAGGCTCTGATTGATGGAAATATCGATCAGATAACGAGAGAGATTGATTGAGCCCAACAGCCCATCCCAGAATAATACGCTAGCTATGCTGCAATGGGGTTGGATAAGCGAGGCCGGTGAAACACGGGAAAACGGACAGAAGAACAAACATCTCCTCGACTACGGAGTAGTCCCAACAGGCTAACTAGATCATTGGGCTGACATTGCACCAATTACAGGGGAAATAGACACTGCCAGGTCGGGTATAGAGGCATTGCCAAGGCCGTAGTATCTGTCATTGTCGGAAGAGATGCGAGCGGGTCAGAATATCGAGGCTGAAGGGTCCTGGGTTTTGGTTGTTGTGAGGAACTTCCAGAGACCATTTTCCCGATTCGGCTCGAGCTAAAATACACTGTCTCGACTTATCTGCTAATTGCTGCAGATTGCATGGTCTTGACACGCGGGAGACGGCCGGAGCCCTCAGCCAGTTAATTAAAATTGAATTGGTATAGCCTATTCATTCGATCAGTGACAATGTCATGACCGGCGCAGTGGTGCCGGTGTCACAAGATTATATATGACTGCGTCGTCTGCGCTCTTGTCCGTCGGGCAAATTGAATTGAACTGCTTTCTCAGATCTACAGTGGAAATAAAATGGACATGTACACAAACCCAATCACCCTCCGTCCGCAGCAAGACATGCCCTACGATCTCCGTCCGCGAGCCCTACAATGGGATGAAGTCATGGACAGCGATTCTACCTGCGCCCTGTCCCCGAGTATAAGCAGCGCCGTGCGATTTCCAGCAGCGCATATGACCGCGCCGCAGGAGCTTTTTGTGCTCTCGCCGCAAGCAACGGCCTACCTCGGCTCGAACCAGGATTCGCCGGGCGAGCTGGGCGGTGGCGGTTATCCTGACGTGAATGCTACTTCTAATGTACCTCCCCTCTACCCATCTACAGAGTGGTAGTCAAAGCTAATGAACAGCCAGCCCAACCGCCGACAATCGCAGAACCGCGAAGCGCAGCGCCGATTCCGCGAGCGACGAGAACAGGAACGCATCCAGCTGCGGAAGAGGATGGAGGAGCTGCGGGCGGAAAACGACGCGCTGAGTCGGTTGCTAGCCGAGGCGAAAAATGCGAATCTCAAGCTCGAGGTGGATAATGAGCGGTTAACCAAAGAGCTGGAGACGTTGCGCCGGCGGTGGCAGGATGTGCTACGGTTGATGGCGGATATGGTGCAGCAGGAGGAGGTGGGGGAGGGGGGCTCGCCGTCGAGTTGTTCTAGTAGCTCGTCGTTGTCCTCGTCGTCGTCGTCGTCGCGGAAGGAGGTGCAGGGCCTTAGGAGTTCGATTATGATGCAAATGCTGGTCTTGTTGTTTGATGAAAAGGGGGACTCTCCCTCGCGGACGGTGATGGCTAGATTGGGGGCGTTGTCTGGGGATCCGTGATTATGATTGATTAATTGATGAATGTTGCATGAATGGAGTTTGCTTTTCCTCACAAAGAATGAATTAATTAATTTGAGTCTAGTTCCAGTGTCCAGTTTATGTTAGGTATCTTCGAATATAGGGGCTCTGTATTATGGATCAACCAGTCCCGATTTGGAAATGTGTTTGACTCCTCTAATTGGACTACTTATAGCTCGTCCACAAGCCATCCATTCCATCTATCCAATTGTGACCAAGACCAACAAAGTTGTGCAGCTGTCAGCACGCTAGTCACGCTAACCATGTGCAGGAAAATACTCCCAGTCCCACGTCAGCTTGCTGCTCTGATGATCAGACGGATCCGATCGACCAAGGACCGGTTCCTAGGCAGAGATTGACCACGGCAGAGTGGATTGCCCGCCATGACCCTACGAGGCGGCAAACCTCAGCCCATCCTCTTTGTGGACGGCCCCTCGCTCGGCCGAGGAGGTGACGCTAAATCCCGTAACACACGGTCAGCTCTGATCCGCCGCCGGATCTCGGAGAAACGCAGTACATACCGACAGGAGGAGGAGACCAAGCGAGAGCAATTGATTGCTCAACGTCAGACACGGGACAGGCATTTAGCGGACCAAGGGTGTACCTGTCGAACGGCCAGGGATCTGAACCAGGCCCAGGGATCGTCGGAGGCTCAGACTACAGGGACCAGAACTAGCGTAACTGTACATCAAAATCAAACTCAGACGCAAAACTCAAATAGCGATGGGACTCTTTTCCGCATCTGCGGGACATGTGGAGGGGATTGCGTGTCCAACCAGACGCGAGGCAGCACCCTGTCCCTCTCGCTTGTCCCTGGCAGGTTAGACCCCTTTTCTCCGGTGGTTGCCAATGTTGGACCAAGTGTAGACGATATCCTTCACCATGGTTGGTCTATCTCCTCTGCACAATCCTGCGATAGACTAACATGACTAGCGTTCATGAATCTCTGGCCCAACTTCCGCCGTGCCGATTATGCCGGGAGATGCTACCAATCGCGGCTGGCCCCGAACTGGGAAAGCAATATCCTAATCTATACTACCCTATGGGCTGCCTCGTGTCATCGAGACGTCCTGCGCATCAGCTACGGGTTCAATCCCGTGCTGGACACCCGGGATCAACTGTACTACAAAGGGCGACTTCTGAGGCTACTGCGCGAGCACGTTGCCGACTATACCAACGAAGAATGGCGAGACGGAGTCATCCTAGCCATCTTGCATCTGGCCGTCAACGAGACCACGAGACGAGACCTCAGTCGCGATCCAAGCCCGTTCACGCCCCCGTTTGTGGACATGCAGTCGCTGTCGTTCTATGGCAGCCGGGACTATCACCCCATGCATTGGAACGTCATTTGTCATCTGCTGCGCCAGCTGGGCGGGATCCAGTCGATCAAGCTGTTCGCGCTGGGCTGGTTGATCACAATGTAGGGCCGGCTACACCCTTTCAGCTGCCGAATTGTCCGCTAATTCGTCTAGTGCGGATCTAATGAAGGCGGCCCACGCTCTGACCAAACCGCTTTTCCCCCGGGTCGATGTGGAAGGCAACGAGATCAGCCTGCCGTCTCCCCTGAGCGTCTTTCCCCTCCCAGACGACCTATCCACGATGAAGCAGCTCGGGTTCAGGGATTTGCTATCCGCCTGCCCACCGGTACAAGAGCCCATCGTGGACGTCTTCCTCCACCTCAGCGAATACTCCACCCTTGTGCAATGGTACTACAATCGCCACCTCGATCCATCAGACTGCGACCGTTTCGCCGACGTCCGCAACCAAGTCCATCACGCCATCTTCAGCCTGCCCGACGAGCAGGACCCGGTTGAATCCGTCCTCGATATGTGCAACCTGTCCCCAGATGACTTTTCCGTCTCCCATGGGCTGTACCTCACCTGCCGACTGGCAGCGAATCTGTACGCAACGCACGTTACATTTCCTCTCCCCCGCTCGGCCCTGATCCGCGCCATGATCCTTCCGCTTCTCGCCAGCAAACTTGACCAAATGACGCAGGTCGTGTGCAGTCCGTTGCTTCTGTGGTGTGCCACCGTGGCGGCCATCGCGGCAGAAGAGATGCCAGAACATGCACGGCTAGTCGAACATGTTAGAACCCTAAGTCGGGGGCTGAATGTCACGTCGTACCCAGCCTTCGTTGGGATTTTAGAAACCTTCGCCTGGGTGGAAGTCGCATGCTCGGAGGGATGTCGTCGACTGTGGGAGAGAATGGCAGTGCAGTCAGCAGAGGGGAAGGCCTGGAGTTATACAGACGATAGCCCTTTAGACTAATAATGCCCTAACGATGTAACGAGCTGAGTAATGATTACTTAATGCCTTAGTATATCAGAACCCGGACCGGCATTTGAATCCTGATCTCTTAGCGTCGTGTTATTCCTATTAGGGAAATGTTTTGTAGGAAGGCTATTGGATGTTGTCTGACACTTTTACAAGCTATGGCGTCTACAGGTTATGGCTTTTAAACTAAGATGGGGAAACCTCTGCAAGTCCGGCGAAAGCAAAGATATCCGAAACGGAATATAGCCCCCTAGCAATTAGCACGCGACCTTTTCCCCCACAAGTCGCATTCTATAACCACCAAGATGCAACTGTTTTTCTTAAACGTTGTTCATCTCGAGGAGGTGACTGACTCGGGTCCCCAGTAAGTTTGCTGACCACGGCCATGGTTCAAGACTAGCTGGAGATGTGCAGTTGACAATATACTCTTTCCTCCAATAAGAAGTTCCTCACTCTATGTAAACCAGAATACGATCTTTAGAATAATCCTTGTTACCGATACACCGACAGGCATCTCGTTAAGCCTCTCTAATGGCAAGTAACGTTGAATGATATAAACCCCCGTGGAGCTGTCGAGATTGGCTTGATGAATTCTTAGTGTCATGGATCTAAACGTGGTGGTTGCCGGAGGATCAACTAACGACAGATGATTCCATAACTTCAGAGCTGCGCTTTTAGAAATCTATACGTGGTCCGAGACTTGACCTTGTTCAATCGGTACATGACACGACTGGAGTTTTGTATACACATCTCTCAAACACCCTCTCACCGGCCTGATCGAGCATCAAGTCAACCCACAAAAAGCTCTTGAGAACAGCCCTAGTATCCGCCCATGTTCGCAGACCAAGAGTGTGCACGGTTTGTACCACCAGCGCGCGCAACCATTCCTGATCCTGTTCTTCAAAGATTGATAAGCACGTTACAAACAGGGACCAAAGAAGAAGACTGGCCTGTTCGACCAACGGCGGGGACGTCTGCTCAAGTAAACTGGCTTTGAGCTTCTCTGCCAGGTAAGTCATCTGTCTGCCAATTCCAGGGATTTGGATCAGGAGAGGCTTCAGGAATGCAAGCATAGATAGCCTCAAAAGTTCGTGAAAAGGGTGGGCACATTGCAGAGAGAGCAGTCGGTATGGTGCCGACCTGCTGAACTGTAAGAAAGATGTGACCGCCAGTTTGACCCCGGTGGTCGTGGCTTTGTTGGCGAGTGTAGAAAATTCCCGTATATCGGCCCAAACGTTCAGGAGCCTTGTATCAGGCCGTGGAGACACCATTTTCAGCTCTGGAAAACGGGTAGCCAGTCTACCATGAGCGAGATGCGGACCCCAGGAGATATCCTCGACGAAGCGCAGCTTGCTACCAGTGCCAGCGGCGAGATAAAGATCTATCCTAAAACGGATGTTGATGTTAGCAAGCATAAATTACCCGAACAAGTCCAGTGTATGCTACACTCACGTTTTAGCTTTGTGCTCTATTGTCTCTCGATCGGCGAGTGAGTCCCAGCCCCCACGCAATTCAACCATTCTATGTAGCCCGTCCATATGTTTTGCAGCTGATTCGAGGTCCCCTGCAATAATGCCTGCCAATGACAGGAGCCCGACAACAGTCATGGTGGAACTTTTTGTGGCCTCTGCCCTATTCTCCAGACTTTGCTGGAGATACTGGAGAGTCTTTGCTAGATGAAATCGTGCCAGTAGTCCGTATGAGGCCCCCAGCGACATGTCGTGAAACGCCTGTGCGGTGAACATGATGGAGTGAACCATGGCAGGGTACTGGGAAATATCTGCGAAACAAAGCATTTTGTCCGAGTGGCTATGGTCTGTGACGGTTTCTAAAGCGTGCATTGCCGGTTTGATGACGGTCAACGCTAGGGACGTCAGCAATCAAGCTGTTCCCAAAGGCAACGAATGGGCTCGATAGGTACCCTGGAAAAGGAGACTAAACATGTAAGGCTTCATCTCGGTCATGTAGTTGAAAAGAGACAGCTCCGAGGCCACCTTTCGAGGCGTCGTAAGCACCCACTCCTTTCCACTTGCAGAAGACCATCGTTCAGATGGCGGAACTGCTGCCGCCGCTGGCGACTCGGCCTCCCTGGCGCGTCTGATCTTACATGTGTTCTTCCCACGCATGACATGGCTGCGGATCAACTTCCGGGTCTGCCGGTCTGGCTTGTCGAGCGACGTGGTAATGATAAACGGGTGCATCTGTCAGGTACCGTATCTGATGGATAGCCTCAAGTCGAAAAGGGGCCCCACGAGACCTGCTCTCAATATAAGTCGCGTCTGACGTTTGCTAGCGGAGGAGGGGCGATGCATGCTGACACACATTGCCAAGCTGATATTGTATTCCGTTCTAGGAATGGCCGCTGGCGAGCAAGATCAACCTTTACCCTATTAGGAAAACAATCCAGATGCTTCCAATAGAGTATATCAATAAATCTTAGAGATGCTGGCTCACGAGACGGGCTCAGAGATTACCGTCACTTTTGGGCAAGGGAAGCTGGCATATAAATACTCTCGCCACGCACGCCTTGTGCCCTTCTGTCAACCTGAGTTTCCCTATTCTTTCCCAGATCCATACACTGTGCAGAAATGCCTTTCAACAGCAGCCCTGTCAACTTCAACCCCGAAACCGACATTCCTCCACTGGATGGCAAAGTGATCCTCATTACAGGAGGCACCCATGGCCTGGGCAAACAGTCTGTCCTCGAGTTTGCTCGACACAATCCCCGCGAGATCTGGCTCGCAGCCCGTAACGTGAACCAGGCCAGAACTGTCGCCAGCGAGATCACGCAGACTGTTCCCGGGGCGACTATTCACATCCTCGAATTAGATCTCACCTCATTTCCATCGGTTGAGAAGGCAGCGAAGACATTCCTGTCGGCCTGTGACCGTCTGGACATTCTCATGCTTAACGCCGGCATCATGGCCGTGCCACCAGGAACAACCAACGAAGGCTACGAGATTCAGTTCGGCACCAACCACATGGGCCATGCGCTTCTGAGCAAGCTGTTGTTACCGACCCTCGAAAAGACCGTCAACACCGCCCCCGGTGCAGACGTCCGCATCGTCTCGGTTTCCTCGAAAGGGCACCGTTACCTTCCGCGGGGAGGCTTCCGCTTCGACTCGCTCACCACCACGGGGGATGACCTGGGCGCCTACGGACGGTACTATCAAAGCAAGCTGGCGAATGTGCTGTGGGTGAAACAGATGGCGGAACTATATCCAGAGTTTCGGGTTGCGGCTGTTCATCCGGGCGTTGTACAGACCCAGCTGATGGATGGAGCGACAGCCTCTCCCACCATGGTACGGGCGTTCGCGAAGGTCGCATACAGGCTGTTTAAACCGGTGGAGGAGGGGGTACGGAACCAACTTTGGGCCTCTGTTGCACGGGACGTCCATAGCGGAGAGTACTATGAGCCCGTGGGCGTGAGAGGCCGTGCCAGTGAAGACGGAAAGAATAGGAAGCTGGCGCAGGAACTGTGGGAATGGACGGAGAACGAACTCAACAGGTACCTTGCTAGGTCCGTTAAGTGAATAGTCGGCTTTGTCAATGGCTGTTTCCTGTCTACGACTGATTGCATCACATCAAATTATGGATATACGAGGCTACAATCAGGCTGATAGTTCTTGACTACTCATCTGATGTACGCGCTGGGTGTATGAAAGCGCACCGATATCTGTAACCCAGAAATGACCCTAGAACAAACTGGGCATAGGTAGAACAATAGTTATTACCTAACTACGGAGTAGCTCCTTCATACTCCATACTCTTCGGGCAGTAAGATGTGGGTACAGAGGAACCTGGCCCTGTACTCCGTAACCTCCAAGGCGTTATCCAACTCCTTCGACCATCGACTATCACGGAGCATTTGGTCAGTCAATTCTGACAATCTCTTTTTCCTTTCGGAAACACGGCCAAGGCTGTTTCTGCACAAATCATGGCCGGCAGTGCCTTGGTTCCTGGTACATTCCAAGCATTGCCCGTATCCACACCCGTCACCCATGCTGTCTCACGCCAGGATTATGTTCCGCAAGCTCCGTGGTAGTGGCAGCCGTAGCAGCCGTGGCAGCGAGCCCGCACCATCAGCGCCGGCCACGACAGCCGAGAGCGAAACTGTCGACCCATCCCCTCGCGCCATCCATATCAGCGACCTGAGGCGGCCACACTCACCCACCAAGCTACCCTCTGATTCACAGTTCATGTCCATTATCGTCGTGAATGCCAAAGGTGCCGCCGACTCGTTGCATCTTTACAGGGTACGTACCCAGCGCAATATGCTCCCCAGTACCCCCCCGGCTAAGCTCACGCCGCACGGTTCATTAACTACTCCAGAGAGAGAAGCGTTACGGCGAGTTCGACCTACGGATGACTTCACTACAGATTACTTTTGCGATGGTTACCTCTACAATATCTGCTTCATCCCGTCTAGCAACCTGGGGCAGTGCTCAGCTTACCTCTGCCTCATGAAGCATTTCTGCCTCATCTTCACGTACGACGCTTCATCGAGGGAATCATGGAATGAAATGGTCACTGCCTGCGAGAGGATGCGCAGCCGCTGCGAAGAAGACAGGATCCTCCCCTTTCTTGCGACAATGATCGCCGCCATGGGTGAAGGTGAAGCCACCGTGTCACACGCGGAAGCCAAGGCATTTGCTACCCAGCGGGACTGTCTCTTTGTCAAGGTCTCACCCGCAACTGGGCGCGGCATTTGCGATGCGGTCAGCTCGCTAGTCGAGCTGGCGCACGGCGCTCGTGATCAATATGCTATGGATCAGGAGGGTTATACCCAGAGGTACAAGAGGGCGGAGGCACTTCAGGCATTATTCCCTGCCAGGGATGCCCAGCTCAAGACTGGCATCATCATGGACGAACGTGGTACCGCCGCTAAGACGGTCAGCAAATACAGCAAATATATTTGGTGGGACGCTGCTCACATGCGCTTGGTTCGTCGCCGTAGCCCAGTCACCAGTCTTGCATCCCTGTCTGCCCACTAGATATTCTGCCATCACCACCCACTCTTGTTGTCCTCGGGGCTGCCCACAAGCTGGTGGTTCTACTCCACTGCGGCGGCTACCGAACGGAGGAATTGCAAACGGCCCATCATCACGCGGTCACACGTCTTACACATCCTCGGTCTCTCCTATGAGGGGGATTATTAGGCTGAGGACGCCGCAGATGCCGGCTGTCATCGTTATCCTAGCTTCTCGACAGTGAATGGGCAAGGAAGGGATTATCCACCCATGATTAATGCGGCCAGCTGCATCTCGTGCAGCTTGACAGAGTACGGGCAGCGATATGCTACTGCACGGCCTAGCCAGCCGGTGAACTCGCCGAAGGCACCAGGGAGAAGGCTAGTCCGAGCTAGATGTTTCGATGCTGGAAGGATTGCCATACATGGCCGATTGTCAGCGTGAAGAAGAGGATCGTGAAGATGATTCCGGCCACGAGGGAGGGATGGTGCCGAAGGGGGTGGGGTGTTGGGGTTGTAGGGGAGACAGTCGGCGGTTTCTCCATGTTTCTATTGTAGTAGATGATAATTAGTGGTATGCACAGTGACATATTCCTTTATCCCGACGAGGTACGGAGCTAAATTCGAGAGAAGTGAACTGTACATAAATAGAGCACACCCTGTAGTTAGTACGTCCTTTAAGGCGTCAGCCTGATACTGAGGGACAGGGAGTCATGGCATTCAACAGTATAACCAAATATTATCATTATCAGTTAACAGACTACAGGTAATAACACAGGGGAACTAGCAACTAAGAACTACTGTTAACAAACTGACTATCCTCCTCCAGCCACCTCTCAAAATCCTTCAAACCGGGATGCATATCCCTCAACCTCGGAATATCAGCCCGGTAGCCATGCGCATACAACCACTGAAACATAGCCTTCATATCCTTCACCATCCACAGCACAGCATAGCAAACCACCCGGAACGTCGTCGGCGCCTTTCGCCCCGTCTTCCGCTTCATCGTCTCCTGCATATGCTCATACGTAAGCACATCCCCCGCCAACGACAGGCACCGATTCCGATACTCTGCCGGGTTCAGAAACGCCTGCGCAGCGAAATAGCCAATATCACTGACAGCGATACACTGCAGCGGCTTCCCCTGCAGGTACGCGTCCCATGCTGTCACCACGAACCGCCCGATAAAGTCCGGGGTGATGTTGTCGAAGAAGAAGACTGGCCTCAGAACCGTCCAGGACATTTGGGTACCATGCATCCGCTCAAAGAGATGATGTTCGATGCGGTGCTTGCTGATAAAGTGCGGGATGTTGGTCGCGTTGTCGGTGGATGCGTCCCCGCCGCGGTCGACGGAGGTGTACACGAAGTGCTGGACTTTTTGGGTCAGAGCTTCGTCGATTAGGGCCTTGCCTTGGCGTTCTTCTTTTTCGACGGTTTGGCCTTGGCCCATGGGTAGCTGCTGGTATTAGCTGATATTCTCTCAAAGGGTTGGGGTGACCGGTGAGTACCTGCACGCTGAACACGCCCCAGACGGGCTCGGAAGATACTTGGTGGGCATTTTTGAAGATCCCGGCTGGGTGGTCGAGGTCGCCCTGCACCAGTTTGATCTTGGGGGATTTGTCGGCTAGTTTTTTGGCGCTGCCAGACTGCGGATTGCGGGTGACGGCCAGGATCTCGATGTCGGCGTCTTCGGCTAGGAGGGCGTTGATGACGGCGCCACCTTGTTTGCCTGTTGCGCCGGTAACAAGGATAGACTTCATTTTCTATGTTTAATGTTGGCTCTGACTGGTGAAGTTTCACTAGTTGACATGATGTGGACGGTATATTAAGGTGCTTATGACCGAGTTGTCATTCTGATGTAAGACCCTCCGCAAACCCAACGCGGATGATGAATCAGCCAGCTCTAAAGTCTATATACACAGTAGTATACAAGAACGAATGTAAATATACAGAAGCAATCAATTACACCTTGCCAACACCAGCGTTGGCAACAACCTTGGCAGGCACATCCGCCACAGGATAATGGCCCACCAAGCTGTTCTTGTACGTAGCCGCCTTGGTCTTGACATCCGCATCGGTGCGGTCCTGCCAGGCACCGGATCCCGCCAAGCGGTTCCACTCGCAGATATATCCAAGCTTATCCAGACAGGCGCCGGCCGCATTCACTGTGGAGGTGGTGTACAGCTTGCCGCCAGCCTTGAGGCTGGTATCGGTCAGCGGCGTTTTGACGTTCTCAAAGTAGTTGCCCTCGAGCAGCACCCAGGTGTTGGTGTCGACGTCAAAGGCATGTCCGCCGAGATTCTGGAAGTAGTTGTTCACTCCGTGGAAGAAGATCTGCGACTTGGTGTGGTCGGTTCCCATGTGCGGGGCGCGGCCGGACACGTCGTGCAGCCAGTTGCCTTCGAAGGTGTAGTAGTCCTGCTCGCCGAGGAGGAGTAGAGTCCAGTAGTGCTTGCCGTTGCAGCCGGCGGACCAGGAGGTGCGGCCATCGAATTCGTTGTTGGAGATGGTGACGTGGCCCGCTTTGCCCCAGCCGCTGACGATGAATTGGCGGCCGATGAGGGAGATCTTCCAGTTTCTTGTCAGAGTAATCCTTTACCAGGGGCAGTAAGACATACCTTGTTGTGGTCGATCCAGACCTGGTCCGCGTTGTCGAGGGTGATGGCATCACCGCCCCAGACGTATTGAGGGTTCAGATTCTGCTTGATCAGCTTTGTACCAGTAAGCGCCAAGGGATGCAGATGCACACCGTAATGTGAATATTCTGGATAATGACGTTCTTGTTTCCATTGCGCACACGCAGGCCCTTGCCCTTGATGACACCCTTGTTGCCGACACCCACGATACTCTTGTTCGAGCCCACGTCCATGGGCGTCAGCGCGGCATTGTCGTACTTGCACGACACCCAGGATCCTCCGTCACAGTGATCCTGAATCCAGGCCTGACCCTTGGAGGTTCCGCCGTTGCAGACAGTCGTAGATGGCATGCTGCAGCATTTGCCCGTGGTGGTGCCCTCGGTGCCGATGAAGTCCCAGGTCCGGTCGATGAGGATGACGCGGGGTGTATCGTCGGTGATCCATTGCACCAGTCTATACAGTTAGTTGCGAGCAATCAGTGTCAGAAGGAGCAAGGAGGCGTACTCGTCCAGACTGGAGGGGGCTGCCGGGGTCGCCGAACCACCCCCTGTAGTCCCGGCAGCAAAGCCAGAGGGAGAGCCCGTAACCCGGGCATAGGCCTGGAGAGCCAGTAAAAGAGAAAGAACCGCCGTCTTCATTTTGTGTAGGTCTTGCACCTTGCGTCCACTGTCAAGTATATGAACGACGGATACAGAGCGAACTCCAGTTTTTATAAGCAGAAGTTTTTGCCTATCAGGATGGATCCTCCATCACCCCTTGACAAACAGAGCATGCTGGGATAGGGCAACTCTTCCCAGTTCGGAAGCGGCCTGTTTCAGAGTACTCGGAGGAAATACTTCGAGAAATTGTCTCAGGGGCTGGCCAAGAGTAATACCCGACTTCTGAAACAAGAGAGCCCACATTCATGGTTCATTGGAGGCTTTACAAGCTTGGATGAATCCGACTGCTAACTAATTGAGTCAGGGCTTATCTAGACACTAATCTATCTCATACTGCGGCTATATTGACCTTCTCCACTTGAACACAAACAGCCGAATAAGCGAAGAGCTCGGAATGGACATGTCTCCCACGTGCTGGGCCAAGATATATCTGTCTCAAAGTAATAAGTAGACAGGCAAGCATGTTTGCAAATGGGGGAATATACTCCGCATAAAGTTATGTACTGATTTTGATTGATCTTAGTTGTCCAAGTTGAGCTTCACAAAGCGAGAATATCAAAGATTCAGATATATGTTAAGTAGACAGTATCATATGCAATGCTAAAGCAGGGATAACCCCTCCGCACGTGGTTCACCGCTCGTTTCTTTGTTCTCACATCTCCTGTTGTCCGCGTGCACAAGTCTTCAAATGACCGACATTCAGCTCAGCCTAGCAAAGGGGTAAGAAGTACATAAAGTAAATCGATGAGAGTCATTATAGTAGGCGCAGGAATTGGCGGACTGGCCTGTGCCATTGCTTGTCGCCAGAAGAATCTCGACGTGCTTGTCCTGGAACAATCGGCTGAAATTGTGCCAGTAAGCATCAGCATCCCAAATTACAATACGACTGCTAGACAGAAAATGACCCGATAGGTTGGTGCTGGCATCCAAATCCCTCCGAATGGAGCCCGGATCATGCAGGAACTCGGTCTCTTGTCTCAGACCGAGGAAAAGGGCATGAAACTCGAGGTCATGGATCTGCGACGGTATAAGGACGGGAGGATCATCACATCGATGTCCTGCGGTGAGTCTATAGTGAAGGAATATGGAGCGCCGTGGATGTATGTATCCCTTGTTCTCGCAGTGACCTGCTGACGGGCGTAGCGTCATCCATCGCGCGGATTATCACCAGATTCTCCTCGACAAAGCTAGAGACCTAGGAGTGGAGATTCATCTAGGCGCGCTTGTCGAGAAGGTCCTGGTCGACGAGACTGCAGTCATTGTGGGTAGTGAGACCATCACCGGCGACGTGATCATTGGTGCTGATGGTTCGTTTTCTCTCCAATCCTCACCTCATGCCCAAGCTCATAAGACAGGCCTCTGGTCCAAAATCCGCGAAGCCGTCCTTGATGAACCCCATCCGCCCGAAGAAACAGGGGACCTAGCCTACCGCGCTACCTTTTCGCGAGCGCAGCTCTTAGCCCTGAACGATCCAGAGGTAAAGGCGCTTTGCGAGAAACAAGGTGTAACCGCCTGGCTGGGGCCTAAGAAACACGCCGTCTTCTACCCCGTTCGCGGCGGACAAGAATATAATCTTGTACTACTGCAGCCAGATGATCTGCCGCCGGGAGTGCGTACGACGCAGGGCGATGTGGATGAGATGCGGTATGGGTATAGAGAGTGGGATCCAACGTTCGTCTGTTTTCCCCTGGCCTCTAGTGTCGCGAACTGAAACCAAACAGGCTGGGGAAGATGATCTCCTGTATCCCGACCGTCCTGAAGTGGAAGCTGTGCCATCTTCCTGAGTTGCCGAGGTGGACCAAGGTCTGTTCGAATGATCCCTAGTTGACGACTTGTTAATGTTTCCAGGGCTCTGTTACCCTGCTTGGCGATGCGTGTCATCCGACTCTGCCATATCAAGCTCAGGGGGCCGCCATGGCAGTGGAAGATGGTGCAGTGTTGGGACTGCTACTCCACCACGTAGCATCCTCACAGGACTACAAATCAAAAATCCCACAAGCACTAACACTCTATGAAGATATTCGAAAGTCCCGGACCGCCCGGAACGTCCAAGGAGCCATCCGCAACCGAGGCGGGTTTCACCTCGAAGACGGCATCTTACAACGACTGCGTGACTTGGTTTTGAGCTGGTCAGGCCTGACTTGGGAGACAGACTGGATTGGACTAATGTCTTCGCGACAACGAGCTGTCCTTGGATTTGATGTTCTGCAAGAGGTAGAGCAAAGGATGTCGGAACTATCTGCCTGATGATGACACGACTGACAATGATATTACTGCTTCCTTACACCCATAAACCAGTAAATATGCAGAAACGGCCAGACCATCATGCGATTGCCAGACGTAAACTCCCAGCCAGAAACATCCAGCTCCGGCTGCCGAAGGAGCTCCCTCAACTCCTCCGGGGTCCTACACCGCAACGTAGACACAAACCCATCAAACGAACAGACCACCGAGAACAGCGGCACCACATATGTGAAGAACAGATGCAAAGGCGAACTCCAGTACCGCTGCAGCGTATGGAAAAAAGGATACAGCACCATAACCGGGATATTCAGCAGCGAGGAGAAGTTGCGCTGCGCGAACTCGAAAATACTGCGCAGTCAGCGTCACCACCAGTTCCCCTCAAAAGAAGAGAAAGAAACCTACATGAACGAATCCGCCGACTCAACCGCATTCCTCAAAACACGTCTCGCGACCGGGTCATCAAAATGATGAAAACACAAGTTAAACACCCGACACTCCTTCCCCTCGGCGGCCACCCGCCCACAAGACGTCGCATCCCTGCCGTCCGGAATAAATGATACATGCTCCTGCTTCTTGGCAATAGCGGACCAAGCATCGATCCTCGGATGCAGATCAGTTAGCACGAACCGCGCGGGCCGTTTCCCCTGTTCCTGGAGCTGGAAGTTCAAGAAGCGCTCCATGGTCGACGTGGGCCCTCCTGCACCCGCGCAGCAATCTACAAAGGTGTAGGAAGATGCATCGGGTAGGTTTTCGGTGACGAGCTCGGCGGCTATGCCTGCCGGGGAGGTCCGGCTGAAGGGCGGGATGTGTAGGTTCCAGACGCTGGTGAGGTAGGACTGGATGTAGGCGATGACCCAGTCGGGGCACCAGGGTTGGTCGCCTATTTCGAAGAGGTGGAAACGGGGAGAGAGGAGCATTGTAGTTGTTTATATTGATGGATAGATAGGTAGGGATGAAGACGAGTGAAGGGATCTCGATCAGGGGTGGATGATGAAATATTTTGAAAGAGGAATGCTGATTGGTCGGATGGGTCCACACTCATGCTTGCTTATTCCAGCCTGATTGAATCGCTTATTCCCTTTATTATTGACAAGATGGATCCAACTTGTCACTTTCCTGAGCAGACTCATCTCCTAGAGGCACAGTCACCAAGGAAGCCGTAGCAAGTGTAGCCTCCTGCTGCATTCCCCTCCATCTTTCCTGCGACTTTCTCAACAAGCCATCCAACAATTTCCCCTGTCTCGTCCTCCTCGTCTCCTCCGGCCATCTCCCAAACGCAATATGTGCTACTTCCCAAGCCCGCACAGTGAGCGAATCCCCCATTGACCGCGACGAAAGCTCCGCCGCCACAAACAACAAAGGCTGGAACTGAAGGTATCCCTTGAGCAACCAGCTCCACGCTTTCGCTTGCGGATCTTCATGCACCCGTCGAGGGATATCGATGATGCTAACCGCCGTTGAGAAGAGTTTCGCTCGTTTGCTCTGAGAAGAAATCATGGCGCCAAGCGTAGAGGAACATGCCGCGCTATGGATCTCGAACCACATCTCAGCAATAAGAACACTAGAGACGTGTTTCGCTAACCAATGAATAGGCTGGCGGCCGTCACAGGAGGCCAGATATCGGGACTTTATACGGCTATGGCAGCGCTGGATGAGCTGTTCTTTCTCGTAGAGGGACTGCGCAGTGGCTAGCGAGGACCGCGTTCGAGCAATATCAAGTCGGATGAGAAGGAAGCTTGCTTCCGTCCATCCTCTATCTTGCGTGGTTGAGGATGTATGCCCTAAATTTAATTCTGTGTCGGTGATGTTGCTCGGAAGCGAAACGGTATCCTGATTCGTGTTCAATGAGGTTTTTCCCTGGTCCTCGACGGCTCGTTTGTCCATGTACCATAGCTGCCAATAAAGACGGTGACGAATTTCCCGTGAGACGGGATCATGGCTGCCAGTCGAGTCCGTGGTTAAGAGGCGCTGCGCGATGCCTGTGAGCGGCCAGACTAGCTTCGCCTCGTCGGTGAAGCTGCTCAGCGAGAGAAATAGGGCAAAGGCTTGTAAGACGGCTAGATCATCCGTCACGAGAAAGTTGGCTCGCATTAGCGCATGTTCTGTTGCGGCGCGATAGGTTTTTATTGCGGCGACTTTGTCCATTCCGAGGAGGGCGCTGATATCTTCCGTGGGCATACTCAAGATTGATGCAAAGTATACAGCAAATAGCAATGCTTCCTCGCTTGGAGCGAAAGAAGTACAGTTGGAAATTGCTTTTTTCACCGTAGTAGCTGCCAACGGCGTATGTAGAACCTTGACCAGGGGATCGATGTATTCGGTGTACCTTCGCCAACAGACTTGCACTTGCGTCGAGCAGGGATGCAAGGGAGCTACTTCAACTGAATGGCAGCCAAACGGAATCAATGAAGGCGTAGACGATCTGGTATCAACTCTTCCACGTGCTTGTTTCGAAGACTCTGCTCTCTTCTTCGGTCTGGAACACGTCCGCTTTGGGCTCGGATACGCACATCCTATTGACCATAAAGCGCAGTTCTTACACGGCAATTCCCTGTCGCATTTTACTTTTCGCGTTCGACATCCGATACACGCTTTCCGTTTGACAGGCACTGGGACTGGTGTTGCGCCAGCCGGCTGTAGATGACGTTTTCTATTCATTTTGATGAAATATAGATCTGCAGTTTCGGATTTCTCGGTGACTTACCTGGCCTGCGTCCCGCTTTTAAAGATCTCGTATTGATGACTGGTGCTGTTTGCTCGGTGTGGCTGTGTCCTGCAGCTCGCATTTCTCGGTCTTTGTACATTGTTGGCTGATGATTGGTTGAGATCTACTTGGAATATAGGCACTTGCTCTTGCGACGGTCTGTCCATGAACGATAATATAGTAGACATAAGGCAGAAGAGGACGAGCAAAGTTATAAATATTGATACTCGCTGTTCCTGATCATGGATGGCAAGTAGATCAACCTTGCTTTTCTCCAAGAGCAACGAAGATGGATAGTAAAGTAACTCGTACGGCATATCTGTACTCATTCCTGGGTATGTATTGAGTTTCCATGATACACATACTACTAACGACACTAAAGCAGCGGCATTCGCCAAACCAGCTTCAGCTACCATCCTGTATCAAGATCTCCACCTCGTACCCTCCTACGCCAAAGCACACGGAATCCTGATGAGCGTGGCTTTCATCCTCATCTTCCCTCTCGGCGCTACAGTACTTCGTCTTGTCAAGTCCAAACACGCAGTTTGGATCCATGCCGGCATCCAACTCACAGGATGGGCTCTTATGCTCGGTGGTCTTGCAACCGGTCTTCGTGTGGGGAAGATAATAGACAGAGTAAGTCATACTCTCTGCAATACGTGTCATATCACTAACATTACAGCTACACAACAACGCCCACACGGTTTTCGGAACAGTCATCGTCGTCCTCATGCTCATCCAGCCGTTCCTGGGTGCCATACACCACTGTGTGTATATCCGGAAGAAGACGCGGACGGCTCTGGCCCCGTTGCATGTTTGGATGGGCCGAATCCTGATCATCCTTGGTATGGTGAATGGTGGGCTAGGGCTTCGGCTTGCGGATAATACTCATGGGGGGAAGATCGCCTATGGGGGTAGTTGCTGGTGTATGTGGTGCGATGTACTTGGCTTGGGTTGTCTATCGTCTTAGACGGAGGGGGAATGGGAGGAAGGAGGTTGAGAATGTGGAATTGCAGGGGTCGGTGGAGTAGATGGACGTTGGATTTGTAGTGCTAGGGTTTATTGATTTCGGTGACCTTCATGTTTGAAATCGGTCTCTCCCATGGATTATACAGCGGAATGACAGCAGTTGTCGTCGAGAACTTTGTGAATTCTGTATAGCAAATGTACAAATGCAAAGGGGCCAGACAGGAAAAACAAACCAGCAAAACCAGACAATCAATATCAAAGCAATAAGAACAAACAAACCAGACCAGAGCAAATGAAAGCAGAACTAGCACCATCACTTCCTCTGCATGGCGAAATTCAACCCCTTCAATAGAGCAGCAGCACACCCCGAACCAGAAGCCAAACTCGCACTAAGATCCAGCACCTTACCAGTCGACTTGCCCGCCTCTACCTTCTCTTTCTCTTGCTCTTTCTTCTTCTCCTCCTCATCAACATCTTTAATCAGAATTCGCGGGAAACTCACAAGACCAGGCGATCGCAGTCCCAATTCCTCCTCGTCCGGATAAATACCCGGAAACCCATCAAATATAGGCGACTGCAGGTCCGTCCTCGCATCGAGATAGCCTCCCCTAGATGAAGGCCGAAGGGTCCTAGGCGATCTTTCCGGGGGCTGGCCGGGAAACCCCACGTACAGAGGCAGCGGGTCGGGACAAGGACGGGTACGCGGTGAAATAGGGATATCAGGGCTTCGAGGTGTAGATCGGTAATTTGGGAAAGTAAATCTCTCCAACTGGCGTATGAGGGATTTGCTGTCGTCTTCTATGTCGCCATCTCCCGAGTCCGAGTCGGAGTCAGACAACCACAAGGTGTAGAAGTCATCCTCGTCCTCGTCCTCGTCTCCCTCGTCGCCGGCACGGCTAGTAAGTCGTTCTGCCTGGGTGGTGAGGATGTCAGTACCGATCACCACGTAGTCTTCGGAGATGGAGTCATTACGTTTTTTGGGCGGGTTGGGACAGTGGTCTTCTTCGTCATGTTCAACAGCGTTCTGGTCATGGGCATTGAGCGGAACATCGACAAAGTCGTGCCATAGCTCAGGAGAACTGGTGATTGACGCATTGGCAATGGTGTTGGGCTGAACCGTTGTGTCATTGCTGCTATCAGATTTGTGGTCGCCATCAAGGTCAAGATCAAGAAAGGCCTCGTTGAAATCGCGCTTTCGGGACCTTGGAACCTGCCACTGCATCTTGGTGGTGATGACGGGGTCTGAGCTGTCGATCCCTTCAATTGAAATGTAGTCCGGGTAGTCCGAGATGGTCCGAACAGCTCCTTCAGCTTGAAAGTCAATTTCACACTGCAGACAGTAGACCTCCATCTCAGGAGAGCACAAGTCGTGTTCGACCTTGACGTTGGTACAAATCAGATCGGGTGAGTTCGAGCCTGGCTGAGATAATCCGCGCAGCAGATTAATGACCTCGACGCAGCTACGGAAATCGAAGTTGGCGATGTGGCCGCAGCCGGTATAGTGGTGGAAGATGTATCGACACATTGCGGAAGCGATGGTGATGGTGATGGAATGTCGACGGCATGGTTCGATTCGATGTGCTTTTATACACACAAGTGAGACATGCATCGAAGACATCAGCGCCGCATCGAAAGCAAAGCACTTTTGATGGGCTATTGTCGCGATGAGACTCTTCCCTCAGCGAATACAAAGCCCTTGTACTCCTTTGTTGTTTTTACACTCCCATCAATCAGCTGGCACAGCGGTCATACAGGTATGAGACAACAACAAAGACTACTTGACCAGCTCTTTATCCTCTGTCTCTTCCTCCTCCGGCTCCAACTCCCCATCCAAATCCATCAGATACCGCACCCCCGAATCCAATAACCACCAGGTCATTGTCTCATGGATGAACCGCAACAAGCGATTCTCCCCCGGCATTGGGGTCTCTGTCTCAGTCGGTCGCCAGCTAACTGCCTCACTGCAAAAGACCACGTCCTTGCCCTCCTCCCAGTACCGAAGCACCCACCGCCCGTCACACTCTTCCATGTCCACCTCGAATTCAACACGGTCTGGCTTCCGGACTAGAACCCGGTAGACTTTGCAGACAATGTCGCCTTCGTTAAAATCCAAGGATTGTATATAGGACGAGCGAAAGGTCCTACTCAGTTCCCTGGAGCAGGTGGATCGTTGCTTCCAGGCTTTGGGGAAGTGCGAGAAGACGGTTAAGTTACGGCGGAGAAGCAGAACAAAGAGAGCGGGGAGATCATGTGATGGAAGGAGTTGGCGCGGAACGGATCGTGAGGCAAGATTATAAAGGGAGAAGTATTCTTTTGTATAGACGGCAGGTGGAATGGAAAGGATAGAGGAAGAGACGGAACGGGGGAGAGTGCCGGTATGGATGACGGGGTGGATGCGGGAAGCCAGGGAACGATGGGAGACGTAGAAGTAAGCTGAGGTGAGGATGACACTAAGAACGAGGAGGGATAAGAGGGACATTGTGATATGATGAGTATGGTTATGAAGCTATACCATACTGTGCTGGTGCGATGGGTGGAGGGTAAGAGGCGTAGTCATGGTTCGGGAGAATGTGTCATGGAGCTGTCAGTGGATCAGGATAGACTTCGGGTGGCCAATAATGCATGACAGTTCCGGCCAGCTCATCTTACTAAGATCCATCAACTATTAGTTATCTCGGGGAATATGCTGTCTACATATTCAATAAAGCTGACTGCAGCATCTGACTTTGATGGGTGGGCTTGCGGCCGTTGAAGCTTGAATCAGCCATGTCAGACATGTCAGATATTCGATCCTCGACCAAATGAGTCAGGACACGGATATTCCTATCAATCCGAGTTGATCAACTCTTCTGCCAAGGTTTTCTGACTGTAAGTGAAGGAAAACATCCCTTCTCTGGCGGACAATGATCATCTGCTGACTGTAGTTGCAGCTCACATACGAAGGAGGAGAGTATAAATAAAATCAACACCATGGAGTCAACGACACGACTTCGCTCCCCAACAGATAGGCTTCCTCGGCATCATGTCACAAAGAGCCCTCGTTCTCCAGGCAATCGGCCACCGTCTGGTCGAGGTTGACCGTCCCATCCCCCAACCGGGCAAGGACGAGCTCCTCATCAAACTCACCTCTGTCGGCTGTAGGCCTCCCTCCTCCATTGCACCGCACAAACTAACCTCGGTAGTAAACCCCCATGACCAGAAATCCCGCGATCGCGGTCTCTTCGTAACAGCCACGCCCTACATCCCCGCGCACGACCTCGCCGGCGAAATCATCGCCATCGGACCAGACTCAGCTACTGACTTCACCATCGGCGAGCACATCTTCGCGCAGAGCCGTCTCCCACTCAATCAAGTCCTCAACGACTTCAATGGGCTTCAGCAGTACGCCCTGGTGGACATCAAGTATGCCGCCCGAGTAACCGACACCGGTCTCTCGGACGACGAGGCCGCCACGATCCCCGTCAACGTCGCCACGGGCTTCGTGGTGTTCTTCTCCGAGGGTGGATTCGGCCTGCCTCTGCCCGACAGCGGAGTCGACTTTGACTACGCATCGCAGAAGCTAGTGGTTATCGGCGCGGCGACGAACTGCGGCCGGTATGCGCTCCAGTTTGCCAAGTGGTTGGGCTTTGGGGCTATCGTCGCGGTGGCGGGGCTACGGACGGAGGACGAACTAAGGGAGATTGGAGCTACGCATGTGGTTGATCGGCATGCGGACGACGTGCTCTCACAAGTGCGGGATATTGTGGGCGATGAGCTCGTCTACGCGCTTGATGCGTTCAATTTCGGGCCGAAGCAGGAGCTGGGGGTTGCGGTGCTTTCGGACTCGCGGCGGGGGACGTTGGTGACGCTTGCGCCAGCGGTTGGAGAGGTCGATAGCGCGAAGATTGGGGAGAAGCGGGCGGGATATGAGAGGCGGTTTATCAGGGGTTCATGTGCTACTCATCCGGATGACTTTACGAAGTTGTTCTGGGAGAGGATTACGGGGTGGTTGAAAGAGGGGGTTATCAGGCCGAGTAAGTTTCGGGTTATTGATGGGTTGGATGCGGATGAGATCAATGCTGCGTTGGATGAGTATCGTGATATGGGAGGGATGAAGGTGCAAGTCCATCCCAATGTTTGACAGCTGCTGAGTTGAATTTGATTATGATTATGCTGCCTCTTGCTACCACGACAGTCTTATATGTCTAGCATAGTTCACACTCAGGCAATCGGAGAGGGTATTGTTAGAGATACTGGACATGCCAATCCAGCATCAAAGCAATAAAATGATTGTTTGACTCCTCCATAAGCCATGCCTTCCCCGATGAACTTATTTGGTTTCCTCCACTTCGAGCGATGCCATCTTCGCCTTTCGTGCCATCCATCTTCGATACACAAAGAGACCGATGATTCCGACACCGACAATGAAGACAATGCAGAAGACCAGAACAACACCAGGGTTCTCGCTCGCCCAGTTGTGGCGCCGTTTGGCTAGGTGGTGGATATGCGACTCGCGGAGTGCGATTGCAGCCATTGTCTGCTTTTCTTGTCAGTTTCTTCTTGACCTCGAGCCCAATTGGCCTACTTACGGATTGGCTGGTGTGAAGCTGAGGAAGAGACGGGACAATGACTTTCGGTCACTGTGAGGATGATTCTGCCTCAGATGAAGATGTGACCTGGGGGAACAAAGGCAGTCAATGGGCGAGAGATCGAGAAATGTTAGAGTATCGGGAGCATCGGAAGATGGACAGGTGCAAGGTTAGCAATGACGTGGTGATATCAGGAGTGCAACCTTACTCGGTCTATGAGCAAAGGGACCAGAAAGTTATTTGATAGGAGTCTAACAAGACAACACCTTGCGGTGTCATCCATCATAGTGTCAGTTGGACAAGCTTGACTTCAGTTCAGCTTGAGGTCATTCTCTACATTCAATTGCAGCATCAGATAGACTACAGGACTATATTGTCCTCTATAAAAGATAGAGCTCTATCCGCCAAGCTCCGGCACCCCACAACCCCACGTCGATCTCTCTTATCCATTCATACTCATTCTCCATAGTTCGTAGACAGGCAATATTCTCTGGATAGGGGAAGCTGATTTCCATCAATATCAGCAATATGACAATTCGAGAGGAATATCAACTGTTCTGTTGAGAAAATGTCAATGTACCTCTCTCAATTCGTGCAAAGATTAAGGCACCTCCGTGGATCCAGTTCCACTGCGTCACCACTCGATCATACTCATTATCATGATAATTAAATGACTGATAGGCATTATTAGGTAGGGAAGCAGAAGATAGTATGAATTACAGCTCTTGACGTCAGCACTCGTTTACTCTGTATGTACATCTAAAGGGATCAGGAACCTAGGCAGGAGGAATGCGCCTTCGTTAACTCCGTACTTAGAAATCGTGAACTCGTATTTGGGTCAAGCGATGGATATAAATATCCATCATATGCAGATGCAATTATTCCCAGATATACTGGATAGATCATCCCTCGAAACGGCCCCATTCTCGTCTTGATGGGCTGCACTAAGGGCGCGCCAAGCATTGGCATTCTCACGACGAGAATGTCATCGTTACACTGAATCTACCCGATCATTCCTTGACTCTTCGCTCACTGTCGTTCATTATGAGAAAGTGTCACATCAAACTAACCCTCAAACACCACAATGCATTCTTCTTCGATATCATCTGCCTCAATATTGTCCGTTACCTCTTCAATGAGTCGATGATCGGGATCCACAGCTAAGAAGCTAACCCTGCGCTACGTCCCTGACCTCGTATTCGGGCCATGAGGCACCAATTAACGCGTCCACGGACATTGATCAACAATCCGCTTGTTGAGAATGGAAATGAATGAGTCGGAGCCCAGGCACGCTGGTTACCTTCCATTGGCTGCCTGCCTCAGCTTGATCCTTCCACAGTGTTTCTAATTTGCGCCATTCTGGACTCCCTCAGTCCCGCAGCGTGCCCAAGTTGCACCACAGGCATGGATCTTCAACCCCTGATGGAGTAAACGATCATCTGTATCATGTCTGCACCAGTAAGCATTGCCATCGACTCTTCAATCCCGGCTCTTCGTGGAATCATCCCCGTTGTCATACATTTTATACGAGATCGTCCCCCCTAGCGTCGTGCGGCTCCGATTCACCACACGCACTGCCATGCATTTAAACACACTGCTCCCCACTTGGGGAGAATCACCGTCTTGACTCCATACTCGCCGTGCTGTGTGCTGTGCGACCCTTACATCACCATGGCACCTCTCTCATCGAGGATATTTCCCCTCGCGATCGGTGCTCTCGCCCTCACACCACTGACCTCCGCGTGGACCCTGACATGGCGCAACTCGACCGCCGGTGCCACCATCATCAATGAGAACAAGGCCGAAAACTGCACGCGGATCTGGCACCAGAAAGGCCAACCCTTTGCCTGGGATCCTGAGGGAAAATGGTGCATGCACTTCTACAAGGACACGGCATGCACCCAAGTCGCCGGCTACGCCTGTGACGGCAAGGTCTGGCGCCAGGACGCCAGCCGCGATCTCCCCGCCTTTGACGTCTTCCCCATGCCCCCAGAGTCCGTCAGCGTCATCTACCCGTCGACCTCCTCAACGAGCACCACCTCATCTACATCAACAACTCCCACCTCCACCGCCGTAACAACCACAGCAGCAGAATCCCAATCAGCCACCTCCGCAGCAGCATCAACCACACCGACCCCATCCCCGTCCTCCTCCTCCTCCTCCTCCATCTCCGGCGGCGCCATCGCCGGAATCGTCATCGGCGCAATCGCCGCCGTCGGTATCATAGCCGCCCTCTTCTTCTTCTTCGGAAGACGCAACCGCAAGCCAGCCCAGCCCGAGACCGACCCGCGCTCGACATCCCCGCAAACACCGCAATTCCCGCCGGGTTCACCACTAGGCCTCGTCTCGACGAACGATACCGCTCCAGCACCAGCGCCAGCGTACATCGTCCCGCACAAGCAGGAACTCGCCGAGACGGAGATGTCCCAGGCGTATGCGTATGGGCATGGACATCCGCGGGCGTACGCAGGCTCCAAGTTCGTCGAGTTACCCGGCAACGGGGCGGAGGCGGAACTGAGCAATAGTCGACAGGTGCACGAGATGGATGGGACGAGTGATATTAAGCGGCCGATTTATGAGGCTGCTTGACCGCTTGACTGCATGGTTTTTCTCAACTTGTATATAGTAGCATTCGCATTAATGATACCTGGTGTTGGGTTTGCTTGATAATGCGACACGGTCGCATGATTCGAATTCGAAAAGAAGATAAAACTATGTTTTCTGGCAGCATAAACAAACATACACAGACAAAACACCTAATTCTAACCACATGATTCAATTCGAAAAAAGAAGATAAAAACTACGTTTTCTGGTATCATAAACAACAAATATACACAGACCAAACACCTAATTCCTAACCGCATGATGCACATCCACCCGTCCACTGTTATGCCACGTCGCCAACATCACCCCACACTTCCCACAGTAATGGTCCACATCCTTCAGCGACGACATCAGGTAGGGTATACACCCGAGACAGAAACAGCAGCACAGCACCGCCGCCCATCCACTACATATCCCACATTAGCCCTACGCCCCTACAGAGTAGGTAGGAGGTACTTACTGCGTGGTATTCCCCGAATGCGCCTCTGCGCGCGTCATCTCCCGCTGTCCGCAGACAGGACAATCAACGGGCGTCGGCCCGCGCTGCAGGGCGTGCAGCGGCGTCGCGCTGTTGTACCCGCTTGGGTGGCCCATTCCGGGCGCTGCGGCGTAGTATTCCGGCGCGGGGGGCTGCGCGAATGGCTGCTGCTGGGGATGGTCTTTGGGGAGGGGTGCTTGAGGCTGCATGTGTGCGTTTTGGGGGGCTGGGACTATAGGCGCGGCCTGTGCCTGGTGGGTTTCCGGGCTGGGGTGTTGCTCGTAGGCTGGCACAGGGGCTGATATCATGATTCGTTAGTATAGTTTGTGGTGGTGTGAGAGATCGGATCAGACGTACTGGAGTTGATTTTTTCGGAGTCCATGGTGGGTGGATTTGATCGAGTGGTATGATTGTTTTACCTAGGTGATGTTGCTCAGAGCTGGGGGTAGGAACATCTTTATATGACAGGGAGGGTCTATATATAACTAGGTTCTATCTAACGTCCTCACCCATGTTCCGTAAAGTCATCGGGCGCATTTGGATCGCCGTTAGCCTTGTAGTTGTGGTAGAAGATGAGCGTTCACAATACGAGGCTTGGAGGCTTGGAAGAAGCACTAAATGAGACTGGTCGGCCAATATCATTTGCGGACTGGAGCTTGGACGGAGGCTTTGCGTTGAGGCTGTACGGGATCGGCAAGGCTGTGACTGTGGGCCAGTGAGCGGCGCTTATGTACGGCTGCCTGTTAGTTAAAAGAATGTATGGAGTACCTAACTGATTATTGAAGTTTTACCCTTGTATCCTCTGCCAAAAAGGCATCCCGGACACCGTTTGTGGCTTAGTGGCAATAGTAGTTTAATTTAGTGTTGTATAGGTGTTCAACAATCCATGGATCTTTACCGTTTGTGGAGATTGTGGTGTTCGTGATCCTACCTTAGCAACTAAAAAAGGGATGAGTCCCTTCGTACAGAAGTGGAACATTTCTTGTTAATCTCGGGTTGAGCACAGTAAAAACTTATTATACGAGGAGTTGTCTTGGCTGGTCTGAGCGATTTTCATCATCGTTCGCCTGAATCTTTGGGCCGATGGGGAGGTGCCTGACTATCAATGTCGGGAAGTCATACGTGCAGGACGGCAACAACAGAGATCGAATATGTTATTCCATTTTTGTACTTTCGGTTAAGCTTTGAGAAATTGTCGCTAGTGATTGGTGATAGTAATCTGATGGTCAATGGAGCAGTCACAATCGACTCAGCCCTGCTGGAGAATTTATATATCCTCGTGGGTCTCCGAGAACACGAGGCCTGGACCTAAGTTTCGACTCCGTGTATCACAGACACTATCCCGATACTTTGTTCAAAGGTAAGAGTGAATTGATACAGCAGTAAGGGAGGCATTGATTCGCTTTAGAGCGAATAGGAAGGCCGCTCACGCAGGATATCCTTGGCTAGGGAAGAGCCCTATTTCAGCCTTTTGCAGTCGCATCGTTTGTTCAGCAACGGGGAACATTTGACCAGCAGCTTTAAATACTCCATCCACTGTGAATTTGGGGCATTATGAAAGGAGGTGTTGAATCCAACGTGGTCGCGTCAGAGGCAGTTTTCTCACTGCGAGATGCATTGGCAGCACCAGAGGAAGCCAAAGCCTTATTGCACAAGCTGTGGAGAAAGTCGCAAATAATGATCCCAACGTGGAGGTCGATTTTCGGCTGGGAGGTACGGCGTCAACCGATCTTGATACTGACGTGGACGGGTTCAATGTCGTAACCGTCAACTATGGCGCAGATTCCAAGATTGGCGATTCACGACAGAAAAGACAGGCGTGTGAAACGGTACCTGTACAGACCTGGCAGTATCCTTATTGCGCACGGTGAAAAAACGACGTGTTGATGTCGAAGCGCTTCAAGGGTAGTGGAATTTGATATACCGGGAATTGGCGAGAACCCTGTGATCTGTCTTCCATTGTCTTGTCAGTCTGTATGCTCGACTCAAAATCAGATGGGGGCCCAGTTCGCACCTCATTGCAACGGTATCAGGTAACTGGTTGCTCAGAGCATGTGTTGAGTAAGTCAAGGTTCATTTTGAGGCAGGTGATCAGTGCCTCAGGCGATCAATTTCCATATGGCCTAAGGCCCCCGATGCGCTTGCCATTTCGACGACAAGCCCATTGTGTTGCTTTCTTCTGTTCTCAACTCAACTGGCATCCCCCAAAGACTGACTATTTGGATCCTCAGTCTCCTTTACAAACCAATGGTGGTTTCTAAAGGAGGCCGGGGAACTATATATTGGGAGCTCCATTCATCTTGTTACTCCATTTTGGAAGTCGTGCGTATGAGAAACGTTCCCTCCCGCCTCTGGATCAACTGAGTCCACTGGACCTTCACTTCTCTTGCAGGCAGCATCACTAGATCTGCTCAGTTGGTCTATATACTTGATCATTTTCCCCCAAGAGCCTGGAACAAGCCCATAACTGACGAAGAGCTCAGCCTAGATTGTTAAACCACTATCGTGTACGTCCTTCTGGCCTCTCTAGAAGACTGATCTTGATGATGAAACTGACCCGTTGTTGCCTCATTCAGCCGTGGCCGTTTGCAATCTCCTTCCTGCCAACTCCAAATTGCTACACCACAAAAAGATGCCATGACACATTGACTCAGAGTCAACAGTCACAGTTGACACACGTCGGCGACAGGGTCGCTTCCGCACCCAGAACTACAGCAGTGTGAATCCTATGGCCATCCGTCGTATGTTGGAGGATCCAAAAATGTGTTCCACCGTTGACTTTCGTCGAATATGCGTCACATTGCTTCTGCATCCATCGAGCCCGTGAGCCTTCGTTGGCCCTACTCGCTGGATTATCGAAGTGCACCTGTTCAAGTTTTTTGCTGCAACACGTTGGATCATGGATATGTCGAAGAATTACTGCAGCACGAGGTGAGTGTCACAGGCCTTTTGGCACCTGAGATCAACAAAAGCTGATGGTCATTCGATTCCTCAGTTGCGCGATTTTCAGGGCTGAAACAAATAAACAGGATCAAAGTGTCAAGTTGGTGGGATCGGCAGCGCTCAGCCAGCATTTTCTTTTGTCGAAGAAACAAGGGAAACTATTTTATATTTACAGCTCGCAGTGCATGTACACCCTGATCTTAGAAGTATATGAGGGAAATCTTCGGGAAGCTCGGGTTCCCTGAGCCTTTTATAACCATACATTGACGTGTCCAAGTATCTTCACATGGCTAGAGCGTGAAGGTCAGGCAGCTGTTATCAAGGTTCTTGTTCTATGGCCCCTGTCACACTGATATCATTCTACCTTCTACAACAGTGAGGAAGGTTTGCTGCTCCTACAGAGCGATGCAACAGTACATTCCTTTGAAACATTCAGTCTCAATTTCCACTACGATGTAGATCTTTCTAAGATGCATCATGTTCAATGCAATGATGAGAATAGGAATTATGCTACATACCAGGATGCATAATGGGCAAGAGAATAATGAAAGCCAGAAGTAATTCGAATGTGGAACACGGGTTCTATCATCATAGATGAACATCAAACTATCAATCGCCACATCTAGAATGATCATGGCCCATTTTAGCTACGGCTTGCCGATATTGTTAAATTTAGTTTCGCGGTCGCAGCCCATCACTCAGAGAGCTTTGATAATCGAACCGTATCCCTAATAACAGTAATGATGAGTATGCCAGCGAAGATAATCCCTGGGGCCTTGTAATAGACGGTGGGATGATGATGGCATCTAACGGCTGGAATCCCATGGAACGATCATGTCTTAACCAATACTGTCTGTTAACCCAGGACGCCACAGAAGTACCATATTCTACGCGTATAGATCCAGTACCTGTAGGTACAGCGGCGATGTACCTTCTAGAGGCTTCCAGAGAGGCAAAGTCGAACCCTGACGATGAAATACAATAATGACGTTTCTACGCTTCCGCGAAGGTATATATGCAAGACATATATGCTATCTTGAGATGACAAAGTAGACACCAAAAATCAGCTAAGATGTATTCTCGCAGGCTTTTGAACTTTCCTCTGAAACACTTCGCTACGCGCACTCCAATTGTCCGCTCTCCACGGCCGCGCCAGCCATGGCAGGCCAGGACAATGTCTTTGATGCAAAGGAACCAAAAGAACCCTGGCGCTGGCTTTCCCTCCTTGTCTCGAGCTCTTAATGACCTCGAGTCCTTCCTGAATCGCCCAGTGGGCAGCCATGATGTACTGGGCCACTATCCTCGGTTTGACGTCCGCGAGACAAAAGACAGCTATCGTCTCGACGGAGAGCTTCCGGGAGTGGACAAGAAAGACATTGATATTGAATGGAGCGACGACAACATCCTCACCATCAAGGGGCGTTCGGAGCGAGAGTCAACATCAGAAGATCCCGAACAATCCTGGTGGTGTTCTGAGCGTTCGGTCGGAGAGTTCAGACGGTCGTTTCGGTTTCCCGAGGGTGTTGACCGCGATGGGATCGATGCTAGTTTGAAGGACGGTGTTCTCTCGATTACCATCCCGAAAACAGCGGAATCTTCTGTGAGCAAACGTATCGACATTAAGTGAGAGTGATGCAATGCAACGGAGACTGCAGATTGCATGTCTCGGCTTGTTGGTTACTCGGATCTGCTATTCGTTTGCCAGTCTGCTTACTTCGTTAGGGGCAAGTAGATATGAGTTGGAAACAAGCTTGATTCTCTATACTTAGTTGAGAATGGAATGCACACAAATATTGCATGTGTCATCAGAACTGACTACCACTGAGTACTGATTATATCCCTCATCGTTGACGATCCTTTCAATTTCTATTTGGCTCATCCTTCTATTTGGCTCATCCTTCTAGCACTCTGCTTCGACTCTGCTCTCTAAACCTTGTAGCTAAACTCTTTCATTAGCTGAAAACAGCAAACGTAGGAAATTATACTTTTGAAGCCAAGTTGCAGCGGACGAGAACAAGCCTCCCTATACCTCGACTGTCGGCCTGTCAACGATTCTGCTGCGTAAGGCAATTGTCTCGTGACTCCTCCCAGCTGGGAGATCTCTCGTTCTTCGACGATCAAATTAGCTTGGTTTGTTTCCAACTTCTCCTTTTGTGACACAAGCACCGAGTTCGTGAGATCATGCAGTTTCATCCCCGCGCTGACCTCAAATACGATTCATCTGATTGCATCGTGGAACCAGCATCGTACTCTGTTTGTGCACGTCATCCCATGGTAATCATCTCTAAGTTGAAGACTTTTCATTTTCAGCTCGACATGCGCGTCATGCTATTCCCTGCGGCTCCCCCTTCAGTTCATCACTCCTATGGAACACGATGCCTTTCACTACGAAGCTCAACAGCCTGTTTTCGCGCAGATGGCGTCGCCGAAAGCCCATAAGAAAAGAAGAGGACCCAAAATGCACGTCAAATATACAGATACTTGTTACTTGCCTGTGGAAAAGAGATGGAGAAACTGCTCGGACTTTGACTCCTGGGTGTGAGCAACGTATCCGTACTTTTACTTGGATGGCGCCTCTCCTGACAGAGGCTTTCCTGAATGGTTACAGCACCGAGCAGAGGAGTATATGAGGACTTTTCAGGAATTGCTTCAAAAGGCTGGTATTAAAAATGGTTTGAGTTCCCAGTTGCCGACGAGAGCACGGATAAGCTGATATGGCTTCTCGGATTACTGCTGCGCGAAACCCCACACATGGCTCCCTTGGATTCCCACAGGATCTACCATTGCTATAACATCCTGCGAGACCGCCTTTCTGAGCCAGTCTTGCGGGCCGATCCAAAGATCAATCACTCTGGGAGTTCGGAAAGGAAAAGCCAATTCCTGAACCCTCTAGGCCTCAATTTGGAAGCCAATGGAGGAATTGCAAAACAGTCGACGACTTTGTGAGACTTTTCAATCTGGATGACGATGTGAAGGGCTACATCACTCCACCCGGCTCGAAAATCAAACCCGATCTCCCGGCTTGGCTGAAAGAAGGTGCCAAGGAGTATCTGGATGTTGTACTACGATATCTGAGGAACGGTGGGTGATTGGGAAGGTATTTCGTACGGCTGTACTGTGTACACTGCCCGATTTTCTGAAGACGTCTTGGTCCATACATACGCGGAATAAATGAGAATAAGCCCACACTCCGAGACGCAAAGGCTATCCAGCTACCATGAAGCGCTGCTCAGATTGTTGCAAATTTACTGGCACCGCCTGCCTGTCCATAGATGGAAGGATGGTCTTTTTCCTAGGCGTTTCCTTCACGATGCGACTGGGCCTCTTTACGGGGAGATCCTGCATCAATTTTATGAATTCAATAGCCATGATTTCCACCGGGATGTCGCGCCTTATACTGCTCTTGTGGGGGCTGCAGGGTATGGCAAGAGCTTTTTTGTGCAGCAGATGGCTGTACAAGGCTATACATATGTTGTGCATCTCCAGCCACTGGGGGACAACAGTAGTCCCCAGTGGTATTCAACTGAAAGCTATACTTTGGCGAATTCGGCATCAAAAGGTCTCCGATCGGCAAAGAATACTCGAGTGCTTCATAGCTGTCAGTCGCTAATGTTAAGCTGTGCAGAGATGTTGGCATCGGTCCTCGAGCATTCTTCAACATGCAGACTAGGATCGCGTACCGCTCATCCAACAACACGCTCAGGAAGTTCACAAAGGTCCTATGGAAGGCATTTGCAAGGCACCGGGCTGTCAGGACGAAGACGACAAGTATTGGAACCAAGCTCTGAAATAGAAATGTTGTTTAGGCAAGCACGCGGCACTCATGTGGAGCAAATTCTTCACACTACGTGCAGTATTGCCAATTTACCAGGCGTACCATGACTATCAAGACTCTCCCAGCGGCGATACTGCCCTCAAGGAAGGGAGTCCTGCTATGGTGTTATGCATCGATGAACTGCCCCTGAGCGACGTATGGCTTCCCAGCAAGGCGATTAGGTGTCCGTTGTATAACGAGATGATAAAGGCCATCTCCAGTCGTGTAAGCCATGAATGGGATGCTCCAGAAGACCGTTTCTTTGCTTTGATTCGTCTGATATGCCGCCCAATCCCAATCATCCCTTTCCTGATATTCAGATCGAGCTATTGAAGTAGAACGCTTCTTGTCCTGACACGTCTGAGAGAACCAATTTCATACACGGTCTAACTTGCTATTATTCTGGAATATGCTTCGGTTTCTGCTGGTGCAATGTAAGGCTACCTTTTTACTTAGGAACTGCTCTCAGTTCGCCAGGCGCTTAGCCGTACTTGGTTTCAGCAATCGAGTCCATCATTTGAAATCATCGCCAGGAATTACAGAAGTGTTAACTCCCGCAACGTATCTCATATGTAACAGGATACTCCGCAATAGACAAAGCGTTAGAATAGACAATCGAAAAGTGCATCATATCCTTGTTTGCAGAGCGTCTCCGTTCTTTTTCGCAAAGAAAGTACCCATGCCTGGTAGTTTCCCGGTAAAGCTGCATCGGTTGTGTTTGTAAAAAGAGTTACCTTCTTGAATTTTGAGTCTCGGGCACTGATATGTACATCCTGAGTTCCATTATCCTAAATTCTAAGCCCTGCCCTCACGCTCCCCGAGAACAACGACACACGTGAATTGTCGCTAGGGAGCTGGACCGCGCTCTCGGCAGCTCGTACGCTCGTCGGTAACGAACCCGTTTGTCTGCTAGGTGATTCGTCATCATCAGGATCCAGTATTCTCTTCTGGGACAGTAGCTGGATCCCTGTTGGGTGTTGTTTGGTTGAATCGGGTAGACCCTGGCTTCGAGCTACCATTGCAGGTAGAACTGCTCAAACACGCAGCGCGACGGTAAAAAATGTGAAAGTAAAAGGGATGGCCCGCAACAGATACCTAGACAAGTACGGAGTAACTGTCAGTGACGGTGGAAAGGACTATGGTTGTGCGTACACCTACCTCTTTGGTGGTTTTAAATTATGTTGTATACCGCTTAAAGAAGCCTAACTGTATTGGTGAAATTGTGTAGCTATGCATCTGAAGAGACACCTGTCTAATAAATATTGGTACCCCAGTATCTCAAAACAAATGAGCTTTCTTGCTCCGGCTGCTCCGGCTGCTCCCCCTGCCTTAACTTCTCCCCTTTATCCTTATGGTGAACATATCTGGATCTGGGCAGACTGGACCCCGGATGATTTTTGCGGCTTAGGGAGTTCTCATTGGTAGAAGGATTTGTCTGACCCCTAAATCTAGGGGCCTCCACGACCACTTCGTCCCTAGATTCTTCATCAGGGACACTCAGTAGTTCCTCTTGTTTCTCCGTTTCGTCCACCATTTCTTCCTTAACGTCCTCGTCGGTTGCCTCTAGATTCATCTCCCACGCGTCCCGCCCCCAGAGCAGCTTATCTGAGTCGGGATCAAGATCTTCATCGGTTGCATCGGCGGCACCACTAAGAGCAAGAACTCGATGGAGCCCATTGCATATTTAGTAGCTCCACCGATGGAAAACGACACCACCGCGTTCTGAACAGTCGCTGATGCTCAAAGAAACACTGACAGAAGCTTTCTCTATTGAAAATGTGAGTAAACACCGCCATGAACTTTATGTAGAAGTACATTTAGATTCGGACATACCATTACCCTCTTTAAAGATGGTCATCCCGACTCGATTGTGCATCGCCGGCATCATTGTACAGTCCTTTATAGGAACTATGAAGGGACGGAGGCTAGAGCGTCAAAAGCCCCCTTCGATTGTGACCTTGGCGAATACGACGTTGGCAGAAATATGACGAGTCAGCCACTCTTTCCATTGAGTGGAATTTAGGGTAATCTCTTCTCGACTCCGGGAGAAGCATAAAGAAGAGTAGCAGGTTGCAGATCTGCAGGAACGTCGCGTCATCTTGTATAGTCATTCATTCATCTGTGTTGAGGGTGAGCTCCCCCTTCCAAGTCTCATATAGGAGTATCAAGCCAGACGGCATGCTGTGTCGCAGGAGGTTGGCCGACTGTATCAATGCCATCTCGTTCTCCTCTGGTCTCCAAACACGCAGGTGCTGTACCCATCAGCCTTAATTCGGCCTTATCCGAGACTGCCTTATAGCCGACGATTTCACAATGACAACGACGTTGACGTGCACAATCACTCCAATACGGCAGACATCCTTGTTCATAAGTAGATGTGGATATGACCTTCTTGGCTGTGCATCAGGCACCGGAGTCCTAAATGCCTGTAGTGGGAATCGGCGGAGGAAGGACACCGGGAAAATGTCGACACTAACAGAAGTTCAACCAGCTCTGGTGGTGTCGGCGTATTGCTGATGCATCGATAATTTTCTCGCACGCTCACTGGTCTCTGCGAGCCCGGTAGAATCTCCATTGGCTCCAAACTCCATGTGCCCTCCGAGCTCGCATCCGATATTTCTGAGAGTAGACTGAGATTGCTATTGTCGTGCGCTCTCTTGGTGACCTTCGTGAGGTTTGTTGATTCTTCTGATATTGTGGTTCGTTTTCATCAGCAGACACTAGCAAATTGGTCCTTGTACTAGTAGGTTAGCTTGTACAGAACTTTGCATTGTCGACCAAAAGAGAACTCACCTGGAAGTAACCAATGGCAGAAGTACGACCGTGACGAGGGGGTTTGCCCGTTGGACAACTTCCTGTGCACGCTGGCACTCGATTACCAGGGTCGAGTTTCACGGACTGTGGCCCTTCGTAAGCCATTCTTGAATACAGTCATGGATCCATATTGGCATGACTCTGATTCGCAAGGCCTTGCTCTTAGTGTTGTAGGTTTTTCTGACGGATGGCTGAGACGAGGCGGATCAGACCAGAGAAGGTCGCTCCCTACTCGTATGCCTGAGAGCTATCACAACGAAAGTCATCTCCTAGATGAGTGATGCTTCTGTCAACAGCTGACCAGACGCGGGGCCGTACGGGTCGAGGTGCGTGCATTCAGGTGGGTTCATGAGTGGAGAGGAGAGTATAGCACGCAAAAAAACAATAGAGACTGATCTCAATTGGAACGAATTCATGGTGTACGAACTAGAGATACCAACGTGGAATATGGTCATTCATATCCGCAAAGATGGCTGCTTGACCCAATCCTGTCTACCGTAGTATGCCGATTGCACCACTGAGGCCTTTCCCCGGCCGAGAGCATGGTGTGGAGAACAAAGGAAGAAGATCACAAAAGCGGAAACGGCATGAAAAAGGTCCGAGAAGTATTTTCCCAATCTGATATGGTCACGCTTGACCGCTGAGGAATCGCACAGAGCATCTCCGGAGGTTTGGTTTGCAGTCCGGTGTGAGTGGTATACTGTGGTCTCGATTGGGGCAGCTGTCACAGACCCGCTATTGCAAATATACTTGTTTATAGTCGGTGATCATAGTCGGTGAACCTATTCCCTCGACGAACGCATGCAACAGATTCCGCTCATATAGAGCATGCTCCGCCGGTTTTGATCGACAATAAAGAATCGCAATTGAAATGTTGCCTGTCTTGCAGGTATTTGAAGTGAGGGTAGAATGTATCCGTAACTTTATGTTCATGTTCTAGGCATAAAATCCTTGAGATGGATTATCAAGAATGTTGTGACTTGGAGACAACGAAGTAAGCCAGATGAACTGATTATGTTTTCGGAAATACTCACAAGCTTCGGAAGCCTCTCAATCCCAGAAATATCAAAATCATGCCCAGAACAAGGCGGTTGAGTAGGAGGAAGAGCATCGCGAGCCCAAGACGAACATCACTTGAGGATGATCTCCTCACGTTGAGGAAATACATAAAGATTCCCTTTTCTCCCGAGCGTCCGTACAATGGACGCTGGCTGATCGGGGTTCAGGTAGCTCAACAGAGCTGTCTAAACAGTCTCAAGCCAGAGTTAGGCATGCGAACCCGCTTGTTATAACGGTCATGACATTTTGAGTCATTCTCTGATAACAAGGTAGCTTCACCTTCACACTCCGAAGTTTGGTTTCGGCGCACATTTATAGGGCAGTGATGAAGAACTGCATGGCAGCCATCCATGAAACATACCCGTATTCCCTTCATGAGCGTAGCAAAGCGGCAGACCGGCCATTTTCCGAGGTGGTCAAAGATATGACAGACCAACCAGGAATTGGTCGTATTGAGTGGCCTATTGAACGTCAGTGAAGAGGCCTCAAGATGTACCGAACACAATCCGTCAACGTACCTTGCGTGCCTTTTTGTTTCCAGTTATGCCATGGTGCGAGCGAAGAGCTTGTTCGATGCTGTCAGGCATTGTTCAGAAGCCTCGGTAACGAGGTACTAGATACCCGGGTGAGTTCTAGACATCGCATTAGTATTTCAATCGCCGTGTTTGAAGAGGGCGACCCACGAAATATGCCATACTCCCACGCAGTTCAGTTTCCAGAGGACTGAGTCTCTTACGTCCAGCATCTCATCTGTCAAAGCCTTGCGGCAAGTTGGCGAAGAATACCGAGTGACTTCTCCCTGTATTGATTTGATGCTGGACAGGGACGGGCACGTTGCAAATGCCGCGGGGCAAATGTCAAAGGTGTCTTGTCGTATGTTGGATGAGGGACCCCAAGAATCGGTTGGTCCAAACACCAAGAACATACCATACATTTCGGGACCGTATTCGAAGGGTGAGTGCAGTACTGTCCCTGGAATTGTCATATGTTGTTCCGGTTCAGTCTCGGCTCTCAGGCGATTTCTTGTCTTTTGGACACCTTTCGTTCAGCTTTTGCGAAGGCCCCCGGGCCAAAGTGTACAGATAAATGTTAAATTGTCCTTGAAACGGGGGCAAGCCTTCCGCTGCGGACTCCATGTCGCGCAGCGAGACAAGGCCCGTAGTGCCATAGAAATTCTTTGCTGTTGGCAGTGAGGAGAGTGACATATCAAATCGTAATTGACGTGACCAGTTGATAGTGGAACTGAGACTTGGCTTCTTCGCACCGCGCTCTCTTCCAGGTGCCTTCTTCTGCTGATCACTGGTGTTGGCTTTCGGGCGAAGCACTATCTCCAGGAGGAGGCAATAACTGCCATTGCAAAGTTGTTTGCTGGAGAGACGATACCACTGTCGTCGGTTAGCATCAGATTTTGTTCGCTCCATCGGATAGACTCACCTAAGTTTTCCGTGGGAAGAATAGCTTTAGCTGACAGTGGTCCTGCTGACCGGAACCTCTTCGAACTCCTCAGAAGGGTGCGATGGACGTGTACCCTGCCACGGCTAGCCCTTGTTGTTCAGCGATGTTGTTTCAGTGGGCATTAATGCTCCGCCCCTGCTTAGGCGCATTCTGTTGCCTGTTAGTCGACGACGACTTTAGAACTCCAAGCGCAACATACCTTTTTCTTTTGCAACGTTCAGTTGCTCTCAATCCATTTGGAGCGAGCGCAGGCCGTTTGTCCTAGGCCAGACACCCACTTTGTTGGGTAACCTGGTAATTGCCATGTCCTGGGGAGAAACGCCCCGGGCCAGCTCACAGATTGCAGTCACCTCACGCGGGGATAACCCTTTGTAGACAACTGAAGTGACCAAGCGGGTTGTGTAAGCGGTCGAGTAGCCTTGTTGCTATGAGTCGATGAGCAACCCATCTCAGAGGGGTGATTGTAAGGTCACTCTGAGAACCGACTGAGGGGATAGTAACATGAATTGAAGAAGAGGTATTTCAAAAGTAGATGTGAATATGACTTTATTGAACTTCCAAAGTCAATCGAGAACTGCCTGAGTGATGAGAAGAAGAAGAAGATGTCGAGGAGGGAGAGAAGGGGCTTATATATCTTCTTCTCGGAGGCCTGAAACGTGAACCTGGTCGCGTATTCTCGCTTATTATCCCTTACGTGAATATCAGCAGCTTGATCGCGTGAATATCATCTCACTTTGTCAATTCCGTCACTATTCTTTGCCATAATTTTCTACAATAGTAGAATCGTGAATAATCACTCTGCCATCACCAATTGAGCCTGATGAGTGTATCTCGGACCAACTCCGACAGCTGTCATTCATCCCACTCTCCCCCACCCGCGCTTTATAAACACCTCAATCTCGTCGGATTTTCAAGTAGAGCAATCAAAAATTCAATCCTACATTCAAACTCCATAAATACAGAAAACATCAGATACTCAAAATGTCCAAACCTACCATCGGCTTCGTCGGCCTAGGAGCCATGGGCTTCGGCATGGCCACCAACCTCGTCCGCGAAGGATACCCTGTCGTCGGCTTCGACGTCTTCCCCGCCTCGGTGCAGCGATTCCAGTCTCAGGGCGGAATTCCGGCTTCGTCGCTTCGGGAGTCGGCAGAGGGGAAGGACTTTTACATTTGCATGGTCGCCTCGGCGCCGCAGGTGCAGTCGGTTCTTTTCGGGGATGATGGTGTTGTACAGTGTGCGTTACGCCCATTGAGATTTACCATGAGGAGCAAAGCTGATATTGAGATGAACAGACCTCCCGAAGAATGCTACTCTCCTCCTCTGCTCCACAGTCCCCGCTTCCTATGCGCAGTCCGTAGCCGCAGAGCTGCAATCCCGCGGTCGTGCGGATATCCGCTTCATTGATTGCCCTGTTTCTGGAGGTGCCAAGCGCGCCGCTGACGGGACCTTGTCCATCATGGCGGGTGCGTCGGAGGAGGCGCTGAACAGCGGGCGCGAGATCCTGCAGGTGATGTCTGATACGAATAAGCTGTACCTAGTCCCCGGCGGCGTCGGCGCCGGGAGCAACATGAAGATGGTGCATCAGGTGCTGGCGGGAATCCATATCCTGGGTGCCAGTGAGGCAATGGGATTCGCGGCGCAGTTGGGGCTCGATGCAAAGACTACCGCTGAGAAGATTATCGGCTCTGAGGCGTGGACGTGGATGCATGAGAACCGGCTGCAGCGGATGGTGGAGGAGGATTGGAACCCCGGTGCCAGTGCGCTGACGATTATTCTCAAGGATGTGGTAGGTTGTCTTTACCGTGTGGTTTCTACAGATACTGACTGCCTAGGGCATTATCACGACTTCTGCCCGCCAGCACCACTTCCCGACCCCTCTCTGCTCGACTGCCGAGCAAGTCTACCTTTCAGCGCTGCTGCAGGGCTACGGCCCCAAAGACGACTCCGCCATGGTCCGCCAGTACTATCCGAAGCCACTGGCCGACGTGACCTGCACCGCGGAGGATCCCTCCGCTGCCCTCCAGCTCGTCCTCGATCTGATGCTGGGAGTCAACCTCGTGGCAGCCGCAGAGGCTATTGCGTTTGCGCGGTATTTGAACGTCGATCTCGCCATGTTCCACCGACTAGTCAGCGACGCGGCCGGCGCAAGCAAAGTGTTTATCCACAAGGGGCTGGAGATGATCGAGGGGAGAATTGGGGACAAGGCGCCTGAAGGGTCACAGACGCTCGATGAAGCCGTAGCACAGATGGAGAAGGTGGTGCAAAGGGCGAGGGATCTGCATTGCCCGCTGCATCTTGGGAATGCGGCGTTGGAAAAGTTGCTGATGGCGCGGAGACACGGACTCGGAGGGGAAGCGAGCACGAGCGTGATCAAGATGTTTGGCCAGTAATTGTACAGTTGTACTAGGATCTCTCTATGTAATGCCTTCAATAATGTCTTCATAACCCCTGAAATGCGCGGGATGCCAAATGCCCATTGACGTCAGTCGGACCAACTCCGTGCAGAGAGTGGGGGAGTTATCCTCCGAGTAAACAACCCCATATATAAAGGCACATATCCTGTGCACCTAGAATTCTGTACTGTAATCCTTTCACTCCCATCTTCCTCTCATCTTCACCAATTTCTATCGAAATGGCCTCCAGAATGGCCTCCAACCGCGCCCTCGCCATCCTCGACCACGCCGCCTCAAACCACTACGGCGTGCCCGCCATGTGCTGCTACAACCTCGAAGGCATCCTGGCCACCGTCCGCGCCGCCGAAGCCAAGCGCTCCCCAGCGATGATCCTCCTCTTCCCCTGGGCCATCCACTACGCCGACGGGCTACTCGTGCACGCCGCCGCCGAAGCAGCCCGCAAAGCATCCGTCCCCATCGTCGTACACATGGACCACGCGCAAACCCCCGAGATCATCCGCTACGCCGCAGACCTCGGCGGCTTCGACAGCATCATGGTCGACATGAGCCACTACGAGAAGGAAGAAAACCTGCGTCTTACGCGGGAACTGGTAGCCTACTGCCACGAGCGGGGGATCGCGACGGAGGCGGAGCCCGGCCGGATCGAGGGCGGGGAGGACGGAGTCGCAGACACGGCTGACCTAGAAGGATTACTGACAACTCCTGAGGAGAGCCGCGAGTTTGCCGATACGGGGATTGACTGGCTGGCTCCGGCGTTTGGGAACGTGCATGGCGAGTATGGGCCGCGGGGGATCCGGCTGGAGTATGATCGGTTGAAGAGCATTCAGGAGGCGGTTGGGGATCGGGTCAAGCTTGTGCTGCATGGGGCGGATCCGTTCACGCCGGAGATCTTTGCCAAGTGCATTGAGTGTGGGGTGTCCAAGGTGAATATCAACAAGGTGTTGAATAATGAGTATGTGCGGGTGCAGCGCGAGAAATCGGGGCGGGCGCCCTTGACGGCTGTGCTGGAGGAGGCAACGAATGAGATGCAGAAGGCTGTTGAACGGTGTATGGATATGTTGGGGTCTACTGGGAAAGCTGCTTAATGCTATCAGTATTATTCATAGACTTGAGACATATATTTTCTGTGCAATTCCTCTTTCAATGATATTAACCCCACGTTTCCCCGCACTCGGCGGACGACCGACTCGGCAATCCTCCGTCTCTCTATGCCGCTCTCGGGGCAAACGCCGATATCCATACACAACTTGCGCATATTGACCCTTCTCAAGATACCTCCATCCCCTAGAGTGTTCAATTAAAAGAGGAGACTGCTATACTGCAAGAGGACTGATCTGTTCTTGATGCCCGAAGAATTTTAAAGTATTGGTATACTTGGCCAAAAGCTTCCCTACGGTTCCAATGTTTGAGAAAGTGCCAAATTTTCTCGAGAGTTACTGAGCACACTGCACACAGTGGAGGTAATCTAGCTCGAACATACCACAATGAGTGTTGGCTCAGAGACCAATAAGTACTGTTCATATCATTTCCACTCTGCTGAAACCATGACGCCGCGGCCATAATGCCACAGACTTAAAAGAAGCAGTATCACTTTGAGCTGCCACGTGCCATTATGAAAGGACGTTTCATTTGGGCTTTGAGTTCAACGGATTTAACGAGTATCTGACTATCTGATAATCTTTGAACCAGGAGAAAGTTCTGAAAGTATGTAACTACCTATCATGGCCAGGGAGGACAGAGCCTATATACTATCTTTAACCCTACAGGGACTGTTTTGGGCTACAGCTCCATAGTATGTTGCAGTTTGTAAGACCATGGTGTTGCTATGTACATTTTCCCATCATAGCCTAGTACTGCCCTAGTTTAGAGTGTATAGGACCCACTGATGGGCCCAGAAGGCTTAGAAACAGCCACAAGCTTAGATCCATGATTTACATAGTAGGCAGCAGCCAACAGATTGATAAAATTTGGGCTTCCTCTATCTTAACTTGCACCTCTTGTTTTGATCAGTGTACATTCATCAATTTATAATCAGACAATGCCTCGTTCCACCTCGAATAAGCCCGAACCTCCCCCTCCCCCCAACACCACCCCCGAGCATTTTATGCAAAAAGCCGGATTCTACAACCATCCCTTTTTGTAAGTCAACCAGATCTGACTGCCTCGATCAACGTGCCCTAGATTCCTCGCCTCTGTTGTTGTGTTCCACTTGATGTACTACCGGACCTGTCAGCTTGTATGTGCGGTGGATACATGCTATCTACACACCTTGTTTCTGGGCTTTTCTGTTTCTCTTTTTCTGTCTTTTGCTCTATCGTGGAGAACTGCGAGACGAGATTCTTCGGGATGCTGAGGTATCGGCAATAATGGAGAAGTAGCGGGCTGGTGGAAGCAGTTCGGTGTGGAATTGTCAGATAGCGCGAGGGATATATAGTTCAGTCTATATATTGGCCATTCAGTGCTAGAAATTATGTATAAAGGCTTAATCTAATCTACCAAGTTACTCCTTTTGTACATATTTTCAAAGGCAGAGCGGCTATATAGGTATTGATACTGTTTTGAAAGTTATATAAGAACATACTAGAACAGAATCCAACTAATTAGTCATGCATGATGAGAACCACTTCTTTCAACCATTCACCTCAATCAGCCACATATCCAGATCATGCCATCGCATGACCCTCTGTAAGTCACCAAAATATCTAAACTTATCTGAGAATAGACCACTCACTATAGATACAGACAACCACAATGACGACAACCTGCCCCTGCCCACCCCAAATCAAACACCTCTCCTCCACCCTCCCAACCAAAGGCCCCTTCGACTTCAGCTTCCTCCCCCCCATCACTCAACCCCTCGCCGACCTCTGCAAATTCATCGAAGCATGCACACACCCCTACCACAAATACGACCAAGACCTGAGTACCCCGCTCGTCGATCTCTCCGACGCGGTGCTCTCCCTCTGCCATGCAGCCTGCACGGCCTACGATCTCCTTGATGATGAGCTTGGTATCGCCGCTGGTAAAGGTACCACTACCGCTACTCCTACTTCAACAGGAAATGCAAACTCCCCGTTGACATGCACCAAATCCCCCATGGCGCTGGGCAAACTCACCCTCCAGGCTGAGGAGGAGACCCTCCTCGCGCGACAGGTTGTCTACGCCGTGCTTACGCGCCTGAGTACTCTCCTGCGCGGTGTGTATGCTCGTGGCAAGGACGCGGCGGGTGGTGGTCCGGCGAATGGTGCTACTGCTACTGTTACTGCTACTGTCGTGGTGGACTTTGACTTGGGCATGGCGTTGGGGACGAGGCAGGGCCTGTACGGTCGGGAGGGCGACGAACCTGTCAGTCAGTGCTTGTCTAGGGTGTTGGCGCTGTTGGGGAAATTGTTTTCCGAGTGACTACGCAGAAAATAATATAGACAGATGATTATTAACAAGTGGGTTATGGGATTGTACTTCAAGAAATCAGGAAAGTAGAGATGCTGTCTCAATGCAAGGTTGAGAAATGTAGAGGACTGAGGTGGAATATGTTGAATTGATTGAGGCCCAAGACCGATTGAGAAGAATGAAAGAAGTTCAAGAGATTTGTACTCGCTTCTTCTAACATCGGCGTATACCAGAACATAATGATCGTATCGCTGCATGGGTATCTCAAAGTCATTATCTCGTTACTGGGAAATGAAAACATTCACTCCCACAGTTGAACCTGGCCGCGAAGGTAATCCAATCGTTGCAGAGACTCTGCAAACACCAGTTCGGCAGCACGGTAGATGCAGTCCCCGGGGCGCGTGCTAGTGGTCCGTCGCACATCCTGTACTTTGGCAGCAAGCTTCTTCATCCGCATGAGGATAAGCTGCTTGAGGAAGTACTGCTTGGTATCCTCGTCGAGTTCAGTGTTCCCTACATGTAACGGAATGAGGCACACATACGGCCGGCCGTCGGTACGGTTCCCGGCGGGGGGTAGTTGTGAAGTCCGCGTCCAGGAACTGACTGTTCGCCGGCTGGAGCGCGCGCTTTCGGTGTCAAGTAGGGTCTTCTCCTCAATGATCCAGTCGAGCATCTGGATCACGCGCTCGGTAATCACCGACATGAGGAGAACAGACGAGCGGTTACTGAGACATGTGGCGCAGCTCAAGACTCGGTCGAGAAGACTACGCTCGTGGCTCTCCACCTGCAATATCACGTCGATTGAGGGACGAGTACTCTCGGGAAGCGACTGACGCAAGAACAAGAGTTGTTGAAGAAGCGCTGTGTAACATTTGGCTCTGCAATCCCCACTCTCACTGCTTGTGTTCGAGGCATCCACACTGAGAGGGGGCAGCTGGTCGATGCCGGCTACTACATGCTCCGGATGTGATAGACTAGAGATATTGTAATCGGGCAAGAAAAGGGATAAATCGCCCCACGCATCAGACGGAGAGGCGGTTAGATAGCCCGTATGACAGGAGTTTGAGTTGTTATCTCTGGTGGTCGGATCCTTGTTGAGTGGCGAGCCTGCTAACAACGCTTCGAACGATGGGTCAAAAACGCTGTCGATGGAATTGATGTTGTCCGCAGTAACGCCACCGGCCAGCAAGGGTGTATCATCACCGCGGACATCGGCCATGACGAGGTCCTGGCCGTTGACAGTTGAGCTAGTCGGCTCTGTGATTATTGTTCGATCTATATCGCTCCCTGAACTGACTGCGGAATATAAATTCCCATCGAGTGTCGGCCTCTTTCGCGGCCGTCCAGTGCGTCGCTGCGGGCTGTAGATGCATGGTTGGCGATGACGAAGGCAGCGATGGCACGAGGGCTTGTGTTGACTGCACTTGACCTTGGCTTCCTGGCAAGAATCACACGACTTGCGCAGGCGTTCCCAGCTTGCAGTAACCTCAGCTTGTGTACACAATGGAGATGAAGATGAATGAGTCGAAGGCATGATGAGCTTTGTTGATTGTGGTTGTTTACGATGTTATCGATGGTGCGATGATTGTCTGAGCGTGGAGAGAATTACTAAGCAAACCAATTACCAGTTGGCGGCGCTTCTGTTCATACGAAGACGGACGTTAACTGGCACTTGATGGTACCTCTGGATGATTTCTGTCTTCCGCGAGTCTTTATCAGAGATTGGGATCAGTGCGTAGTCTACAGGTACTTGACAGCAGGGTTCGACTCTATTAGCCCTTCGGCTCATCGACAAGGCCCTCTATAAGATCAACTGTAAACTGTCTGAACTCTGAAGGACAGTAACCATTTTCAATTCAGTAACTTTACATAAATCGCTACGGTAAACGATGTAAAAGTTCCATAACTATACACAACATAACGGTTGATGCTGGCGGTGTTGGATAAGATTCATGCCGCGCACACACCCGCAAACCCCCCAATGTCCGAGACATAGCCAACAGGCAAGGCGTAGATCAAAGTCATCCAGTACGCCGTCCAGACATACCCCAGGCCGCGAACAAAACCTTTGTGAGCCATTAGCAAACATGGCCGAGGTTACGAAAGAGAAAAGAAGACGAGAAGACAAGAACCTACCATTATCCCGGATCCCAGCTTTCTTGCCATAGTGTTTGATTAAATCCTCCGCCGTGATGACAGCAGCATATGCTGGCATCTGCCAGAACATTCCCCAGCCGTAGTGCAGAGACGGGATTAACAGCGGACACGCGTAGTGCTGGACTCCGGAGACCAAGAATCCCACATACAGCTTCGTATATCTGTACATCAGAGTCCCTTTCTCCGCACCCAGGGCTCTAGCCACCACCTCGCCAGACCTCGTGAACATGTGCCGGAAGATCTGATGCCAGACTCTCCCCCAGAAATTCCGAATAGTGTACAAGTCGGCCGGACTGCCGAAGAGGCCTGGCCAACGATCCGGCGTCGAAAGATACAGCCCCACGAAGAGCAGCGAAGCCTTGCGATATTCGCTGTCCAGCATAAGGCCATCTCGGATCAATTGAGCCGCGACCAGTAGATGTTGGTGCAGCATGGGCAATGAACGGAAATCAACACTGGCTGCGTTTGTTTGCTGAGCCGGCCAGAACGCGCAGAACGCATACTTGCGAACGATGTCGGAGATGTACCGGTTCAGAAGGATTCTAGCCGCGTTTGCAATCAGGAAATCCCTACCAAAGCTCTATCAGCAGCTGCACTGGAAACAGTCCGAGACCAGATATACCACCGAGATTGGGTCTGCTCCTCGCCTCGTTTGAGATGCTGGTCAGCAAAGTTCCAACCCTGCCCGCGCCAACACGACCACAACTCCACGCTCCATTTAACCTTGTTCGGGAACTTTGAGCATCGCAGAATCCCGCTGTCCCCGCTGACGCTGTCGAGCTTCGTCGCGGTTTTGCTGTTCTGGTAGTAGTCGATTTCGGGGGTTCCGGTTAGGAACATTAGCATCCAGCGTACCGTGATGGAGACCATAAAGATCGCATCCATAAAGAACGACGGACCTGCTACCCAGTGGGTGAGCACGTAGAGCCACAGACTTGTGAAGGTTGTCATCCCGACGATGACACGTGTGGGACCCGGGGGTGGAATGGTGGTGAAGATCGCGACGGCCATGAAAGTCGGCGTCAACAGCTTGGTGGCCCAGAAGGGCATCTCATCACGCGAGGAATATGCATTTTGCATGTTCTGGAGAGTGATCTCCAAGTTGCGAATCAAGTTATCCACCATGTCGCTGGTCAGTCAAAGTCCTCACGCACTACCTGCTCGCTGGTGGCCAAGAGAGTGGGAGCAGAATTTGGACAAGCTAAGGAATTCCTTGTCTATATTCATCCTAACAGACTTGTATCGATTGAATATATGGAAGTCGAGAGTAGCTTGGCTTCGTGGAGTGACATCGCCAGCAGATATTAGGGCAAGGAAACTGCCCGATCTCGGGGAGTTTTGAGTCAGCACGCATCGGGACCTTTTTGGTCTATGACTACTGAAAACAGTAGCAGGCAGCAAACAATCTTCTTAATAATCATCAAGTGGTAAATCCATAACCTGATGAAGGACTAAGCAATAGCGGATCCGTCTCATGGCTGCGGTGTTGTTCCTGCTGTGAAGTAAAACCACTCTTTTACCCGTTTCGGCAATTCCCCCAGCCCTAATCCCCCGTCAAGCACCCGAACATAGTCTTTAGAGTGAAACCAGTTGATTGTATCAAATGTCCCTCTTTTTTTGCCTGAATGTAATTTCTAATCTGAGTCCCATCATTCCATGGCATTTGTCAGCGTGGTTGATATATGAAGGCGTGAAGTGTCTCTTCCGGAGCTCAAATTAAGTAAGGATACTTCCTGCACGAGCTATTCCATTTAATCGATCGCCTTCGATACTAGGGCATTATCAGTACTCTCCAGATTGTACTTTCTCGATAATGACTGATCTTGCAAACACGGAGATGCGGCCGTCGGGCTCGGACATCCCAAAAGACCCAGAGAAACAAGAGAGTAGCTGTTCGGAAAGCGATCAGAGCAAGAATACTCCGAAAAGCCCACGCAATGTCCATGGCTTCCTATGGGTGACGGTGGTTCTAGCCATCTACAGCTCGACATTCCTCTTCGCCCTCGACAACACCATCGTCGCCAACATCCAGCCCGCCATCATCAAATCGCTGAATGGAGTCGACAAGCTGGCCTGGTCGGGCGTCGCATTCGTGATGGCCTCCAGCGCCACCGTCCTCACCTGGCTGCAGATCTTCAACCAGTTCAATATCAAGTGGATGTACATTTTCTCCATTGCCGTGTTCATGGTGGGCTCCGCCATCTGCGGCGCAGCGCAGTCAATGAACATGCTCATCGGGGGCCGTGTGGTCTGCGGCGTAGGCGGCGTGGGCCAGTACGTCGGCGTCATGAATTTCCTCCCTCGCTTGACATCAATGCAAGAACGTCCGATGTACGTCAGTGCGATGGGCCTAACCTGGGGCGCGGGCACCGTGCTGGGTCCCATCATCGGCGGCGCGTTTACCGATAGCTCAGCGGGCTGGAGGTGGTCATTCTACATCAACCTTTGTGTCGGCGGCCTGTTCACCCCGGTGTACATCTTCTTGCTTCCTTCGCTGCATCCGCAGCCCGTGGGAACGCCCGTTATCGAGCGGCTGAAGCGGATGGATCTACTGGGCTCGCTCACCCTCATGGGTGCCTTTGCGGCGGGAGTCATCGGCGTGAACTTCGCGGGCGCCATGTATCCATGGGACGCACCAGGCATTATCGTCGCACTTGTTCTAGGCGGCGTGCTGTTTATCGTCTTTGGGATCCAGCAAACCTTTTGCATCTTCACCACCGAAGACACTCGCCTCTTCCCCGTCGAACTGGTCTCGTGGCGCAAGCCGCTCCTCACCCTCCTCTTCATCTGCGGCTGCTGCACAGGAGTCTGCGTCACGGTCCCCACGTACATCATCCCCCTGTATTTTCAGTTCACCGCGTCGGACGAGTCCCTTCAGTCAGGTGTCCGGCTACTCCCCTTCGTCTGCCTCCTCGTCTTCAGTTGCGTGGGGGGCGGATTCCTCACCTCCCGTCTGGGATACTACATCCCCTGGTACATCATGGGAGGAGCGTTTTGTCTGGTCGGCTCCGCGCTGATGTACACAATCCATCCTCACAGCAGCGCAGGAGCCATCTACGGCTACAGTGCGCTGATCGGTCTAGGAGCCGGAATGTACCTCCAACTAGGCCACGCCGTGGCGCAAGCCAAAGTCAAGCCTGAAAAGGTCCCGGCCGCCGTTGCTTTTACCACCACCGCGCAGCTGAATGGTCTGACGTTTGCGTTGGTCATTTCACAGTGTGTCTTTGTCAATGAGGCTGCGAAGCGTAAGTCGCTTTCCCTTCGCGTTGTGAGCTGTGCGCTTATGGATTTGTTTCTAGGAATTGCATGGGTGCTCCCGCACGAGGCCCGGTCCACCATCATCGATGCCATTTCTGGGACTGGGTCGACGTTCGTGCAGGACTTGGACCCGGCTACCAAGAGCAGGGTTCTCGCTGCGATTGTGACGGCCATTGATCGGACTTATATTCTATGCATTGTTGCTGGTGCAGTCACCCTGCTTGCAACGTTTGGTATGAAATGGGAGCGGCTGTTCATCGCCGCTACGGCTGCTGCATGAGGGCTTCAAGATATGGTATATATGGTCTGAAGCCGTCAAGGTAATATAGTTAATGTAGTTGCTTCTCTTCCTTCCTTGAAATCCTAGAATCTCAAAGGACCGCATGTGGCACCCTACTTAGTAAGAATCCAACTGCCTCTAGAAACTATAGTGTTGCAATATCACCTTTTACCCTCCTTTGGATATATGTCGATCCGGCGGGACATAAGCCTTCTGGACCCATCCACTGAACTGACCATCGAGATATACTCAATAAACCCAGGGCAATATTCTCCACCTAACGATCCTCCTGTACTCCTTCCAGTCCTCACCATACTTCTTCGCGCACATGGCGTCGTTCTTCCCATCAGACTTTGAAAAGCCTCGGAGGAATCCACACCCTCAGAGTCTAACATCTTGCTGAGTGATTACGGAGAGGCATCCATGCCCTTAACAGAGCATAGGTGTAGCTCAGGCCTTCCCTTCCCAGCTGCCATCTGGAGTCCCGCATGCTCTATATGATAATACTTGGTCAGCGCCCCTTGTTGCGGACATACTTGCCACAACGGATGATTTCACCGCTGAGCAGGTTGATACTCTAGGAAACTTACCTCTACGGTGATGGAAGAAATGGGAGGCGAGACACGAATATTCCTGATGAAAGCAAAAACCCAACCCAAGATCGACAGGTGAGGTCTTGGGATGACCGCTTTGAAAAGCACATTCAACTCCTACGACAGAAGGCTGGAATTTTGGAGTTTCGGCTTTTGATGTAGCTGCTGTTATGTTATGAGTATGTTGCGGTCGATGCTGTCATTCGAGCCAGAGAAGCAGTTAACTGTGCAGGACATCCTGAAATGGGAGTGATTAGAGAAGCGGGCGCTGCTGGTGCTGCGAGAGATCTCGCTCTGGGGAGCACGGAGGTTGCGAATAGTTTTCATAATTCTCATTCATCGGAGATGTGCTGTATGTTGAGGACATGAAGCAACAGTGGTGACGACGATGTTGAAGCTGTCCAATTCTACCAAATTAGGAAGGTGGAAAGCCCTTTTCGCTGGTGGTGATTAGCGTGAGTGCATTTTATAGATGTGGTCCGCGGAGCTCACTTGAGGTGGGGCATGATCTACCAGGTATACTCCGTAGGCTACGTCAGGCATCCTGATTGGATACATGCCTGGATTGCTCGACCCTATCAGGCCTGGGCTGATCTTCGGCGCCAGAGCTATCTCACGTGTCTATAGCATAGCCTCGGAGACAGCAGATTCTCCTGGCGTTGATTTGTATGGAGAAGGCTCTCTGGAGAGAACTGTACACTGCTGCCCGATACCCTCGAAGTTGCCAATTGTCGTTGTTGTCGCTGTGACTCTTCCAGCCTCTGATGTCGTCCTTCCCAATTTAGGGACTGATACTGATCTTGACGGCCATTGAACGGACACTCGCCAAAGTCGATTTCCAACATATCCGAGCAACAAGATGTCGATGGGGCCATGTCGGACCCAGCGGACCATTATTCCGAGGGGAGTTCGGACGTTGCCAGGCTGCCAAACGTAGCCATTTTTATTGGATTGAGCCAGGACAGTATCTTATTGGCCAGTAATGAGGTGAGCTTTTCTTGCTCGCTGTTTTAATGCCAGGTATCACGTGAGCATTAAGTGTTCTGAAAACCAGGCTGATGATCGCTCGAAGCCGTTACAACGATTAGATATGAAAGTATCTTTCCTTTTCTTGCCCTGATGACAGCACAGGCGACATCACGTTCGATTTGACCCAGAGGGATGTTTCGGTGATCCTGCACAGAAATCCTCCGCGCAAAGCCAATCGGTGACGGCTTAAGCTGGATTCGCGATGCTTAGTCTCAGCATACTTCAAGTTACATTGTCTTTTTTGGTTAGCACGGTGAACCAACAATACACTGAATGCAAGTCCATGTTTAGCCTCACTAATGGCAAGCAACATTAAAGGATATAACCTTCAACTTTATTGCAGTGTTGCACCTCTTCTGCCTCCTGTACCTTTGTTTGCATCAGTAGGACCATCTTACATACAACCCCCTCCATCTCGGAGCTCCACACACTGGGCGATTCATACAATGTTCGGGCCAACACTTCATCGCCGACACTTCAGTTTGGGAGAGATACCGCGAGTTTATGTACTTGAACTGCAGAAGGTCACTATGGAATCTACACCTGCCAGGTCCTGTGCATGAATTAAAACTCTGCGCGGGTCAAACGACCAGCCTTTCCAACGCCATCGTTAAAGAAACCCTCCACTGGAACCCCACCTCATCTCATCCCGAAATGAGCTTCAATATCGCCCTCCCTGTGCAATAGTATCCACAAGTTACGCCGAGTCACTATCCCTTTGTTGATTATTTAAAATGTGGAGTGGAAACTCTGCTTTCTTCCTGAACAGGACGGAATGGGAGCAGAAGGTGGAACGAAAGGAGCGACAGGATAATGGTAGTGAAAGGATGATTCTGTAGGGTGTTGGAAAAGATCTCGCTTATACCGGCGCCGTCACTCAATTTCAAAACAATCATAATCTCTTTAAATCCCATGACATAGAAAACAAAGTCTCATGGTAACTACCATTCATTGCTGCATCCCCAAATGCTCACGACAGTCCCCTTTACATGTTGACCGGTGAGTAATGGGTGTTACCGGCCTAGGTCCAGTCCATGACGGATCATCATCCGCATAGCCCAGGTCGGCATTGTAAACTGGTATCTTGCCTGGTTGCACCTTTGGACAGATGTCTCTCATCGAACTTGATGAGCACAACTCTACCGTTAGCCACCAAAGCGTGTCAATCTCAACTCGCATAAACCCATAATAACCCTCAAACTTCCCTGGTATAAACATAGGATCAACCATGGTAATAAATCCCATCCTTGGCCCACCCCCGTGCATGCTCTCCGCTGGCTCCTCAAAAGCATTCATAATTGAATCTAAGCAATGCTGATCAATGACCAGACACACTGTGTACCGAGGCACGACCTCCCCTATCCTAGCACCCCGAGATGCAATAAGGTTCTTAAAATCCTCACGAATCTGCTCAATTGATGCACCATCCCAGCATTCCTTATCCTCAAGGATAACATTTTTGTACCCCTCATGGACAAGCCTCTCAGGAAAGCTATGATCCTCAGCCCCTGCATATCGGTCACCATCAACATGGTCAATTTCCCAGTGGATATAGCGGTCGATTTTCTCCAGACAGGCAGACCAGACCTGATCAGACTCAGGGGTGTAGACCGTGCGGTAGATGAAGAAGCCCCAGGGCCAGCCTTCATCATCAGCTAGACTAACTAGCTGCACAGCAGAGCGATCATCATCTTTATACCAGGGCTGCTGACTCCAGCGCTTGTAACGCTCTGTGTGGCTATCAGTGAATTCTGGGTGCGACCACCGTGCTGGCCAAGAGGAGTGATAAAAGAAATGGTTTTCAGAAGTATTTTCATCTCTGGAGTCTGTTGATTGTGCCATGCTGCGGCACTAGGCTTTGACTGTAAAAGTTCTCCGGCGCTCTGGAGATGAGATGATGGTATTGCCTCGGGTGAATATTAGCGCAGAGCTTGCTGGGTACCGGCTCGTCTTGGCTAATTTGGCCAAGTCTTGCCAAGGAATCGACAGAGTGACTGTTCTCATACATTCATACTTGTTTAGTACATATAAGCGCAGAGATTAGTGCAATGGAAGGTTACATCCAGATAGGGCACGCGTATGGGTCCATGGTCTTTTTGATATATTCACCCATAGTTCTAGACTCCGTACACCCGCCTAAAAATCAGTAACGGGTTAACTTCGTACAACTAGACTGAGTTGAGCCGGCCTACACGGTCAACTCCGGAACTACCATAACTACATGTCAAATGAGTTCGCTATTATATGGGTCGAAAGCGAGCACATTCGAACTAGCGTGCGCATGGTAGGGTTAGCCGATAACGATCTTTCGCCAGGAAGAAAAAGGGGACGAATTTCTCACGTTTAATGGCCCTTGAGCTGGAAAACTCCATGGGCTGTCTTCCTCTTCTCAATATCGGATTGCCGGTCTTGACCCAGATCAACCTTGAATCGGGCCCTGGGGACTTTGGTTATGATATTCAACGCCATCTATCGTCGTCAATCTCAGTGTTACAAAAGCTACCAATCACCCTCGACATCATGCATGATGAGATTTATTTTGATAGTTATTGGCCAAGCGAATTGGATAGCCGAGACCTAGAAACTCTCACCCAACTGATATCTCTGCCGAACGTAAGGCTCGGGGAAGATGGAAACATGATTCTGGACATGTAGAGGGTGGCAGGGAAGATCTGTGGTGTTTGCTATCGTACGTCGACAGCTGCGAAGAACACACAAAAGCCTAGCTATTCTCCAAGATTACAGCCACAACTGATAAGTATGCGCATCCACCAGCGAGTCTTATAGATGCACACCATACAAGAGCAGCCGTCCTTCTTCATGGAATCACGCATTCAAGGTACGCAATGTACCCGGTTGATAGCGTTAAAACCAAAGATTACGCGTACGGATGGGAAGGCTGCAAAGAGCTTGCCGAGGGTACTTTCAACCGAGGTTGTCAGCAATATGCTCTTCTCAAAGGGCCCCTCTGTGAAGATAAAAACAACCCTGGAGAGGATGGGGTGTGTGATGCTGACTTTTCGGCACAAAATGCAGATGCGTTCGCCGTCATTGCAGCTGGCATATTCTTCAGTCACGAGTTGGGGAGACAAATCCCACTCTACCCGCCCAATCATGTGTCTGCAAAAGCTGTTTCTGGGCTGTCCGCTAGAGCTGGGTGTGTACGGCATGATGATATCATGTTTGACTCAGGAAGCAGATTTGTGATCAACGGCTTGGTTTCGTTTGGTGATTCTTTCGCCGCGGGCCTGGGTACCGCCCAGACGACAACGGACGGATGTCGTGTTGGTGGAAACAATTATGGTGATCTGATTCATCAACACCTTGGAGACGATAGAATCTCCATTGAGAAGCAGATCTGCTCTGGTGACACGACAATTGGCCTCCAACGTCAGATCGGAGAATGGACGGGTGCATCTCCTGCAAACATGGCCGGGATGATCTTGGCTAGGGATCAGGGAGAAAGTGGCTTGCGCTACAAGCTCAAACCTCTCTACTAGAGTATTCTGGTCAAGGCAAAAGAATATGACTTTTTTCTGTTTGTCACTGGTTAGTCTGGTTTCTTCAATCATGACACCACTCATTGTGACAAGAGCAGCTTCTATTACTGGTTGGATGGTATTCAGCCTCCTGGTGATGGGTTGGTTAATAAGGTTGTTTATCTTACCACGTCTCTACGTACAGAGCTCAATCAGCTGGTGGGTCAGCTCAACAGCTTGATTGAAGCTGCCATTCAAGCTGCCAATTCCGAGCTAGTATCAACCAAGGTTCACTATGTTGGCGTCTAACCAAAGTTTGACAGGCACCGCTGGTGTGAGCAAGGGATTTATGAGCCCGACGCCGGCGCTCCAAACACCTACTTCTTTTTGAGCGGCTGGTCCGATCTTCCTCTAGACAACAACGCTGTCACATCATCTGATTCCAACGATATTGCCTCCCTTATGCAGACTGGGATCAACCTTCCAGAGGCGTCAACTTGCCAGCAAACGATAGGCTCGGATCCAGATCCATACGAAGAATTCCTGTGTCTGGCTTCCATTGCGATCAAGGAAGACCCGAATGGGCCAGTGGCCTGGTCATATGGGAATGCGACCCAGGCCATCAGAGATGGGGATGTGGACTCGCAGCATATCAACGACTGGTATGCTACTCGACAGATCAAAGCTTTCCACCCGCGGAGTCCTGGAATGGGACTTTACTGTGATGCTATTCTAGAAAAGATTGATGCTATAACGGACATTTGTGCAACTTTGCTCGTCAGCGGTCTTATCCAGACGCCTCCCTCTCTGCCTCTCCTTTTTCTTTTCCTACTTGTCTACTTGATTCATCTGCTTCCTTTACTCGGTAGCTATTCGACCCTTGGACTTCCTACTTTTCTTTTCTTCTCTCTCTGCCATGTTGTCAAATATTTAATCTTTCATATCTTCAGCCTGACCGAGTTCCTCTTGTCCAAATAGTTCGCTCCTCGTGTACTGGTACCCTCATGATAGGTGGAAGCATGCAAGCAGGTTTACCTTCTCTTCTGCGCCTCCGCCTCTACCTAGACTACAACTATTAGTTAACGTAATTAAGTAACCGATTGAGTCATATCAGAGACTTAGCGCGCTACTAGCTACAGGGAACCTATGAGAGAATGATTGACAGGTGACCATTCGGCATGTGACAGGAACTATCCTAGCGCACACCATGATTCATATAAATACCTGCTTAAAAGGCCCCAGTGGCCCAGTCCACCCAACAATCTCCCACACACACGCACACCACTTACTTCATTTGACTCCAGCACAAATGGGTCAGCTCTCGTCTTTCGTAAGATCCTCTGCTGTAGACACATCGTATGATGCTCCCTAATAATCTATACTCCGAGAGGCTAAGCCAGACAGATTTAGGACTCCACGTCTTACTCTTACTTTGGAAGGAAAATCATTTCTTGATCTCTATTTTGATACGTCATACCTCCTCATCATCAGAATCACGCGGGATGAAGATGATCCCCAGACGCAACCATGCATCATCCACTGGGACCCTATTCAGGATGCATTTGGCCAGCCGGGTATAATGCTAGTCCGTTCTAGTTGTGACTTCGCAGAGGGCCTGGGACCCGTTCAAGTCAACCCTAATCAGCTGCAGACAGAATCTCTCCGCCCAAGGAAGGTATCCCAGTCAGACCCGTGCTTTAAACAACTATACCCAGGCTCCAGCGTCTCTTGGGAGCTGGACTTGCCATCTGTCTACTTTGATTCCTTCCAACCAGAAGAACATTACAAAATCCGTTGGATAGGCGGACAAATCTCCCTGTGGGACTGGGGCACATTGGCGCAGCACGACGGCCGCATGCTCGGTCCCAAGTTCCCCGCAGTGGTTTTACCCGGCGGGCCAGAACAGCTACTGAGCATTAACCCTGCTGAAACCGATATAGAAGAAGAGGTACCCCCATTACCGCCTTCACCCGCCCCCATTTTGGCATCTTCCAGGATGAGTGGCGCCCCGGTCTTCAGCCTTACCATCGCAGGACCTGCTACGCTATCAATGAGAGATCGCAATTCACAGGGTCGACTGCGCTATCCGGTCACAATGACGCTCTCGTATGACGCAGCTCCGGATGGCTTAGACGGAAAGCCAGTCACATTTCATACGTTCATATTCAAAGATATTGATGATCGCGACGGGGGTTTCAGGCTCTACTTTAGAAGAAAAGGGGACGACGACTGGAGCTCACATGAACTTCCGGTCATCTTTACATACCACATGTACAGATTTTCCAAGTGCGACCCGGTAAATGTTGGTCGCAACGACCAGGACAAATTTGCGGCCTTGGCGCCTGGCGAGTCATGGTCATTCACGCGGGAGGTGACTGATTTCCCGAAGAATGCAGCGCCTGGTGATGAATTTCGGTACAGGTTTAAGGGTACGCAGCTTGACTGGTGGGACTGGGGACACTTTCGCGATCATGAAAATACTGTGGTGGGGATTGAATACATAGTCCGCGATCCGAAAGATAATGGGGGTCGGCCAGGGCTTCTGGTGCCGGCCAGTAACTGGGTTGAGTTTACAGTGGTTGAATGAGCTCCTTGCTTAAGGCATCGAATTTGAATGCTATAATGATATCTGGACATTCACATCTCTGCGGGATGTCCCAAAAGCGGCTCTGTCTCGGTCCCCCGTTGTATACTCGCTTTGCTCGAAGATGAGCGATGCAAGGCCAGTAACAGAAGCACTGCCTGTCCGAGGGCGAAGACAAAGCTGTCAAAGATGATGAAACCAACAGTCCCGTACCACACAGTAAAGGTATTCCAATTGTAATGACCCTCCAATTTCTCATACGGAAATGGAAGACTCGGTATCCATGTCACTGAGACGAGAGTGAAGATGAGAGCTTGCATAGCCAGACCCTGCACACTCAGCGCATTTGAAAATGGTGCAACCAAGATCTCACGAGCTTGGCAGAAGATCCCCAGAACACCTAGCGCCGTGAGAATTGGGTAAATATACATGGAGTGCACGCCATAAAAAATTGCCAACCAAAGTCTTTGGGGTCCATAGTCGGGGATGGAATTGATAATCACAACAGAAACGATTGAGATAGAGAGAAAGATGGTGTAAGTGGCAACCAAGAGTAACCTCCGGTTGCTATAGATGAGAATTTGTATGAATCTGTGGGGACAAATATGAGCATTTTTCCATATTGCTTCTGGACATTAGGAGGATCTCACAATGCCACAAAAAGGATTGTGACCACAGCACAGTGCCACAAACTAATCCTGTTCCCTGCGCTTGTGGGGAAATGTAAAAAGACAGGGTGGCCTTCTTGTTCATTCACAACAAATAGTAAGAATATATAGATCGAGAGATGCTCAGTGGCGATGATCAGGTTCGACAAGATGGTCATCGAAGAGACCCCATTAATGGTTTGTTTCCTCTGGATGAGCAATATCTGGGGAAGAAATGAACCGACGGCGAGAATCAGCAAGATACTAAAGGCGTTAGTAAAGAGAATTTGGACGACATTTTTCTGCAGTATGTGTACACACGCCACCATATAGGTGGCTCTGCAAGTGAGAGACGCCACCAATCGAACTCAGGTGGCTCTGCAGGTGACATCTTGTGTAGTGAGGGGGGTTGAGAACCTATATATAGAAAGTGGAGGCCAATGGCATCAACTGCCAGTCAGCTAATAGGACGTATAAGCTTAGTCAAAGTATTTATAGAGTGGTTGGCTTTAACTCAGGGTTGGCTGAGTATAGAAGGGAAAATAAAAACAGAACTCAAAACAAGAAAGCGCATAACCCTTATATAAAGCCCAAGGTGCAGCAATGCCAAGATCGGGTGGCCCTAGAATCTGACTTAAAAGAACACCTAGAGGGGTAATTGTCAATACAAACTAAATAAGCTAGCCATAGTACCTCTCTATACAACGACATCGTTAGCGCTGAAAAACTCCGCAGCCCTTGTTGAACCGCCTCTCTTCCTCCGACCACCGCCGAGGGCTATACTACTGCCCCCTGGCCCCTGCGGTCTCGACATATCCATGTCACCTATATAGGCCCGACTCCTCTCCTTCAAATGACCACGTACTGTTTCGCGCTGCTCAGAGACGCTGCGGGCTTACGAGACGTCCGAATCACCCCACAGATACCATTGGGATCATTCTTAATAGGGGACTAGGAGACGCACCGTTCATGTAGTTTGAGGGGTTGAGATAGCCGCAGTCATTATGGGGGTCATCTTGTATAAAAGCTAGCATTCTTGCTATGTACCATATCCGATGTGACACTCAGATAGAGCTCCCGGTGAAGTCCTGACGATCTCGCTTCGGTTCCATAGGCGATATTCTCACTTTATTAGGCATAGACGCCTGGACATCAAAAATAGTATCTGAATCCGTCAAATGCTCCCTCTATGTGATCGCAGCGAGTGAATGAAGCACGTCTGTGGCGATCTTCACGTCCCGTTTACAGTAAGTATACCAAACTCCTCAAGATACGTGAAATCCTCCCTAGTCCGTAGAGTCTGCGCATGAGATGTTTTAGTCTACGAAGCACTGGTCTATAGAGCCCAGAGTACATATAGAGCATAATGTTTGGATGTAACTAATGTAACACTCCTTATGGCTAATTGCTCTGTTTTAGCTAGCTTCCTGCATCATACATGGTGACAAACCCTGGCCGCTGTTCGTCTCACTCTTCTACCCAGCTATTTCTTACCATCGTCCATTTCGCAAAGACTTTGGAGCCCATTTGCTTCTCAATGGCCATGGACGATACTGCTATACTTCGAAATACTTACCTCCCTAGCCTGTGCCGACGCCGTGGATCGTAATCAAGAGCTGATGCAAATTTTTATGACGGCGCTCGAGAGAAATGCTGGGGCCGATTTGATGGCACTCATCCCTGGCTCCTATCTCCAGGAGCGTCGAAGATTACAATTCCAGCGTCTGAAAACAGATGCAGCAAAGCTCAACCGAAGGACCTCGAATCAGCTCTAGTTCTGGGTCAGCGACGATCCGGATATCGACTTAAGTGTCGGTATTCCCTCCGAAGGAAAAGAGTCGAGGACCACACAGACAGCTCAATACTCAGCGTACCTCCTGGGTCTGAACATTTCAGTCATATTACTCCCTATCATGGCAGTAAAACATGCGTCAAATTCTTCCATTCTTTCCTTACTAATCAGGACTCGATGTCTTTTCTCATGGCGATGTCAAGACTTATAATAATAAGGGAAACGGGACCAGAACAATACCGTGTCATGACTGGAATCATTTGACGGGAATATAGCGCGTTTAATCCAAAGTACTATGAATGTACTTCATGAACAAGGACATCGTGTCTGGCGGAGGAGAATGACTGGTATTCCTATTTGCCAAGGAGTATTTCTCCCTCGCAGTTCCCTATACATTGGCTTGTGCTTGTTCATCGGCTCTGGGGCATCCATGTCAAAACAAGCTAACATCATAGAATTTCTCTGCTGCCAAATGACTGTTATTTCCCTTTAGCTGCGGCACGCCACTCAACTAAGTCGCTTGAAAGTTCGATTTCAGATATAACGGTAACTCGCTGAGAACAATAGATTGGATAGGTATCATGCACTGAGTTACATGCCTAATATGAACAATCGGTTTCACGAAACAGGAAGAAATCAATCCAGCTTCTCCAACCGAAGGCAGGCGAAGAAGAGCGTTATGCCAGTCCTTCTTGCTTTCCCGCAATATAAGTCCTCTGCCTCCGATAGACTTCATCTTCACTGTCCATGACTTTCCTTTCTTCCAACTCGTCCAAGAGATCAAGCACATAGTCTTGGCAATTCCAACCGGAGATCTCATTATGAACGGGGATTGTCCTTGCAATATCCCTGATCGTGTTGGCTTTGGCGACATCCACGTCACAAAGGTAGACCAGCTCCACCAGACTTTCGTCATGACGAACATCTCTTCTCTCCGTTTCATAGCGAAAGCCGCCATCGGATCCCCTGGCATTGAGCAAGATTTCGTCCGCTTCGGGCTCGTCAATGAAAAGAGCCCAGTGCTTGTAAACACCGCCGTCGTCGGATATGGCTACATATACCTTGATCGTTGACATCTCGAAGCAAAAGAGGACGTCAGAAGGCTCTGTAGCGGTGTGGGGATATATAGGACGGGATAGAAGGATACTGCGCAAAGAGTATGAGTAAACGAGCAGAGAGGATTCATTCGGAACTTACTTACAGCTACTTGCGTGATTTTGGAGTACTTTGAAAGTCTCTAAAGAAATGGATATTGCTGTCTAACGCAGACCTATTCTTATAGGATAACTATTGGGCTATGTGTAAGCAGCGCCGACATTGCCGCTGATATCCCCAAGCGGCAGCTGCTGCTTGTGATCACTGACTCGGAGAGCCGGATATCGAATCGTTGCATAGCCTTGTGTAACGCATGTCGACACGTTGCGTCGAAACCAATCGATACTTGCTTGAGCGCTAACTCCCTTGCCTATACGCGCATGGTTACTGTGGCCGTGCAAAATGACCAATGATTCTGCTTGCTCCCATCTTTCAGAATTTTGTTAGGGTCTAACTGAAAGGAAAGGCGCTTAGACACTGGCAGCAAAGGAACAAATGAACGAGTGGAACATGGTTATCGAAACTCTCTGGGAAAGACGGAAACGGAAGTAATGTGTGTCCTCAAAGTCCAAATATTCCAGTCAAGATAGTGCTGACGCTTTTGGGCTCCAGAACAAATACACGATCTATTTCAGATCGAAAAAGTTACGGACGGAGTTGGATGAACATACAAAAGACTTCCTTAAACAGAAGTTAGGCCTAGAGGCGGTATGAATACTTTGCTTTCACCTCGGGGGGAATGTTTATTCATAGCAAGCTGCTAACTACAGACAGACCAACAAGCCGGAGCTTCCGAGCAGGAAGGCGAACTTGCCCACTAGCTCATATGCGCACAGTTCCTGGCAGGCCAGTGAAAGCTCTGACAAGGTTGTGTAAGTAGTCCCGAAACCATATCCTTGGAGATAGACCATTACTGAGAGAGGGCAGCCATTCTGCCGATACGACGGAAAAACAATGGGGGATTGTGATGACAAACACTGTGGTTCTTAATCGGCAACATGCAACTCTCGGCGATGGCCAGAACATAGAAAGTGCTCAGAGGCCATATTACACCGGTGTGTGAAGAAAGTAATCCAGTCGCCGTACTGTGGACTGACTCTTTCATTGCCTGTAGTCTTTGCTCTGAAACCGTGAAAGATTCCCTCATACGATATCACATTTGAACGGGAAACGAAAGAGGAAGAGGAAGAGCAACATGACAAGGGGTTTGCTAGACCCACGGTATCTAGGGTGGTTGGGACCCAATGGACAGGTTGTCAAGATCCAAAACGATGGGCCGCTCGGCATTTTCCAGCTCGAATACACTCCAGAAACCCCAGACGTAGCCAGCAGGAGAGCACCCGGAGGACATAAGCCGAATATACCACCCGCACGGAAAACTCTCACTCTAGAACAACAGTGGCCTCCGCCAAGACAAGAACTTCAACAGCCATATTATGGAGGCGCATGGCGGGATGCGCGGAGCAAAGACCGTGAGAAGCTTCAGAGGCTAAGGGAAGCCTTCGTCCCTGGCTCGAGTGGCTATTGAATCTATGTGACTTGCAATGATTCCCTGGATAAACCTGGAAACAAGCAGTCGGATCTACTAAAATCTGTTGCATTACCAGAGAATGTGAAGGGTCACTTGAAGCAATATATGGCCAAACTTACCTTTAACTCGGGGAGATGATCCCGGCAAGCGCAGGGTATCACGTCAACGTTCTGCAATTTGATATAGCCCTGTATGCCAACAGCGACGCAGTTTTTACAAAGTACATTCTGTGGAAATGAAACTGAATATTGCAGCCATTGATCTATTCATTCGTACAATGTGACATCTTTACCGTTTGGATTAGATACACAGCGTGAGGGCGAGCAAGCGTGTCTCCCCAATAGAATGGATAAGCGCTGGCCGCGGCTAATCTCAGACTCTGATAGCCTTCCAAAATGCTGGACTCTCATGACCTTGCACCACATTTGAGATCGGAATCAGATGGACAGCTGGGTTGGTCCGAGCCTCTTGAATCTGTCGGATATAGGATTGGGCAACGTTGAGCCACAGCGCCTTCTCCCGTTTACTCGCCTGCGAGCCCTGCCAGACCCATAGTCTGCTACCGGTGTCGCAAAGAAAAACATCGTTTCCATCCAAATCTGACGGGGAGATCTGCTGCCCGTCTTTGACGAGATCGAACGAAATCGCCCCTGTGGCGTCACTGAGTCGGAATAACTTGAGTGATTGAGACGCGTCACTATCCCGATCGCCTCCTGCAGGGAACGAGACAGGCCGCGGCGCCTGGAAAGACGACTGCTGGTATCCTTGCCGCCGAGGAGGTCCACGATGATTTTGGATCGCGACTCCAGCTGGGAAAGAACCTCGACGTCGAGATGTTTAGCAAGAGTCATATCGTTGACCACCTGAGCGGCTTTTGCCTTTTCCATCGGGCTGCAGTTCTTGCCCTGCCAGACCCAGATTTTCTGGCCCTGATCCAAGACAAAGACGTCATGGTCGTCGAGACTCTCCCAGGTCGGCTCGACCTCGTGCACGATGACTGAATCCGCTCGCGCAGCAGCAGGGTGCTTGAAGATCCGAAGCAGCGTGATGGCCTCCTTCGATGATTGTTCATTTGTCTCGACGTGGTTGAAGCCCGACCGCACGCCCCCAGACCGAACGCAGAGCCGGCGGAATAGCGCCATGAACTCCGGCGAGGGGTGCGCCTGCACCTCGCGATGCTGCGTCGCAGTCCCACGCAGGAACTCATCGAGCTCGACGGTCTTGTACGCGGCCGTGCCCGCCTCGTCCTGCGTGGTCTTGCTTCCCAGCCAGAAGAAGATATCGTGGCACAGCTTGTCCTCGACCTTGTAGGAGTGCAGGACGATATAGCTGTCGCCGTCGTAGAACTCGCCTGTTCGTTCCTTGGGCCAGGGGACGACCTCGAAGTTCTCAATGCGCCAGATGAAGAGGCCGCATTCTTGGCCTACCAGTCCGTTGTTCCAGGCTGGTTCGGATGCGGCTGAGTTGTATTTGACGCGGTGGTCGATGTCTGAACCGATCAGTTCCACATTGCTGTCTTTGATGTCGTACTCTTTGAGATGGACCAATCCTTCGTGCGGAGGCATTTTTGGCAATAGTTGATGAAGTTAGAAGTTGAGAAGAGGAAAGAAACAATGTGGACCGGTGGTGGGGTTAATGCCTAGGAGTGAGCTGAGAGGATCTACAGTGATAGTGGAGATCTCCTTTATAAATAGTATTGTGTTCCAACTTACTGTCCTTGGTCGGATCTCAGCTTACTTATAGGTAAAATCATATAAATACAAGTCAAAAAAGTATACTGGATATCCGAGAGCATTCCCAGAGACATGAACATAAGTGTCAAAATCAATAACGGTGCTAATAAGACTGTGCTGCACTGTACATATACCAGACAAGACATGAAAGATTGATGCTTGTTATATATATGTGACTATATCCATTAATCCTTGATAACCACCCTAAGGGCAGTCATGATGCAGTAAATTAAATGCTGATAGGCCTAAGAATTCCCGCTCTAGTACAGACATTATAACGGGCTTTCTAGGAAATGGTTTGCTAGGTAAGTATAGGTATATATGAAGTTGTAGATGGTCTGAAGATAATGCACCCCAATACAAACAAGATACTATCCAACAAGCTTTTCCGCACTATAAGCATGATAACAATGACAGCATGCAAAAACAATAACAAGGAAGAGAAGAGGAAGCTGTGAATAGAAGCAAAAATGGACCATGTGGGAATCGAACCCACGACCTCCCGCATGCGAAGCGGGCGCACTACCACTGTGCTAACAGCCCAGTGATGATATCGCCACCCAAATTTTGCCTCTATAAACAGAATCGAACCAACGCCGAAGAATTCCCGATCATGCTCCAGGCTTATTGCTGACATACACATGGAGACACAGCACAGATGTTGCTCTAAGTGCGGATAGATTGAATTCCATGACTATGGACCATGATTTTCCTCTAAATAAACTGCCCCAAAAGGAAACGATTTAAAGATGAATATCGCCACTATATTGCTTGAATCAAATACTCAATTTACACCTATGAAAACATCCGACATGAATAACCTCGAAATCGAGGGAAAAAGTAATGCAACAACATGACACAAAAGGTGAAAGGAAATATAGGCGCACAGGGAAATTGGACACGAGAGAAGCACATTTCTTTTATTGTGAATACATCACCTAATGAGCAGCGAGCATCTTCTTGATCTCAGCAATAGCCCGAGCGGGGTTCAGGCCCTTGGGGCAAGTCCGCGAGCAGTTGAGGATAGTGTGGCAACGGTAGACGCTCATGCTGTTGTCGAGAGCGTGCTTGCGCTCGGCGGTCTTCTCGTCACGAGAATCGGCCAGCCAACGGTAAGACTGAAGCAGGATGGCGGGACCCAGGTACTCCTCGCTGTTCCACCAGTACGAAGGGCAAGAGGTCGAGCAGCAGGCGCACAAGATGCATTCGTAAAGACCGTCGAGCTTCTTGCGGTCCTCGGGGCTTTGGCGGTGCTCGAGACCCTATTCTTGAATTAGCTGGGCTACATAATCACAGAATCTGAGAAGTACTCACATCCTCGGTCTTGGTGTCACGCTGCAGGTAAGGCTTGATGGACTTGTATTGCTTGTAGAAGTAGGTCAGATCGGGGACCAAGTCCTTGACGACGTAGGTGTGAGGCAACGGGTAGATACGCGACTCCTGCTTGGTGTCGGTGGGAATACGGCCTAACGGGATGTTAGCAACCACGCTCAATGTCCTGAATCCGTTCCAGATGGGGCCGAACATACACAAGCAAGCCAGAGTGTTGATTCCGTCAATGTTCATGGCGCAGCTACCGCAGATACCCTCTCTGCAACTTCTCCGGAAGGTCAAGGTGGGGTCGATCTCGTTCTTGATTCTGATGAGCGCATCCAGCATCATAGGACCGGTCTTGTTCAGATCCAGGCTGTAGGTCTGCATCTTGGGCTTCTCGGTAGGCTGGTCTGGGTTCCAGCGATAGACATGGAACTTCTTGATTCTCGGAGACTGGGACGGGTTGGGATCTTGAACATCGGAAGTCCTGGTCTCGGGGGTAACCTTGGCCTCCGCACTGCCAGTGCGACCGACACCAGTAGCGGGATCAACAGTGGCATACGAGCGAGCAAAGACGGCAGGACGGAACAGAGGCCTTGTGGATGCGACGAGGCGCGAGGTCGAACGAAGAGCAGCCATGGTGGGCGGACGAGAGGAAGGTCGTTTCAATCACGCGAGCGCTGAACAGAATGGTGGACGAGCCGAAAGCGGTCGATTAAATAGTGTAAAGTGGCAGTGAGGCAGAGAGGAGATGTAGAGGTAGTAGATATAGCACCAGCCTGCCAGCGGCGACGACGAGATGAGGTTCAAGGAGTCCGGAAGACGGTTCAGACGCCGCTGGAGATGTTTTGTCGCTTCTGGGAGCTAAGGTAACCTCGGGTCTGGCGGTCGGCAATTTGCTGACTCAGCCCGTCCCCGCCAATCACACATTCGCTAATTGCAAGCGTCGGGGACACACGGCGAAAGCTCGCTGCCATGCAGGAAATATAATTCCCTGCAGCCACTCCGTCGTTCTGGGTAGAGGCTTCTGTTTTAATCGAGAGGCGAATCTTCTATCAGTGTCTATGATATACAGCCACCTGGTTCATGAAGTCGATAGGCATGATGGAGTGCTAAGGGTGGCCATGCTGAAGGGGGAACGGAACTGCCGTCCCGACGACCGAACGTCATGTGAAATAAGCCTGAGGCAGCAAGGCATGAATACTATCCCTTCTTAGGTACGGAGTAGTGGCAATCCATTATCCCAAAGATCAACAAGCTTTGCCAATCACATCCGCCTCAGTCTGCTCTCGAACCACCGATCTGATAGACCGAATCTGGAGATCTGTTTGAGTAATCAGACTGCTATGACACCCACCGACCGGACCGATTGCCGATCGTTTCTATTCAGGCATCCTGGTTTAAGTGAAGAAGATCGAGACGATCGTGACCATAACTGATGTGCAAACAAATATACAGCTCTAATTGAAACCAGAGCAAATATGTTGGATGCCAAGGTCATGCTCATCTGCTCTTCTTTACGATCGTGCCTGACTGTCCAACTGCCGTTTATCTGCATTGTCATCGGGCTCTCAGTCATTTCAATGGTCAATTGTCCAGTATTCTCTTATTTCTTCCATGAAATGAGATGTTAGGACAATTGGGTATAAGTTACCACTGACATCTGGTTTGACTCAGTCTTTGACAGAACCGCCTTCCGCATGTGCGCTCGACTTCCAATGAGCAAGCTTCACGGAGAAGACTCGGGCGTGCTCCGGACCTCCCGCAGAATCACTATGGGCAGGAAAATCCATATTCTGCCGACAAGAGCTTTATGACCTTATACTGACGCTTACCTTTGTTGAAGCTGACCTCGAGGTCTTTCCCGTATAACCGTGGCCACTGGGCTTTCGAGGTCGCGGCAATACTGCATTTTTCAGTAAGGCAACACCATCAGGGGCTTTCCGGACTCTGGATGTTATGACCAGATGGGCCAGACAGACCTCTCCATCGCTTTGCAACGAGGTTGCTGCGGCGAAGGATTCGACTATTGGGATACGGAAATTGCCCTTCTATACTAGTCTTGAAGTAGAGTACTAACGCCTTACGTCGTACGATATATTTCTTGATCTTCCAAGCATTGGTCGACTAAAGTAGCAATATAAGACAGGAGCTGGCGTATGGCCCAGATAACAGCTATTCTACAAGCATATCCAACCTGTTGATGAGCATTGCTCTGAGGAACTAAAGAAAAGGACTTGGCGGTAATTCCGACCTCCTTGGTATGGCAGCTTAATATGCTTGCAATTTGACAATATGCTAAGCAGGCGCTAGAGCCTGATGGCCTTCGGGCAATTTCCTACAGTTAAGACAACTGCTCCGTACGGCTTATTTGCGCAGTTCAGACCACGTTGAAGGCAAGGCTATGCTCGGCATTTCGGATGTTGCCCTATGTGGATCTGCAGAGTATGGGGAATGGAGTCAGTTTGTATATGCAGGGGTGATCATTTTATTCCCTAAGAGGGTATCTCAACACATGGTTTATGAACTTATGACGTCCAGGAGTATCCCCTGAGGTCCCTGACAAAGACACTAGTCATGATAATGGAGACTGACCATGTGGTCGAAGAATCAGTCGCGGTGATCCACTGTGGATCGTGTCTCTCAGTTTGATTTCTACCACAACCACATGGTGCACACTACAATGAAACTTGAATCTTGAGAACCATGGTCGATGTCAATCCAAAGATCCAAAAAGAAGCCACATTGTTATAGTTTCGTATTCGCATAGATGCAGCGTCGTAAGTCTCAAGTTTGAATCTCTGGATACATCAACTCACACCCGCCAAGACGGAGAATTTCTCAAGAAGCGCAACAACATCCGGCAGCTAAGATGTTAGCCGGTTTCCCTGACTCAGTGCAGAGAGGCTAAGATATTACATATTTCCTAAGTAGGACTATGAAACACTTTAAACTAGACTCGACAGCCCTTGCCCCTCTTTGATGAACTATCCACTATCCACTATGTATCAGTTAACGGCTGACAAGCAGTTACTCCGTACTACCGATGCTTGAGAAGAAAATTCGGCCGACATTTGAACCCTCATACACTGACCTCCGTACTCAAGACATTATTATTGTGGTGGACTATGCAACAGACGTTCTTAGCGCTAGTGGGCTGGGAACTGGTGTTTTACTGGTGCTTTTAGGGCTGGCTTAGTCTGGTACGTTTCATGTAATAGGTCTCTATTTAGCCTGGCCCTGCATTATTGATTCGGATAGATGAACCGAATCTGATAATAGGGGTTTGCATATCTTGAAGTCTCCATTTGGTCCATGTCCGGATCCCGGGATGAAGTGTTTATAAGAAGGCTTCCCCCGTGAGGAATGCTTGTTTGAGACAACCCATTCTTTCCTTTGCTCTTCACTTTAGTCCTTACTTCAATACTTCATTCATTCATTCATTCATTCATTCTTTCTCTTGTCATTTCTCTCACTATGAGATATACCTCTCTCTTCACCGCCGTCACGGCTGCCCTGGCCAGCACTGCCGCGGCCATTGGCGTCTCTGGAGCCGCCGAGGGCTTCGCAAAGGGCGTAACAGGAGGTGGAAATGCCTCCCCCGTCTATCCCAAAACAACCGATGAGCTGGTCTCATACCTCGGTGACAGCCAGCCCCGCGTCATCGTCCTCACCAAGACGTACTCAACCCAATGCCCCGACAGATGAAGATGAACGGGAACGCTAACATGTGGCCACAGATTCGACTTCCGCGGCACTGAAGGAACCACGAGCGGAACGGGCTGCGCCCCCTGGGGCACCAATGCCAAGTGCCAGGTGGCCATCAACCAGAACTCGTGGTGCGACAACTACCAGCCCAACGCCCCCAAGGTCGGCGTCAGCTACGACAACGCCGGCGTGCTCGGCATCACTGTCAATTCGAACAAATCTTTGATCGGCCAGGGCAGCGCCGGCGTCATCAAGGGCAAGGGTCTGCGCATCGTCAGCGGCGCAAAGAACATCATCATCCAGAACATCGCTATCACGGACATCAACCCCAAGTACGTCTGGGGTGGAGACGCCATCACTATCAACAACTCTGACCTCGTCTGGATCGACCACGTCACTGTAAGTCTCTCAAACGTGCTCAGCGAGACAATGCTGATATTGACGGGATAGACCGCCCGGATTGGTCGCCAGCACATCGTCCTCGGCACCCAGGCCGACAACCGCATCACCATCTCCAACTGCTACATCGACGGTGTCACCGACTACTCGGCCACCTGCAACGGCTACCACTACTGGGGCATCTACCTCGACGGCTCCAACGACATGGTCACCATGAAGGGCAACTACATCTACCACACCAGCGGCCGCTCCCCCAAGGTCCAGGGCAACACCCTGCTGCACGCTGTACGTTCCTTCCCTCATCCCTAATCACCCCAACTAATAGATGAATCAGGTCAACAACTACTGGTACGACAACGCCGGCCACGCCTTCGAGATCGGCTCCGGCGCCTACGTCGTCGCCGAAGGAAACGTCTTCCAGAACGTCAAGGCCGTCGCCGAGTCCCCCATCTCCGGCAAGGTCTTCACCTCCCCCGACGCCTCCACCAACAAGGCCTGCTCCTCTTACCTGGGCCACACCTGCCAGATCAACGGCTTTGGAAGCTCCGGCGCCTTCAGCCAGGCTGATACGGACATCCTCTCGAAGTTCAAGGGCAAGAATATTGCTTCCGCTGCTGCCTACAACACCGTTGTTTCCAGCGTTACTGCTAATGCTGGCAACGGTAAGCTGTAAGCGGCTTGCACATTTCGTTGAATCATAACACAAGGTGAGCGGGACAGCAGAGGAGAGAGGAGATAGAAGGGAGAGCTATCTGGTAACACCGTTTAATTTTTCTCGTACTTAAGTACCATAACCATATCAGGCAATCACTGGTGATTCGCCACAGACCTACAGCTAATTCAGGTTCTGAAGTCCACCAAACAAGCATGGCCAGCATAGGAAGAGTAGTATCTTTGACCTTAATTAACAACAATCAAACCAGGTTTAGCACTGTAGCCCAAGCCACTGCATCCATCCAAGAAGCGGGCAGGTAGATACACAAGCTTCACGATACGTATTCTGCACTCTGCCCCTCCTCAGAACTCTCATAGCTCCAAACGGTTGCGGATTAGGAAACCAGTGCCTGGGTACTGACGAGCCCCTTGCCTCATATTAACCTGTATGAGACACCGGCTGATATAGTCCGGGTCTTTCACATAGTGGCGAAGTTTTCGCACGTAACATGACAGTCGTAGTCGACAGGGGCAGCAACGATAAAGAGAGCTACGTATGCGCTATCCTCTGATTGATTCAGAATGCCATCTCTCATGGTTTCAATGATGACTTTGTCTGGGGAACCTTGGACTTTGCGGATGCTCAATTTGTGGTATCTTCGACTCATGCGCAGGATGATGCATTGATGAGGCAGGAAAATATGACATCGCCTCTTATCATAGGACACTCACACACAACACTACGGAGTAACTCGGGTTGACTGTGGAAAGACCATGGTTCCGCGTGGTCTTTGGTTTTCAAAGCATGTCCTTTCCACGCGGCACATCGCTGCCTCACGGAGTAAGTCGAATTTGAAACCAGTAGAGGCTGTGCCGTAGAATCTTCTTTCTCTGCACAACAAGAGTCGTGCCTGGGGTGTGCGTCTGCCTACCACAGTAGTGGTAACTAAGTTGGAAAGCTACAGGTCGACAAAAGACTTATCTTATAACTTGCTCAATACCATGCATCTGAGTTCAAAACGATGTTGAAAACCGGCATTGAATATCACACATGAAATATCAAAAGATTTCACAAGCAGCGCACTATCGTAATGACTATAATAATTGAGAAAGCAGAGGTTCGTGGTGATCTACTGTGGCGGCGTCTCTCCGGACCACCAACCTTTCAATCTTTCCCACACATCCGTAGCCACCGACTCCATATATTCAGTATACTTGGTGTGTCCAGTTCTCTGAAAGCCCCAGAAAGTCCACGCCACCTGTTTTGCAATTTCCCACCATTTCCATGTCGAACTCTCAGCTGCTTGCTGCTCCGGCGAAGTGTCTGCAGCAGCAGCCTCTTCCTCTTTCACTTTTGGCGAGATTTTTTCGTCGAGGTCCAAATATGTAGTTTTGTATCGTAAATTGCATATCAATGGATGTTCGACCGAATCAAAGAGAGATTTTGCCGCCTCAGTTTCATAGAGTCCCCAGCCTTGAGCCAGCTCTTCAAGAACCTGGAGTCTCGCAACCTTACCGCAGCGGCCATACTGGTTAAGTATAAAATCTGCGGCCATTCGGGATCGCTCTTGCCTTTTTTTCTTTCTTGATAAAGTAACCCATTCGCTTTTGTTTTCCAGGCGCACTCCGTGGTTGTAGACACAGCCACCTTTGACGTGTTTCGGGAAGAGAACGTCGTCAAACGCCGAGAATTCCAGCTCATTAGCAATATCGCGAACTTGATCCATGTCATCTTCAGTAATCCTGTCCCACTGGGTTTGAACAATAGTGACATTTCGGAAAAACTGAGGACCGCAAAAGCATTGCAGCCAGCGAATCGTTCTCATTTCACTGAAGGTCAGTCTTTGCGATCTGACGTCGTGAACGAACATGATTCCGGCAATAGTCACCCACTGTCCCAGAGTACACACACAGCTCATTATATCCTCATAAACGTCCTTGTCCTTCAAGTCCTCTGCCCCAAACCCTGGTGTATCGACAAAGAGATACTGCTTGCCGTGGACAATTGCTGGGAGTACCTGGTAACCAAGAGTCCCTGTGTCAAAAATATTTAGCTAAGTGGCCTCCGAGTTCGAGTTGAAAGGTAAAAGGCCCATACCAGATTTGGCTGAATGCCCAACCTTCAGGTCTTGACTGGTTATCTCTTCTAGCAGGCTCGTCTTACCAGACCCGGTCTGGCCCACCACGAATATGAGCCTTGTGCCTTGGAGACTAGAGAGAAGTTCGCATCAAAACGATGTCGACGAACATATCACGTAATGGGTAATCCTAAAATCACGACGACTTACTGTGTCTTTATGAAGTTGATCATGCTCCTGTTCACTCTCCCCTTGGCCATCTTTGCAATATTCAAGAGTGTTTTGAAGGGCCAAGTGGAGGTATCATTGCTTGAAACGATTGCACCATTCTCTGGTGGAATGTTGTCGCGTTGTCCAAGATCTGGAAAGAGGGTTTCGTCGGACGAATACTCTCCAACTGGTGCAGTGGGAGAGCTGTCATTCTGGGGAGAGGATCTCATTTCGATCTGCGCTCAGCGCTGAATCGTAAAGTCAACAGCCGTTCGAGAAGAAGGGAGTTGCGAACTCCGAACAAGATATGTACGTATACAACTAATGCTCGCGAGTGAACGAAGTCAATGACCTCCGGTGCAGCATTGAATAGTAGTCATAGCAACCTTTTAAAGTTGAAGAAGATGAGTATCAAGTTTCAACTACGCGCTGAACAGCAGCCTTGAAACGCCAGGCCATGGCGAGGGCGTGCCCTAGACTGCTGGCCACGTCATAAAAGCGCGTATGCAGCAATTGAAGTCAGCGGTTATAGACGAGTGTTGCGACCAAGTCAAGCTTGAACAAGGCAATATACTAATTAAACTGTGCCTGGTTCACGCAAGGCTGCATTTTCCATCATGTTAAGGTAACGAACGTACATCGTCAGATGAACCTCTCTTTGGGAATCCACCGTTGTGACTTTGCCCCTCGAGACTCCAGTTTCAGTAAAGGATCCCACCAATATAGACTTGTATCCGAACGCGTTACTATTACCGCATATATTTTGGCTTTCTAAAATTATCCAGTCAAAGCCAAATTCGTCAACATGTACCTTCGAAAACAAAGGGAATGGAGACGGCGGCTGGATAAAATATGCTGTCGGCCTCGTGTGAAATGGCAACTCTCTGACAGGCCGTTAGCCTGCAAGTTCAGCCTTTCGCAACTCTCAGCCTCGGCCTATTTCAAGCGGATTATTGGATATTAGGTGACCGGCTGCAACCCTGGTCAGCAAACGGCGAAATATTGATTCCTCAAGGCAAAATCCACACAGAGTATTCAACTACATTGTGCACCTGTGAGCTCTAAATCCGTTTGTGCGCAGATGCCAACCTGCTGCGGAGCTTTGAAAGGCATAAGATTAGTAGTTAACTAGTTAGTTACGAAGGAGACTGCTGAAGAGTTAATCTGATAATGTTGAAATAATCAGTCCCGTTTAGCGAAATGCCCTTGTTGGCCTCTCCTTATGTTCTAACCTACGCCAAGATTAGCAGAAGCGAGATGCCATCCCGTGGCGTACAGTTGGAATCGCCGAAAAAGAGTACCGAACAGCCCCGGGTCCACGAAGAACTTCGTGGAGGTGGCCGCGCCGCCGCTACAGTTGGTCTAGCACTCAAATAGTCTACAGATTACTCGGCCTGTGTACAACATGCAGTCTGGAGAGATTGTACTGCCGGTCGACATTGACAGCCGTTCGGTTTCGATGGAGGTAATGTTCGTTGGATCGTACAACACAACATGAGAGGGAAGCTGAAGAGACAGAAGAGAGAGCTATCTGGTAATCCAACTTAATTTTTTTGTACCTAACTACCTATCAGGCAATCACTGGTGATTTGCCATAGAGCTAAAGCTAATCCGGTTTTCCAAAGTCCCAAACAACCAAGCGTGATGGCAGCATAGGAGGATGAGAAGACAGGAGCCTTAAACAATAATAATGGAAGAATGAAAAGCACGATCTATAACAAGACCTCAATTGACAATGATCAAACCCGGTCCGGCCACTGTCGCCCGCGCCACGTCATTCGCATTGCGGAACGGACCACTGCTGTTGGTCACAGCAGCAATGGTCAGTCCGTTCATCAGGAACTGGTCGTACGGGAAAAGGACCTCTGCGACCACCGTCCGGTTTTCGGTGGAGATGATGTTCATTGATTCCACTATTGGTAGATTCTGTTGGTTGATATAGGTCATCCACAAGCGCTGCTCCATGTGTCTTCCGGGCCTGAAGGCCACTTGGATGATCTGTGTCCGGTTTTCGGGTGGTGTCAGGATCGCCAAGGGGTGAAACCTTTGCAGTGGAATCTCATGGATATTCGGGCAGCTGCCGGGGACGACAAAGGCATTGAGTATGGCGGAGAAAGCAAAGTTGAGATCGCTGGTGGTGAGGAAGGGAAGCTCGCTGGGAATCTTGTCCTGCAGCACGCGGAACCAGCCCTCTTGTTCGCCTTCGTTTCCAATCACCGACGAGATGATTCGAGTGAAGTTGAAGTCACCCCCGACGGCAAAGCGCTCCACCACGTCTTGCAGGGTTCCAAGGACAAGATCGGTGAAATTGGCGGCGAGGACGATCGCGGAATTAAAGTCGGAGACAGGGAAGTGATACCTGCAAGGAAGGATGGGCGAAACGTTGAAGTGTTGAAGGGCCATATTGGCGCTCAATTCATGCAACTCTTCTTGCTAAAGTCAAATGTTAGTCAAGCTCGTTGATTGGTGTGTCTACCGAGGAGGCTTACCGCGAGAATTGCAGTTAGACTTCGGATGACCATATCCCGGTCTTCTTCATCTTCTTTGCCTTCGTCATCGTCACTGGGTATCTCGTAGCCCGTCACATTGTTGGTGACATTGTGAAGAAGGCTGTTGAAGAAAGCCACCTCGAAGTTCTCGTTGAAAGCGATCCATTGTAGGTTGACAATACCCTGTCGGCTGATGTTGTTTGGAGGAGGTGTGTTTGGCAGCGTTCCGTGTGCTCTCAGCTCTATTTCCCGTACCTGGCCAGGAGAAGGAAAGGGCAGGTTATCTGGCAGCGAAGATTCATTGTGCGCTGCCCGGTGTGGAGCAGCGAGACTGGGATTCGCTATGAAGAGGAGAAAAACAATAAGAAGGAACTGCATGATGACAGTGGTGATGCAACTCGGAAGGTTGAGCGGTAAGAGAAATGGTGGACAGTAAGAGAATATGAGACTGAAAGGCGTAATGAGTGGAATGTATATAAGAGATGGAGTGTAAGCTGGCAGAGGATGCAGAAAGAGAGAGAATTTCGAAGGTGCCAGAGGGGAATTGCCTCCATATAGACAAACAGTGGCTAGCTGTATCGAGCGTAGATGCTCCTTCCATTGCCTTTTGCAGGAAGGCGCAGAGCAGCATCAACAGTGTCCCCGTCGCCAATACCCTCGGAGGCCCTCAGGCAGGAGGTGACCGACTAACTCCAGTCCCTCAAGCCCAAGGACTTTGCAGAGCTCCTGCGAACGACGGGCTCTACTCTAAAATCCGCGTCCATAAGGCGATGCCCGTCTCTTTCCTTAGTTCACACAGTCTGAAGTACATAATTTTGGCTCTTACAAGGCGTTCGGTGTATCTAGGGCTAGAAAGTAGGACGTTAGCTCACGGAGACGACTACGGCGGCTAATACTAAGGTACTACTACTGCTGCTGCCATTGCACTTTCCTGAAAAATCTATGATGAGAATGTCAATTACAGTGAGCCTTAAGTGTAAACTACGAATCTGAAAGTGCCAGTTCTTCTTCAGCCCATTTCAAAAAGATCGATTGCCAGTATCCGGATGCCTCATGCGATATAGCTCAGCATCATTCTGACGACCAACACTGCCGTCTGACTTCTTCGAATCGTAATATATGTCCAGCCCCAAGCCAAAGCGCACTATTCTTGAGTCATCTGAGTCAACTTCCACAGCTCATGGCATCACTCTGTTGTCATTTTCCTTCAGTTTTCTCTGGAACGGTATCTATTCTTAGACAGCCGAAGGAGTATAACCTTCCCTCCTGCTTTCTTCTTCCTTTCTCTTTCTTCTATCCCTCGTCCTTCCTCCAAGAACACTCTGCCAGACAGCAAAATTTTTTATTTCGACTCCTAAAACTTCTTTACCTTTACTCGATCATGGCCAAGGGAAGCTCCAACCTCCTCAAGCACTACCTCAAGCTCGTCAACGAGCTCCGCGAACCCAAGCCAGCAAACGACTCCAAAGAGTCCTCGCTCAAGGAGCGAGTCAGTTCATTCAAACTGAAAATAACGCCCTCAAAGGCGGACGAGCACTCTGGCTATGGCCTGAAGCGAGTGCCAACTCCTTATCCGCTCATGACCAGGAATTGAGAAGATGTCTTCTCACTTCTGTCTCTTCTCTCGCCTTGCTCTCATTCCGTCCTGTTTATTTCACTTGCCCGATACCAGCAGCTCTGAGCTGCCTTGCTATTGCCTTTACGCAATGTTTGTGTCATTGTGAATGAATACAATGGATGATGCTTGTGTTTATTGTCATGTGCTTCGACCGTCTGTATACTACGCTGGGTCAGTCAAACAACCAGTCAATCAATCGATCAATCAATCAATCAACCCGTTGATACAGCCTTTATAATTCTGTACCGCATTGTAAGACAAGAAAAATAGACTGAACATATGACTGTATTGTGTTACGTACTTTCTATCTTGCATGATGACAGGCAACCCCGCGGACCACTTAGAACTAGGCGAGGTCATGATGGAATCTAGTGCAGACTGCCTTTATTTACACCTTAGTTGTGCTTGATTCTTCCAGATCTATGTCTACTTGACATTCAACTCTTTCTGATATCCAAGAATTATGCGAACAAACTTGCTCCGAGTCTTTGTTGCTTCAAGCATCCAAACAGCAAAGTGCTAAGTAACTGCCCAAGTTCAACCCAAAATCCTCCCACGGGGAAGTAGGAAAGTGCGAATCCAAAAAGGCAATACTAAAAACCAAACAGATTCTTGTCCTCGTCATATCCCCACTTCTTCAATACCGGCAAGACCGCTTTCTGAATCATAGCCGGCGGACCGCACAGAAGCGCAACACTCTTCTCTCCCGGCTCAAAAGCATGCTTGTGGAGGATTTCCTCGTTCACATGCCCCTTTTCCCCCTTCCAGTCGTCCGCCGGATGAGAAAGCACGTACGTAATTTGAAACTGGTCCGGATGTTCTTTCGCGTACTTGTCGAGTTCCCCGCGCATCAAAATATCTTCCTCGGACTTGTTGGCATCGATGGCCCTGATCTTGGGTCCTTTCCCCTGCTCTGTCCTCAGAATTCGTGCAATGAGCTGATACCCCGGTGTGATGCCCGATCCTCCCAGAATCAAAGTGATGTGATCGAAATGATATGTCTTGTCGTCGACGCGGAATTCGCCGTTCCCGCGGTATCGGATCTCGCCTGCGGGACCTTTTACTTCGACCTCCTCGCCTTCCTGAAGACAGTCAAGGATATTACTCATTGTGCCGCCTGGTTGTGCCGAATTGGGGAAGTACGTTTTGACGACAAGGTCGAATGTGCCGTCTTCTTCGGACTCCAGGATGGGCCGGGTAGGGGTGTATGGACGAACGACGAGCCGGTCCTTGAAGTGGAAGCCGATCTGGAGATGCTGCCCTGTTTCCAAACCGAGCTTCTTGTCTTTGGAAGGGAGCTCAAAGGTGTAGCACTTCGTGTCTTCCGATAATGGTCGTTTGCCGAGAAATTTGACCGCGGTCCATCTGCGATCGAGGTGAGCTTTTGATAGTCATGGCTTGAAGGATAGAGAACGTACTTGTGACGCTTGAGAGCGACCTCGTTTTCCTCCTTTGCTGATTTCGCTTTTTCCTTAGCTTTTTCTTCGGCGTCATGCTTGATGAACTCTTGCGTCTTCTGGGTGACGGATCCCAGGAGGCACTCTATTCACTACGTTAGCACGTTAAGATGGGCGCGGAGAGGGATGGTATACCCTCTAATTTCTGAACAGCATAATCGTCGTGAATACTTTCGAATTCCTCCGACGTGTCTTGATGAACTCGACCGGCGTGGGCCATAATGGGCGCTTTTCCTCCTGGATGCCAGCTCAGGACGCTGGTGGCATCGTATACTTTACCGTTGATAATGATCCAGCAGTCATCATCCGTGGTGTGCTTTTCGATCTCCTCACGGGTGAACTGCTTCTCGGGAACGGCTGCTGATCGTCGGATATCTTCCTTCTGGATATCGATCGAGGGTTTCATCCACCCGTTCTCGCCTGTGCCAGCTTCAGCGGGGTGACGGAACAGCAGGTACGGCTTATTGTTCGTCGGCTCCACGGAAGTTTCCGACTTGACGACATAGTGGCAGTTGTTCATCATGCTGCTTGTATTCAGCAAGCTATACCTCCGATTTACTTTCATGGCTCGACACTCACCCTTCGAGATTCCACGTCGGATTTTCCGGCTGGGTGTTCTTGTTCACATCCCAGCAACGGACAGTGATCTGCTCAGCGCGAAGGAGCTGCGTGATGTCGATGTCCACATGCCAGTGCAACCAAGTCCAGAATTTCCTGCCATGTCGCAGCGGTGCCTCGGGAAACTGTTCCATATCAAGAGGCGTCAGAAAGCATCACTACCCATCGCAAACATGGCTATCGACATACCTTGCGAACGCAATACAGCCAGTTGACACCGCCATCGAGACTAACTTCAACCCTCTGTACCTCGTTGCCCCCTCCATTATACGCATAGCCCATGATTCGATATTTCCTGCCCTTTCTTATTTCCGTGAGATCTATCCTCTCTCCCTGCGCCGGCCTCGCGATGACCGAGTTCAGCATCTGTTCGTTGCATGCCGTGCTCGGGAGACGATACATGGTCTGACCTATTTCGTCAAACCGGTCGGTCACAAAGGGCGGGACGACCCGGTTATCGAAGATATGGTAATAGGTGTCATTCTCACGGTCCGTCACCCAGATCTTCTCCAGCCACTTCACGCACCGTCCCCCCACGTACCCGGGAATCACCAAGCGCAGTGGGTAGCCATGGTCTGGAGGTATGGGCGAGTCATTCATCTCATAGGCAAGGATCACATCATTGCATGGATCCATGCAGTAGTCCAGAGGGATGGAGGTCTCGTATTTTCCTTCGCTGAGAATTTCGGCACCTCCAAAGTTGACCCAAAGAGGCACATCCTTGTATTCGTCCATCAGCTGCAGGATATCCGCCATGAGCAGGACGTCTCGCACGAGCACGCCCTTCCAATAGGCACAACCTACGGCGGCCGGGCCCCAGTTGAACCCTTTGCTGCGCTTGATCAGATTGAGCTCCTTTCTCCGGGTTCCGTCGCACGCCATCACGGCGGGGATGTTAATGCTCTCGAACTTATCCTTCAAATCGTCCATTAACAAGGTCAACGACTTGCCGGCTGAGATCTCCAGCTTGTGGTTCTCCCAGAGGAGGTGAGGCACTGGGCCGTGACTGCGCACATAGTGTAGGTAATTGGGGGTGATGAGACCTGCGTCGACGAGCTCAACCAGATCTGGCTCGCCATTCAGCGGATGCTTTCCAGTTAATCGGATCAAGTGGTCCGTCCGAGGAACCCAGTTGTCTGGGGTGAATTGATCGGCTTCATCGATCTCTCCCGGCACAAAGGAACTCCCCGCAGGCGATCGGCCCTTGCCGTCGTTCGATTTCAACGACTGCATATACTCTGCCTCTTGCTTTAGATACGCTAGGAGTGCTTGTTGCTCCGGGGTATACTTTGGTTTCGAGTCTTCCTCGTCGTCCTGATCTAGTCCTTCCTGACCTGATTCGGCAGGCTTCTTCTCCGAGCCGTCACTCCCACCCTCCTCCTGCTGCTGCTGCTGTTGTTGTTGTTGTTGTTGCTGCTGCTGCTGCTCCCCTCCTTTTTCTTGCTGCTTTTTCTTCTCCTTCTCCTTCTCCTGCTCTTCCATGTCTTTCTTCTTCTCGTTTATCAACCATGGCTGGTCTTCCTTGATGAACTCCTCCGTCGTATGCAGCACATATCGCCAATGCTTCGGATGCACATCCGGCCTCCTCAAATGAAAGTCCTACAAAGATAAGCCTCACTCCATTTCTAGGTACTGACATGGAAAACGGGATATGGATATGCTCACCTCCTGCTGTTGCAAAAAGTCCCGCACAGTTAGCAGTTCCCCCCTCTTGGCCTTGGCTCGCAGCTCCTCCGCCCGTCTCTCGGCCTCCTTCTCGAGCTCATAGCGCCAGTCGTCTCCCTCGTGCGTCAGACCCGGGAAGCGATCATCGCGGTTGCGCACACCGACCCGGTGACTGTGCGATTGCGTCCAGTCCGGCTCGTTCAGGACTTCAAGGTCGGTTGCGCCGGTGGGTTTGGGCATGTTTGGTTGACTACTCCGGGCACCAATTACTTATAATTTCCTGGATGGCTGGGAATAGTGATTGTCAGTCTACGAGTTACAATGTATTTAATGATCTGGCTTCCGCGGAGATGTGTTGTATGGGGAATTCCCCATGAGAAGCGGATGACATCACGCAGGACAATAGAGTTCTGGAGTCCGATACTGCGGTTCCAATGGGCTGGTGGATGGGATTCCATGACACAACGAAATGCATTTTAGTGTCCCTGTTATGCGGGATAGCTTGGAGGGATGGTGTTTAAGACTGGGCCAAGCCTTACTACCTCCCCGCTGGAACGAACTAAAGCTGCGGGAATCAAGGCACAGAAGCAGATGGTCTACACTAAAGGAAACTAATTCCGCTGATGTCATTTAACTGGGAAATGCTTGATTAATTTCCATTCATCCCACGGCCCTAGTAAACACCGAAGAAACACCCCCTAGACTGGCGACCCCAGTCAGCACCAACCACAGAAATTCCAGGCTGGCTGCACAGGTGCTCCTGAACCGATCTTCCGGGATGCGGGCCCAAGCAGCTGTCCTCGTCGTCTGTCCCTGGGCGCTTTCAAACGACTGACCCCCTAGTTCCACCGCAACACGACCTAAAAACAGCGTCCCGCTAACAGTAACAGCAAGACACATCCCCACCGTCCGAAAAAGCGCGCACATCAGCAGCGCACTCGTCGGGTTAACGCTTCTCTCCTCCTGCTCGCCATAATCCCTTGGCACGGGCGCCGGCCGAAGACACTTTTTGAATCCCGCCATAAGACAGCCGTGCCCTGTGCCTGTCGCGACGAGGACAAGGATCCATCCTGCGGTTGGAGTGGTCGCGTCCAGAGTTACGAGACACCCCGTGCACAGGATGAGAAGCATCCATCCGACGCGGACCAGCCAGAAACAGTGTTGCCGGTTGTCGAGGACTGCGAGCTTCTCTGTTAAAGTTAGGGTGAGGAGGGCGAGGGCTAGTATCGAGGCGAGGCTGGCGGCGGTTAACGGGAGGGGGAGCACTCGGACGAAGATGAAGTATATGGTTAGGTTCTGTAAGTGGTAGAAGAGCTATGCAATTGCAATTAGCGATGGGTTAGTTCGGAGATGGGAGACTAACCGTGAACCCGTGCAGGAAGCTGCCGGCGTACATCATCAGCACGGGGAGAGTGCGGAAATCGTTCCTGTGGAAGAATGGCCGAAAGGCCCAGTTCGTTTCGTTTACGGCTAGCACGAGGATCGAGGATATCCCGATAGCGAGGGGTGTCAGAACCCGCCAGTCGCTCCAGGGGTAGCTTGTTCCGCCCCAGCTGATTCCTATAAGCAGCGAGCAGAGGCCCAGGAGAGTCAGCACGCCGCCTAGCCAGTCCATCTTTAACAATGTCCGCGAGGAGATCCCCCTGTGGCCGCGCAGCTCAATGGCAAAGGGGATGACGAGCATGCCGAGCGCACAGAAGAAGAAGCTTGAGTAGAAGGCGCCGCGCCAGGCGATGTACTCGTATAACAAGCTGCCTATGACTAAGCCGAGGATGGCGCCCGCCAGGCGGACCCGGGAGACATAGTTTGAGAAGCGTATGAGGTGTTTGTCGGGGATGTTCTCGGCCAGGCAGAGCAGCGAAACGGATACCACGCCCCCTCCGCCGAGTCCTTGTATGAATCGGCCGGCGACGAGGTCGGATAATTGCAGGGAGCCACCGCATACTCCTGTCCCGACTGTTGAGAGGACCGCTGCCGCGACCAGAAGAGGGCCGTGTCCGATGACCTCGGCGAGTATCGAAAAGAAGATCTGTCCCGTGGCGCTGGCGAGAAGATAGCATGAGTTGAGCCATAGGGTGCTGCTGAGGGGTTCTCCAAACGTGAGTGATAAGCCCTGGCCATCGTTTAGAGGGGAGTCACTGGGTTGTCTTGGAGCCCTTACCGGGATGAATGGTATGACCATTGTCGCATCAAATGCGACCAGCATCGTCAAGATCGATATACAGATCAGAACGAGCCACTCCTTGACTCGGGGCCGCCATTCTCTACTCCCTGGGTTTGCCACCGCCACAGACAGCTCGACCGTGTCAGTATAGGAAAACGTATCGTCATCGTAGCTGTGGAATGCGGTGCCAGACTTGAAGTGGTCTCTGGTGGTGTCCGCAGTGTAGTCTGTGTCAATGGATTCTACACCCATTTGGTGTGGTTGCGCAGGTCAAGACATAGATGGCGCCGGTGTCAGTAGACAAGTGTTCTGGAGAATGATGAGAGAACTGTCCGAGGGGAATACAGTCGAAAGGCAGATTTATCAACGACACAATCGAAAAAGACCCGGTTTCCTCATGGTGGCTTACTGCAAAATCATGATTAATTCTCCGCAAGGGATGCACTGATGATAGACCCTCGACATGGAAAGTCGTGCGCACTGATGCTCACATGGTGGAGTCAGGAGTATCTATGCCAGGAATAGAGCAGGCAGGAGTTGAAACTGGTGTCCAGGTTGAGCCCTTGATTCAAGCTCCAGTGGAGTCGTCGTCCGCATACTCTCCTGCATTCCTGATGCGTCATGCCATTGAGTGTTCAACCACGCACGACTTGTCGATTGGCGCACTGATCGTGCAAGGAGTTCCTAGATGACCTAATGATCTTGTTTAACTCGAGTCTGGAATGTAGGAGGCTCAATGTTCGCTGTTTCAAAGCATCCGTGCAACTGCCAAGTTCAGTCGCTACTGCAGTTGGTATTGTTGGAGTCACAACGTCCTGTTGATCAAGAGCATGAACGATGAGCTTTTCGGTCGCGGATTTAATGAGGAAATTGACTTTCCATTCTCACTTTGCACCTATGAGGGGGTTAGGAAAGCAGCTGGAAAAGATAGCTAGCACAACAGAGAACGAGATGGGCTTTTCGGCTACCCTATCCGCAATCAAGACATATATCCAAGAAATTGCGATACACGACATTCGTGTTCTATGAATAACTATGTACAGTCAATGACGAACAAGTCGAGAATTGATAACCTCAAATAAGTATAAACAAAATGGTAATCTCTTCAATCGAACTTCTCGCGAGATGGTGGTCTCGAGAGACGCGATTGATCTAGAGACGACTTCGTGCTATGTGCTGTGCTGACAGCATGGAAGGAAAAGTCAAGCTCTCCCACGAGAGCCTTCACATTTCTATCAAACTTGTGTTAGCATGTTATCGACATGGATGATGGCCGACTCACCTCATCAATCTCTCTACATCTCCAACAATGCATCTGGTCGAGATCTGCAGTACGGAAAACGTGGCGAATCCCGGCTCTGCGATGTGCTTGATGCTGAGAATGTCTTTGTCGAGCGCTTCTAATCTCCTTGTGAAACTGTACGGTCGAGGAGTCTTCAGGTAAGGCGGCAGAGGCTGTCGGTTCGTAATACTCGCAGAGAGCAGGCACAGAACCGAGGTCACCTCGTGAGTCGTGACGCGCGCACTGGACACCAGTCTTTTGAAGTCGTGAAGCCAGTCCGAATTCGATGCGTGGGGGTTATCGCCTATCTGCAAGAGAGTGTCCGAGGCATAGCCTAGCAAACTCAGATAATTTACGATACTATCGAGTGTTAGTGGTGACGCACTGGCAAAGAAAGTGAGATGGGGCTGTACTTCTCAATCGATGTTATGATAGCCTGGTACCGCTTCTTGGGAAACCGACCTCCGATGGGTACCTCCCATTTCAGAAACTCCGACGATGTGCGCAAGCCATTTAACATCAACATCTGCTTAGAAAACACTTTGCCTCGCGCTTTTTGCAACCTTCGCCCTGCTGACGTTTTCAAAGCCAGATCACCTTCGTCATCCCGCAAACGCGCAGACACGGACTCGTGGATAATAGAATAATAATTCGCCAGTAGATAAAGCGAAGCTCCAAGGCTCTGGCGAAGAACTCCATGCTCGGAGATTGGGAATGGGAAAAACGTCCAGAAAAATGCCACCGCGATACCTGCGGCCACGATGGCCAGACGATATGGAGCAAGAAGATAAATCGGATAATAGGCCTGGCCGTTAGAGGTCGCAACCTGTTGCCCAACCTTGCGCACCTGAAGTTCATAGCCGATGATCATGGAAGTGGTGATGATGACGATAATCCCGACGACTCGAAAGCGGAAAAGCTTGATAGGGACATAAAACCCACAGGCGACAAAGAGCCAGAAGAAGACAATGATGCCGGGTGTCTTTTCGTCTGGAACATACCAGGCCAAAAGACTGAGAACCATGGCTATCACCGTGCCAATCAGACGAAGTACAAAGCCGAAAATGCTCTGTCCCGCGGTCGGTGACATGCTGATGTTGACCATGATCATGGCCCAGACCAGACGTTGATGGATGAAGAAGGTCTGAGTCTGATGAAGTAGGCCAATCACGTAGATAGTCATAGTAGCGCAAGCCACTCGAAATCCGTAAGCTGACTCTGATGAACGCAGCAGCCAGGGTATTACCCTGATTTTGTCACCGATCTTCTGAATGGCGGTTTCAGGGGGCAAATGCTCAGGATCCTTCCTGTGCCTGTACGCTTCACCAAGCTGAAGAATATGGCTCTGCGTGTGGATATCGCCCAAGTGATCGTCTTCATGAGTATCCTCCGCCTGAAGTATACTGCGTAACCACTTCAGTAAGCGTTTAGCACCAGGAATGATCAGACGTGATCTTGACAGCTTTCCGCTTTTGACTTTCTCATCGGCGAAATGAATAAAATCTAGTACTGTATGGCCTGTCGAGTAGAGTAGTTGTTCCATCTAATTTAAGGTGTTAACACGGAAATGCGAGCAAGTTGCCTTGGCACCTACATAAAGAAAAAGATAGAGCTGTCGACGGCTCCTATCGCGACCGACCCCGGATTTGTCTAGTAGGAATTCGTCCAGATCGGGCAAGTCAGAAGAAGGACGCTCAAAGAAGTCCGGAGGTAAGGTGATGCCCTTCTCCTCACTCCAGGTCCTCAGAGCGAGTCGTTTTGCCACCTTGAAGTCGCTGAGCTTTCGCTCATAATAAGCCGCGAACCCTGCTTCTCCTGGGGACGGGGGTTTCTCTGCGGATGCTTCCAGATCCGCGGCCCCCTCCCTCGGAGCATTTTTCTTTCCGAGAGAGGTTTTGGGTGGTTTTGTCAGTTGCAACGATAAAGAAATGTGTTCTAGGCCGCTATCGATAGTCTCGATAATGGAGGCAAAAGGGTCATGCACAGCCTTCATGATTTCGTTCCATTCGTGTACAACACGACTGCGGATGGTGGTCGCCATGTCCGCTGCGAGTGGGTCAATAGGCTCGTTCCATTTGTTATAATCCGACAGACGCTGGAAAATGTCTACGATGAAGCTGAGACCGACAACTGGAATCATCACCTGGCGTAAATGTCTGAAGATGGTTTGGAGATCGTCAGGACCGAGCTTTCCAATGGCGAACTCGCGCTTCGCGAAGGTCAGGTCCGCGTGCAGTTTGCCATGAAGGTCCGTAATCTTCTGGACCGCAGTTCGAATAGCTTCTGCTTCTGGGCTATAAACCTTGCCCTTCTTGGAAAATTTCTCGACTGTCTCGTCATATGTCTCGGCCCGGCCAAACATGTCATCGCGCTCCAGACTCTCAAAGTACTTTGTATGAGCCTTGAGACCTGCGCGAAGACCTCCGATATAGCTTGCCATCTCTTTGAATACAATGTGTCTTGAGGTCACAGGAAAGAGAAAGAGGGAGACACCCGTGCAGATTCCCAAACCGATCAAACATGCCTCGAGCAAGGTCCTCACCAAAGCAATACCAGCGGCCATGGTTGGGAGCCGAGGGGCATATGACGAGGTGATATTGGCAATTATGGCATAGATGATCACCGGAAACTGGAACTGTTGATAGTGGGCGCGAAACGAGTGCACCAGGTATATCTGGAAAAACAGCAGCACACCACTCACGGCGGAGGCGGATGAATTGTACTCGTTGGCTGTAGGATCCGTACTCGATATAGAGGCCGCATCCGCAGCAGACTGTGTGTTCTGTCGTGCTTTAACACTGCAGAACATCATAAGCAGAGCAAAGGCCGTTGCGACGCAGACCGCCAGCAAGTCCAGGAGCATCATCTGGATGAATTTGGCCCGTGGCATGATGGCGAATCCGAGAACAGAGATGATTGCTATGAGATAACCTGTAGTGGGGAACCGTGCCGCAATTGAATCGGCTTGATACCTGTTCGTTGTTAGAGCGGTGTAATGTGAGGAACTGAGGGCATCTTACATGGCTATGGCAATAGCAGGTGGTAGAGCACCCCTAATATCTTGTGAGTTTTCAACAGGTAGAGTCAGTTGTCATTACTCACTTCATCATCAAGATCACCGTTCGTCGATCCAGGTCCAACCTGGACCATCCATTCTTGATCATGCGGAAAAGGTTCCATTTCTCCTGCTGTTTCTTGTTGCCTGGCTCATCATTCTGCGAGTACTGCGACGAACTTGTCGACTGGCGCGAACTGACTCTCGACGCCATGGTAGGGTCAAGAGTTCAGTGGCACCCCGCGTTTGTCAATCCGTGGACTGTCAGTCGAGGTCTCACTCTCCCAGTAGACTGGGGCGGATCATCGGCATGTCCAAGTGATCAACGGATACGTCTCCCGACGCTGGTCAATATACGCGGGACGAGCTGAGGTCAATCCGTGAGTAACAATTACACGACTCTTGCAGAGATCCTTCTGAAAGTGACAGGACGTGGATTAAGGTTTTGGTTAGAACTCGGAGCGGGAAATGCAACATCCCCAGCCTTAGATAGTGGGCCGTGTAGCTTCACAAATGCCTCGGATCTGCGGTCCTGCAGAGAATCGCTTGGCTTTGTCAGAACCTTCTTTTTTTTTCGATTTAGACGGCGATCAATATCATAGTACTTTGTCACATAGATCACTGATGATTGAGAGACATGACCTTTGATTATTAGATAGATGTTGGTCAGTGGTTGATGGTAGCATCCAGGCAATGATGCAAGGAACAAATACTGCTCTGTGGGTCGGCACTCGTGGCTTAGTAGTTTCTCTCCCTGAAAAGTGGAAACAGATGATGTTATCATCCTATATCTCTGTTTGAAGTCCTTATTTAGATCATCTTCTTCTGTAATGATGAATTGGGACTGCAGTTTAGACTTCTCTTCAGCCTTATCGAGGAGAATTCTCCGATCGGAGAATGTAAGCAGCATTAAGCAAGGGAACTCGTGAGAGACAACTGGCAACCACGAGGTCTGTCATCAAAACGATCTCGAGACTTTTATCGGAATGTGAATGTGAATATCAATTATTTATTGAGACCACTATGATGCTCACATTCTCCTGAATGCATACTATCTCGAGATTCTATTACCAATGAAGATGCTCTAAATCCAACAGAAAATGCAGCCAATCAATTGGCGTCTCTTTCATTAACCCCTTAATTTTGATCTTCAGAGTTCAGAGACAGCAAGCGGCTATCGCGTATCTCCATCACCATGACAGTCTTCGATCTGAATAACCCCATGAAAGAATCAGTCAACGTCTCGGTCATGTCTACAGACGGGGAGAAACCTCCCCCGCAATTGTGTCAGGATGCTTCGCATCTCCCCTTTGCGGCAGTCCCAAAGCGGAAGCCCGTCCCTATCGGGGTGGACGAGCCAGCAGCCATTGCGACGAAAGAACCTGGCGCGCATCTCCCCACCAAAGCTGCTTGGTGGTGGAACTTGAACAGGAATTGGCAACAGTTCTCGAGAAAGAAGCGCATGGTTATCACCGCAATTGCAGTCGCGGTCGTCTGTCTCCTTGCGCTGGTCATCGGCCTTGCTGTGGGATTGACCAGGGGAAAAGGGTGAGTAGTTTTGCGCGAGTGTCGCATATCACTCGCATTCTATCTCTTCAGGTGTATCAACTGACCAAGGCTAAGCCACTCAAATCTTCCTCTTCCCACCTCTCATGGTGGTCCCTATTCAGGAGATTTGACCTACTACAACCCCGGCCTCGGCTCCTGCGGCATCACCAGCACAGACTCGGACATGATCTGTGCCGTCTCGCATGTTCTGTTTGATGCTGCTTCCACGGGCTCGAATCCGAATGCGAATCCGCTGTGTGGGCTCAAATTGAGGCTTCATCGGGGTGAATCGAGCGCTGATGTCAAGATTGTTGATCGATGTATGTCTTTGTCGCTGCCATATCTAATCCCTTCTTAGCTATGCAATACTATGTGGGCGATCTGCTGACATGATCCAGGCGTCGGATGTAAAGCAAAAGACTTGGACGTTTCGCCCGCTGTATTTCAGAAACTTGCTGATATGGATCTTGGTCGGGTCACCGTCGAGTGGTCGTGGCTGGAAGACTCCCCTGTTGCTTCATTACCGTCATGAGAGATGAGCATTTCGGCTTTTTTTACCCTTTTTCTTCGTTGCTCTACTTTTGATATACCCATTACGACGGCTGTACATAACTGTCTTTTTATTCACATTATTGATCTATTGCTTCTACTCAGTATTCTGGCCAGTCAGGATCAATTTGTTCACGCCACGCGCGTAGCCCTCCTTGTATATCACCGACGTATCTCTGTCCACCCCGATCAAGACCCAGCTCTTTCAACCTCCGAACTGCGATCTGCGAGTCATTCCCGTGACGACACACAACATATATCGGATTCGTCGAGTCGGCAGAGGCTAGTTCTCTCGGAAGCCAGGATGGTAGCGAAGGTTGCGCATTGGCGTCTGCGTTCGCAGCATTTGACGCTGACGACAAAATGGTCGAGATGGGGATGTTGACGCTGTGTTCCAAATTACAAATATCGAATTGGACCTTCTCTCTCACGTCGATGATCGTGGGCTCCTTGCTTATGCTGCCTCCGTCTTGTGGCACCTCCTTCGGATGCCTCTTTCTGAGCTCAAGGGGCGAAATACGTTCCTCCGGCGAAAGTGTCGCTTCCAGGCCTGCAACACCACAAAAGAAGACATAATCAGTAGATCCTATTTTGAGCGTCTCTAGCGTCACGCTGGCATCGGCAGAGCACACCGCGCAATTCGCACGCCGAGCGCGGAGTCTAATAGTTCGAAACGGAGGCGTCGAGTATGCGGAGAATATAAGCAGAGATGGAGGTGATGCGCTCGGATTCACAGCCGGAGAAGTGATGACCTTGATTGCCTCCAGTGCTTGAAGAACCCCCATTGTGCCTACAACCGGGCCCAGAATCCCGCCGTCAGCACAGCTGACAACGCTGTTCGCCGGTGGCGGTTTCGGAAACACGCATCGATAGCATGGTCCTCCGCTCTTGTCTCCGACCGGCCGAGGAGGGTAGTTCAACACCATGAGCTGTCCTTCCGTCCGCAATGCGGAAGCAGAGACCAGAGGCTTCCCAAGCAGCACCGCTGTATCCGAGATCAAATACCGCGTTGCGGGATTGTCCGTGCAATCAAGAATGATATCGTAGTCTTTGAAAATACTCGGAGCTTCTTGAGGCGTGAGGTGTGCTCTATATGGTACGTATGTAGGGTGGGGGTTCAGCCTGAGACGCGGGAAGCGACTAGTCAGTACCCGAACACGTTCGATGGGGGTCGTCATGAACTGACTCTCGGAGATATTCGATCGCGCTGTCTACTTTGAACTTTCCAACATTCTTGCTCCTATGCAGAACTTGCCGGTGCAGGTTCGAGTTTTCCACAGTGTCTCCGTCGACCAGGCCCAAGGTGCCCACACCCGCTCCAGCAAGGTACAGCGCTGCAGGACATCCCAGTCCACCTGCTCCGACAATGAGGACTCGTGCGGAGCGAAGTTTCAATTGGCCTATTCAAGTGACCAGAAGATTAGCAACGTCATAGTCACCAAGCCGACGCAGAGGATTGTTGTTTTCTTGGAGTAGCTCAATGCACATACCTTGCAATCCAACTTGGGGTACAATCATTTGTCTTCCATACCGTTTGTATTCCTCGCTGAGCAGCGGCCACGTCCTTGTCCCGTTGATTCTCCCTTCGTCTGCAGTGATTGTTATCGTGGTATCTTGAGCCTTGACGTCGGCGGCTGCTTGCTCAGCTATTTCGAGCTCGCGTTTCAGACCTGCAAGCTGGGCCTCGGTGGCAGCGATTTGAGCGCGTAAGGACGCGCATGTCTGCTCTAGATTCTCCATAAAAAGCCAATAATTAATGTATAGAAATAACACTTCAAACTCCGGCGCTTTTCCGGCGTCTTTGAAGTCTTGACTTGGCGCATCAAATTAAAACCCCGCGAGAGGAGCTAATCTTATCGTGCCGACCGAGAATTACGCTATTCCTTTCTGGGTATTCTCCAACATCTCCAGTGCACGTGCCCTGCAGCATCTATGATGTCTATTGTTCATAATCATGGATTTTGTCCATTGTTCTTTGCATTGTCCTTTTCAATGGTCTGAATCTACCGATATTCCTTTTTGCGATAACTCTCTATTAATTACGGATGAATATACTCTGTTCCTGGCTGAAAACTAATTACAACAACATGCTCAGGTCACTTCTCGGTTCGATATATCTTTGCAGCTTCTTCCTCACCAGCGTCCGCTGTTCGAATGCATAGGCCATGCCTATCAAGCTCTCCTCGCTCCATCTGGGTCCAAGAAAGCTGATTCCAAAGGGGATGCCAGGCGCCTTTTCAACCAAGTTGCCCCGTTCATTGTACTCAATGGGTGTTCCCGCAGGGAAAGAACCAAGAGGGACTGTGACCGCTGGTGCCCCGATGATTGCCGGTATCTCGTAAGCGAGAGCTGTTGGAAGAATGACGGCGTCAAGCTTGTGGCGGGACAAAGCACCTGTCAACCCTCCCTCTTCTCCGTAGTACAGGCTCTGCAAGTGCAATGGCCAGAACTCTGGCGAAGTGTTGTTGATACCGCTAGCAAGCGCGAGATGCCAGATGCCTGTGTCACGAGATGGATAGTCTTCCAGTGGCGACTGCTGAGTGAAGCGCCGAATATCTTCCAGATTGTGAAGATTGTTCGGGTTGGTCTTCAATTTCGAGAGATATGATGCGATATCGCTTATGAAATCGGCAGCCACAACAGCCTGTGGGATCGAAGTGTTGAGGTACTCGTCGTAGCCTGTGAAGTCCGCATCCTCAACGATTGTCGCGCCTGCTTTGGAAATCACGGAGACAGCGGCCTCAAAGGCAGACACTATCGGCTCACTTGACGCGTCCAACGTGTTGATGACGTTACGGGGTATACCGATTCGTTTCCCTTTCAACCCGGACAACTTGCAAGCGGCGACGTAATTCGGGAGGTGACTGCCAAATGGAGACGCCAGGGTATAGTTGTCATGTTTGTCTGGACCCGCAATTGCTTGAAGAATAATTGCTGCGTCTTTGACAGTCCTGGCCATCGGTCCGATCGTATCCTGGCGCTGGCTTATGGGAATGACCATATACCGAGAGGTAAGACCGACGGTGGGCTTTATGCCCACAATATTGTTATTCTCACTCGGAGATAGAATGCTTCCACTTGTCTGATCAATCCACGGAGTTAGCACACAATAGCATAGGAACTATGTGAATGAAAGTCATTTACCTCGGTACCTAGGGCTGCAAGAGCAAGGCCCAAATCAGCTGCGACACCGCTGCCGCTTGAACTACCGCTGGGATCCTGCTTTGGGTAGTAAGCTGCATATGTCTGGCCTCCCTGGGCGTTCCAGCCGGAGGATCCATTCAGTGACCTGAAGTTCGCCCACTCTGACAGGCTGGTCTTGCCGAGGATGATGACGCCTGCTTGTCTGAGCTTCTTTGCAACAGTTGAATCCGCAGCCACCTTGGCGCCAACAAGCGCATAAGAGCCGGCTGGGTAATCTTAGTCAGTTTTGAGTTGGGGTGTCACCGCATACAAGCTTACCAGCTGTTTCCATCTTGTCCTCGGTGCCGATGTTGCCTTTGACAAGGATGGGAAGACCGTGCAAAGGTCTGCCAGCTGTCAGTGAACAGTTTTCTCATGAAGATCCTAACTTCTGTATGTCTCACCCTCGTACCAGTCCATATTTTCTCTCCAAGTCAAGCTGCCGAGCTATGTCCCATGCGTCGGGATTGACCTCGAGGACCATATGAAGTGTCGAGTTGACCTCATGTATCCGCGTCACATACGCCTACCCCCCTATTATTATCAATGTTTGTTTATGGGAGAGGGGATGCACCAACATTGACCAGGTCGACACTGGAGAAGCAGCCTTTAGTGAGCCCCTCCTGGAGCTCAGCCGTCGTTGCTTCAATCAGGGAGGGGAATACACATTGACGAGCTGTTGCACCATTCGGCGAACTTTTAGAACTTGATGCAGTGGTTGCAACATACAAAAAGGGCACCAGAAACCATTTGCTCCAATGTAACATGGTTGTTGGAATATAGGCTAGCACAACCCCGAATGCTGCGATGGACAATACTGCTGCGATCAGGAACACATTTCCTTTCCGCTTACTTATATATTCTGTGGAGATCATCTTCCAGGTTGGGCCGACTGCCGAGTCAGGCAGACAACAGGGGCTATGTATCGCTCGTCCTACTGCAAGGGGTGTAAGTGCGTATGCTGTCGCTGAGTCAGAATGTCACACCCATTGGATGCGGCAATTCAGAATCCAACCGCAGTCATAACAAGTTTCAATCTCTGACGAGACACCTCAAAGAACCAAGGCTCTCCAGGAACGTGATGTTTGTCCTGTTTTGAAATATGCGACATTCCCTGGTTCCGGGCAATTATTAAATCGAACTTTTGAAAGACCGTTCTCTTCTGCACAAATACTAGCGCCCACGCCTTTCATGCAGCCGAGTGACAATCCAGCTTCCTATTGCATGGGTATGGTAACGGCTCAAAAGAATCAACCAATACTGTGTAATTCGACACAAGTCCAAACTACGTCCCTGGAAGAAAGAAACTGGCAATCAGTCGCCCTGACTCACAGATTGTATACACATTAGGCCCAGCTAGGAAGGTGGTATATGACCCCGCTCCATGATAAGACCATCTTCATGGAACTTTCTGTCTCGGCCGACTACTGCGTTCGCGAGATTGCTCTGAGTCATGAGTTAGATCTTGTCTTTCTTCGCCTGGCTTGCAGCTTCGCGTAATCTCGGTTACGACAAACTGAAAGCCACTGACGCGTGGCTCCGAGACCAACGCCGTATACACGAAGTCTGTTGGGGACAGCATATGCGCTTGAGCAACAGAAACGTGCAGAGGTCATCTTATCTCGCCAATATAGTTCAATGGACAGGTTCCTAGCCCGAATAGCCGATGACGACTATGGTGAATGGAAGCCTGGGATCGCGGATGCGTGGCTAAGACAGCCCAAATGAGACATCATGGTCGCCATGCAGGCAGCAACGCCAACAAGACTTGGCGTCAGCCACCCAGTGAACAAGAAAATCTCTGTGGCGACAACCTTGGCTGTTCCATAGACGCGAAGCCGAGAGGGATGAACTGTCCCACTCTGGCATTGATGACTGAGGAGCATATAACCGATTGAGTTTGTGCTGCTGAGCTGCTACCAGGACAAGAGCACAGCTGCGAAGAGTAAGCGATTCCGGCTACTCTTTTGCAGGAATTCTTTCCGGGTCAACCTCTTGGTGTTCTGATCTCAGCTGTCTGTTTTCTACTTCCTCGTGGGTCGCGCCTTTGTTTCGGATGTAAACTAGGTACTGGGGGTCTTCCTCATAGTTACCCTTGCTCGTCAGCCAGCGAGGTGATTCTTCGAGGAAGAAGAGTCCGGTAAAGATCAGTCCATCGGAGATGAGCTGAATAGCGACCAGGCCACCCCATTGCCTGTACTGGTCGGGATGGGCAGAGAAACCCCGTAGTCAAGGCAGTATGCGAACGTCTTTCCGATCCACCGGAAATTCCCGAAAGAGACCCGCAACAGGCCATATGGGATTTCTATCCACCCGAGCCTGTTGCTTTCTCTGCACGATGCCGCTAACAGCTATGAACTATAGAAGAAGCGATCGAAAGGATGCCTGTTTTGCAGGAGTACCGGCTAAGCATTCATCATGATGTTACGGGTGTCCTATATTCAAGCTTACATCTCGGCTATTAGCCCTAAGCCAGGTAGGTCCCTATCTGGCTGGCAACTGCGCCATCAGAACGATACCAGCAAGCAATGTCTGGCCATTCATTCCAAACGACAACGATCTTGACATCCCCATGTAGAATAGCAGAGGAAACACTACCACTAATCCCCGCTAGTCCAACTCGTGAACCCGAGGACCTTCACAGAACCCCCCAAAGCCTTGGTAGCAAAATTGAATATCGCAAAGCGATAACCCATAAAATATTGCCAGCCACTATCAGAAGTAAATGCACCACCAAGCTGGGAATACGTGCTCCCGTCAACACTATAATAGAACGTCGACTGCTTCGGACCGTCCGCACGCGCATCCATCCGAATCTGGAGATAGATCTGGCGTGTTGAAATAGGTACACTCCCGACGACGCTTCCGGTACTCGTCGTAGCCCAGTTATTGCTGGCATCTTGCGTGAGTCCTTGGACAGCAGTCACGGTGTAGCTGTTACCGCTGCGGACGATCCCAATCCAGGCACTTTGATCCTTGAAGACGGCCAGCCCGCATTGATCGCCATCGGCCATGTTGGTGAAGTCAAGCAGGAGCGTTCCAACAGGAAACTGGCCATGGGGTCGATGAGTGAGGGTGTTTCTCGCGTGGTACAGGTCGTTGGTGACGGTTGCTGTTTGCAGCGTCAGGCCGGGAGAGTTAAAGGAGAATTTGCTCGTGTCGGGGTTATGGTTCCACTCCCACATTGGGCCCAGCGAGGTACCCCAGAACTGGTCGCCGCCGATCCACGACGGCACACTGTTGTTCTTGGGAAGAGGGTACGGGTAGGACTCGCCCCAGGCGTTGTTCACTGTCTGGAGGCTGGGGAAGCCGTCGGACCCCCATGTCACCGGGGCGAGGACCGGCAGTCGGCCGAGGGGATAGGCCCACGCAAACGACATAAAGTACCACTGCCCGTTGGGCGTCTCGATGAGACTGCCTTGGACGGGTGGTCCCGAGCCAGGAACTGGAGAGGGGGTGTTATTGCTGAGGATCTTCCGTTCATAAGGTCCGAACGGGCTGGAGGCTTTCCAGACCTCGGTGATTCCGTTCGCGGGGCAGTCATCGAGGATGTAATACAACCCGTTAACCTTGTACATGCGATTTCCCTCGATTCCCCCCGGGCACTCGGGCGGGTAGCTGAATACCTGCTGCGTCCTGACGACGCTCAGCCCGTCCGGAGCGAGTTGCGCCACGGAGACGTTATTACTCCCGTAGGCCACGTACATTGTATCGTCGTCGTCAATCAAGAGTCCGCAGTCGTAGAAGCAGGGTTGGAAACTAGCGGATCGCTGCCAGGGGCCCTTGACGTCCGGGGCTGTGTAGACGTAAGTAGTCCAGAAGTTGATGCAGCCGATCCAGTACCATTTGTCGTTGCTCTTGCGGTGGCGTAAGGTGGAAGCCCAGGTTCCGCCGTTGTAGGCTGCCTGGCCGTTTTCCATGTTGTAGTTGGAGCCAAAGTCCAGAGTTGGCACGGAATGGCCGATGAGCTCCCAGTTTACCAGGTCGGTAGACTGGAGGATTGGGGCGCCGGGGGAGTAGTGGAAATTGGAGCTGGACCAGTAGAATGTCTTTCCATCAGGGCCAAGGAAGATGTCATTGTCAGGAAAATCTTCATAGATGACGGGATTGGTGAATGTCTGTTGAGTTTGGGCTATCAGCCCAAGCCCTAGAAACAAACCAGCACTCAAGCACAACATGACAAGAACAATGCAGAGGTTTTATTTTGACAATCTCAGGGTACTGCAGAAGTGCGGGTTTATAACCGTGTCACCCTGGTAATAGCCTAATTCATCAGGAGTGATACGAGGATTATTAGCCAAAAGACTTTCCCCGCTTCTTCTTGATGAGGATGGGGAGATTGATAGCTGGGTGTTGATTGAAGGAATAATAATCTGCAGTTCAATCTGGCTTGGTAAATGCCTATTTGTCAGATATCCTGGCCAAGCTTTCTGTCACCGGCAATTGACCAGAATGCAGAGTAATGTCTAGTAGTCAGGGAGCTCAGGGGGAAAAGCTTGATGAACTCAAGGGTACACAGATACACTGCCCATAGCATTATGAAAGCAGAAATGCCAGCAAGTGTTTTTGACCGGCAGTAGGGATTGTTTTACCGCAGGTCTAGTTCTGATACAGTCCTAGAGTGGGCGTTGTGGTACTTAAGTTAATATTGAACATATTGTTTTAACGGGTGGTAGTAGACGAAGCCCTAATCTAAACTTGAGAACATATATCACGTAACTCAAATCACTCCAGTAATCTCTTCTTCCTCAGGATCTCCCTAACTGTCTCCTCCAGATCCTCCTTCGGAAGGCCCAGGACGCCATTCCACTTCTCTGCTTGCTCTCCAAATCCCAAGAATCCCCATGGCCCATATGCCACCGCCGTCACCACCTCCGGATATCCATGCTCATAGTCTCCCTCCTCGAGATGATCCACTCCCCTCTGCGCAATCTCCTCCGTCGTCAAATGCTTCACCTCGAACTTCGTCCCTGACAACCGCTCAATCAACCCCAGGAGCTGATTCTGCGTCACCTCAAACGACTTCACATACACATACGCATTCCTCGTCTCCTCCTCATGTCGAAGGACGGAGATGATCGCCCTCGTCACCTGCCCAAGCGTACTCACGACAAACGGCCGATTGCCAGAATCGAAGAGACTGACTTTGCGCGCAGATAGATCCCAGCCCATTGCTGCGTTTCCCAACTCGAGTAGCTGTATTAGTTGTCAACGTCAGCGTCCGTTTTAGTGCGGAAACAGGAAGACATACCCAATTGATGAACGAACCCGTGCAGATCGCCGTCCACGTTATCCCCTCCTTTGAATCCAGATACTCGACGATCTCCCGCTTGGCCTGCGGGAATCGGGCAAAGCTGACGGCCTCCGGCTGCGACGTGTCGCCTCCGTACTCGCTTGGGATGAACCGCTTGACACTAGGCACGGCAGCAGCGGCGTCGATGGCTGTGCGCTGGATGGCGGCGTCGAAGGTCCCCACGGCTGAGATGATGGCGTCCTGGCCCTGGAAGGCGGCAGTGAGGGCTGCGAGGTCATCGTAGTTGGCGCGGTGAACGGCCACAGACGCTGGGAAGGTAGCCTTTGATGAGGGACGGAGGACCACGGAGACGGTGAAGTTGGAGGCGAGCAGAGCATCGACCAGGAGGGTCCCGACGGCTCCGGATGCCTGATAGTGGATTCGTTAGTATGGTCGTGATAGAACATATGCTACGGCGGAAACGTGGACGATACCCCGAGAACAGCGACGTTCTGGATAGGAGACATGTCACTATATAGCTAACGGAACTTATGCGCTTTGGCTTTAGTTAAGAAACCGTTGCCAGGAGGTTATCTTTATAGTTTGCTGTCTTCGAAGTATAAGTATATTCTATATAGTTCGAGGTACGATGCTGACAAATTGTCTCGTATTCGAGCCCATTAAGAATATAGAGCAGCTTTCCGGACATTTCGAAAATGAGTCTTCAAGATCAGTAACTTATGGCCTGTAGATCATCCAGAGATGTCTGTCTTCTTCAACGTTTCTAAATTGGCAGTGGAAGATTCCAGATGTCCAGAATATACGTACCTCCGCCTAAGCTTCATCAGCTTAATGCAGGGCTTTTACTAGTTCGACTACATAAAAGCTAAACCAATATTCTTATTTAAAATACCTGAGCCTAATCCTTTGGCCGGATTTTGGAACATCACAGACATCATGTCAAATAAACGTCAAGAAAAGACTGTCGTCTGCAGCAATCTGGTAACACCTTTGAGCTACGTCTGCCTACACACATGCAGCGAGACAATTACAAATATGACTGACTCCAACTATTATCTGCATACTCCTTCCGCAGAATTTTAACGAGTATGCAAATCCAGAATTTCTCACCCTCGGCTCTGAGACGAAGAGCATGTCCTAATCCGGTGCCCGACAATCTGATCCTTGCAGAAATCCTGATGCCTGGAATGGTCCAGTCAGATCTTGACTCATCACGAGTACCCATCTCGGCACTTCTTTGGTTCATATTTGACTTTCTCGACTCGGTTTTTCTGCAAATTCTTAGAGTGAATCGTCGGTCTCACGCCAATGTCTCTGCCGACCCTCATCCCCTCCGTAGGGGCGTCAGCGATCCTGCTCCTATCAATCCCTCATGTTCGTCAGCTTGCCACGGATTGTGGAAGCAAGAAAGCATACAGATTAATCAAATCGAGCAACAACGATGAGTCTATTACCAGCGGCAAGTCGCCACAATCAGTCTGGCAGCGCGCCACTCTAGTTGTGGTGGCAGTAGCAGCCACCATTGCGGCACTCTGGTCATGCTTTAGCATACAACCAGTGCTTGCGTCAAATGTCCTTCATTTCGCGACGTGGGTAAGAGGCGCCGCTCCTGAGCGCTTTCGAGCTCTAGAGATGACGATATTTGCAGCTCATGATCCTAGTCCAAGAATTAGTCCTCATAAGCCGTCAAAATCCAGAAGCCAGGTATCGCCTAGGCTACTACAGCGCCTTGGCTAGTCTGGCCATAGGCATCTGTCTGGCCTGGCCATATGCTTCGTCGTTGCACAGCAAACCTGACTTCAAATTGACTTCCCGAGATGCATCGAGCATTGTTCAACTGGTCGCCGCGCTCGTTCTTGTCTTCGTGAACCTCGCCTTCCCAAGAGGACCTACACTCTACCGCAACGGCCGTCCAGTCGATTCACAGAAATCTGTCTCGTTCCTAAACCGATACACCTTCTCCTGGGCGTATAGAACCCTTTCCATCGCGGCAAAGAATAAACGACTCAACATTGATGACCTCCCAGTCATTGGAGACGAAGTTCGTGCAAAGACGCTCTCCGACTCCTTCTTTGCAGTCAGCTCAGCCTCAGCGCGATGGAGGAGGTGGCTTAAGCTGTACTGGGCAGAGATCACCTTTCAGGTAATCTTGCAGCTCGTCGCCAATGCTGTCAACTTCCTCCCTCACTTCCTCCTCCTTACCATCCTTCGCCTCTTTGAGGACCGTGATGCGGGAGCAAGCAACCAGTTGCAACTATGGTTGGCTGCCCTAGGTCTTGGGCTATCGATGGTGGTCACCTCATGGTCCATATCCCTGAGAGACTTTGTAGCTGATATGAAGCTTTCTCTGCCGATCAATGAACAGCTGCTCGCGGTCATTTCCAAGAAAGCCATGAGCTTGAAGGATGTAGTGATCTCCGCCGACGATAGCGAGGATGAGGATGCTGCGAGCGACGATGATGATGGTGACGATGACGATGCTACACCCAGGACAAAACATTCTGTCCTCAATCTCCTCGGCGTAGACGTGGAAAGAGTCTCCGAGTTCGTCGCCTACAGCCATCTGCTCCTCGACTGCGTACTTGAACTTGGCATCGCCATCGCCTTCCTCGTATACCTGATGGGATGGAAACCCATAGCGGCTGGCTGCGCTATTCCCGTTCTTCTGATACCTTTCTACTATCATTTAACGAATCGGTACAGCGAACAGGAACAAGCCCTCATGGACCGCCGGGACGACAAATCCGCGACTCTGACGGTCTTGATGCGCGGCATGCGGCAGATCAAGTTCAGCGCGCTCGAAACCCAATGGTACGACAAGATCCTGGGGTTACGCGAAAAAGAGCTGCGTAACCAGTACACTGTCTTCCAACTCGACGTCTACCTAACGGCCATCTGGACGCTAGGCCCGCTGTGCATGAGCTGTCTCTCAATCGCGACACATATCTACCTGAATGGCTCAATTGCCGTCTCAGTTGCGTTTACCGCGCTGTCGCTCTTTGAAAATCTACAGAGCGTACTCAGTATGTTCCCGGAGATGTTTACCGATCTACTAGATGCCAGGGTCAGCCTTCGGAGAATCGAGGGCTTCCTGGATCTGGAAGAACACGAGGACAAGAGGGTGCGGGGTGACGCTATCTCATTTCGCGACGCAACCATTGCATGGCCGTCAGCTACGTCAGAAGACGCAACAGGGCAGTTCCAGCTCACGGGTCTCAATCTGGACCTTCCTCCACGTGAGCTCACAGTTATTTCCGGACGGAGCGGTGCTGGCAAGTCACTACTCCTTCAAGCACTCATTGGCGAAGCAGACATCGTAAAGGGGACTGCGATCGTCCCTCACTCATCAGCCGCCAACCGGCCAGCCGGCGAGGAAAACTGGATAGTGGATGGTCTGGTTGCCTATGTCTCCCAGGATCCGTGGATCGAGAACGCAACGATCCGTGATGCTGTCTTGTTCGGGCTGCCGTTCAACCCAGAGCGATATGAGAAGGTCATTCACGCCTGCGCGCTCTCGCATGATCTTCAGTCGTTTCCCGACGGAGATAGAACGGATATTGGTGCTAACGGGATCAATCTGAGCGGGGGGCAGAAGTGGCGGCTAGCGTTGGCGAGGGCGCTGTATAGTCGCGCGAGTACTCTCGTTTTGGATGATATCTTTAGTGCGGTTGATTCTCATGTTGGGCGGCATCTATATGACCATGCTTTGACTGGCGCTCTTGCGAAAGAGAGAACTAGGGTCTTGGCCACTCACCATGTTCGATTGTGTCTGGGAGGGGCTGCGTACCTGGTGACGCTGGAGAATGGCAGCGTTGTGCAAGCAGGGCATCCATCTAGTCTCGTCCAAGACGAAACTCCCGAGCAAAGACTCGATGACAGCACATCAGACCCGTCGGATAGCAAACCTACGCCATTGAAGCTTGTTCAGCGAACAAACGCTACTCCGCGTTCAGATGCCCAGCCCAAAAAGTACTACGACGAGGAGAAGCGAGAGCGTGGCGTGGTCAGAGCAGAGGTGTACAAGGCTTATATGAAAGCCTCCGGGGGCTACTCTCGCTGGATTCTCGTCGTCGTCCTTTGTATCTTAACGCTGATACTGAACCTGGCAGCTCCTTACTGGGTTTCGGTTTGGACCCGAGCATACAATGAAAGTCCTCCGCGGTCGATCCTCACACAGTCTGGCGATCATCCAGATTTCAGGACTGGTGGGCTGCATCTGGACCATCGCCTTGTTTACTATAGCTCGATTTACTTCGCCTTGGCATTTGCATCGTGGATCCTGGACATCATCAGAATCCAGATGATCCTGCGCGGCTCCATTAAAGCTTCCAAGGTGATGTTCGAACAGTTCACCAAGACCATCCTCAGGGCCCCTCTCCGTTTCCTCGATATGACACCGGTTGGGCAGATCCTGAACCGGTTCACGTCGGATTTCGGTACCTTCGACTCGGACCTTGCTCTGGATCTCTCGTATCTCCTGCATAGCGGGATCATGATCCTCGGGGTCATTGTCGCGGCTTCGGTCACTTCTCCTCTCATCGTCGGACTTGGCCTGCTGACTCTCTTGGCGTCATGGGCAGTCGCATTCTTCTATGTAACCGGTGCCCGCGAGGCAAAACGGCTAGAAAGTACCGCTCGATCGCCCATCTTCGAGCTGGTCGGGTCTCTTCTGGCTGGGCTACCTACCATCCGTGCATTCGGCAGGGAGAACGCGTACCTGAACCGAATGTACGATCTGATTGATATACACTGCCAGGCACTCTGGCACAAGCGGTTATTCTCCTGCTGGATGTCGTTTTGGATGAGCATGGTCGGAGCAATTGTACTCCCCCTTCCCCCCTCACACCACTGCTAGTGCTAACTATCCAGTTTGTCGCCTCCGTGACCATGACCTTCGTCACCATCCGCACCCTCGACGCCCCCCTCGCCGGATTCGCCCTCAGCTTTGCCCTCGAACTCTCCGACCACATCTCCTGGCTCCTCTCGCAGTACGCCAAACTCGAACTCGACGCCAACGCCGCCGAGCGCATAGTCGAGTACACGCAGCTCGACCAGGAACCCCAATCCGGCATCCCCGTACCAGCATACTGGCCCAGCAACGGTGAAATACAGGTTACCGATCTCTGCGTGGCCTACGGGCCAGACCTCCCACCTGTCCTGCAGGGCCTCACCTTCACCCTGCGCCCCGGCGAGCGAGTCGGGATCGTGGGTCGAACAGGCGCAGGCAAATCCTCGCTCTCCCTGGCGCTCCTCCGCTGCCTGGACGCGCGGTCCGGGTCCATCCGCATCGACGGGATCGATATCGCGCAGGTGCGACTACACGATCTCCGCTCGCGCGTGGGCATCATCCCGCAGGACCCGGTTGTGTTTGCCGGTACGGTGCGCGAGGTTCTGGATCCGTTTGGCCAGCATGATGATAGCGAGTTGCTAGACGCTCTAACTGAAGTTGGGCTGCTCCGGTCCGAAGACGGTTCTTCAGGACTTTGCAATGGCGGATTCTCCCTCGATGCAACTATAATAGAAGGAGGACGAAACCTCTCGCAGGGCCAAAAGCAACTACTCTGTCTTGCGCGTGCGCTGGTCTCGCGGCCGAAGATCCTGATCATGGACGAGGCGACAGCGTCAATCGATATGGAGTCGGATATTCGGATCCAGCGCACGCTGCGGCAGGTGGTTCGTGGGTGTACGTTGCTGGTTATTGCGCATCGACTGTCGACGATTGCGGACTTTGATAGGATTATTGTTCTGGATGGCGGGAGGGTGGTGGAGATGGGGCCACCGGGGGAGCTGGTGATGATTGAGAATGGGGTTTTCCGGGGGTTAGTGGAGGAGAGTGGTGAGAGGACGGTGATTGAGAGGATGATCCGTGGCAATACTATAGAACTATGACTGAGTTGGCTACATCATCGATGAGCACTGGCGGAGACTATTTACAACCATGTGGCATGTGGATTTCAGTCAGTGGTAGTTTGGATGGCCAGGGCATCATACAAACTATGACTGTGCGAATTGCTCAAAGATATGAAAACTGATACAATATCAAATACAAACAGTTGACCATGAGGTAAAAATAAAAACAAAAAAAAAGCCGAACGCGGGGGTCGAACCCGCAACCTTGAGATTAAGAGTCTCACGCTCTACCGATTGAGCTAGCCCGGCGAGCTGATATCTGCGGTTACTTTTAGAGCTTTATCAGGTAATATTTACTGCACAACCAATCAGTGTGGCTTGCCTAGCATGTGGGCGGATCATTTGCTCTGGGCACAGCTTAGTGCTTAGTCTAAGGTACGGAGTTGCCCATTTTCTGGACACCCGCATGTGCTCATCCAGCCTTGTGACTGGATTGGCTGATGCTTATATCCATGGTTGAGTCGCCCATGTGTCAGATCAGGGGTAATCAAGATAATGAAGAAATGCTGCATTCTTTGCAGTCATTTCAAGTATGAGCAAATGAGCACTGTTATATTGATCAGATGCACTATTGAGGAATGTATAATGTGATTGGTCATCTATTGATTGCCAAATAATAGTCAAGAATTCACGTCGATCCCTTACTTCTGGTCTATCTATTTTCTGGTCTAGTTTAGGGACTCCCGATGGAGACAAAAAGGAGTCTAAATCCTGCAGCTAGTCAGGCTAGTGCTTACCACTCTTTGCCTGTGTTGTCGCATGTGTCAAGTCCTCATGCCTCCACTGGTCGCCTAACAAGTCTTTTCTTTGGATGTCCACCATCCGTCCATTCATTCATTGCTTACTGTTGTAGCAGTTAATCCCTGTAGCGGTTTACTCCGCCAGCAATTGAGGGGAACCCAGTCACTCGTTTGTCTTGCTTATATGTTTAGAACCGTGATCCATGGTCGTGTGGTAGACTATCCATTCGCTTGAGTAGACTGTTCTTAGATTTATATCAGAGACGCCAACACATGGACACAGAGGCAAGACTACATCCATCGTATTCATGAAAGGCAATACTGACTCTCCCCCCGCCAGGCCTCATCTTCGCTCACTTATCCTATCTGCAATAGTAGCCGCCTTACTAACGATGCCCTGCCTGAGCGTCCTCCTAGTCGTAACCCTGTTACATCCCGCCGTCAAAGCCACCGACCTAACATCCCACGTTAACCTCTTGTAACCTCCCCCGCCTGTCCCTGGTTTCCCCTTCTATGCTAATGCAGCCACAGCACCGGCACCCAAAATGGCGGGAACAACTTCCCCGGCGTCGCCCGCCCCTTCGGCATGGTCAAACTCGGCCCGGACCTGCTCAACCCAGGCACAGACGCCTACTCAGGCTACCTCCCCACCGGCGCCTTCTCGGGCTTCAGCATGATGCACGAGCAAGGCACCGGCGGAGCCCCCAAGTACGGCACCGTCGCGCAGTTACCGCTCGTCGGCGAGGTTCGCGACCCGCTGTCGAATAAGACGGTGGCGCGGGCCGGCGCCGACGAGGCTGAGGTCGGATACTACCGCGCGCGCACGGCGGACGGCGTGGCTGTTGAATTGGCTGCTAGCGCGCGCGCGGGCATGTATCGGTATACGTTCCCGGCGGGGAAGACGGGGAATGTGCTGGTGGATGTGTCGCATGTCCTGCCGTCGTTTCGGGGGCAGGGGCTTGGCCAGGGGTATAAGGGGGGGGATTTGAGTATTTTTGCCGATGGGCATTATGAGGGGCATGGGGTGTATGATAATGGGTGGAATCGGGCTCCGGATTGGGCTATTTACTTTTGTTAGTTGCATTTTTTGGCCTCTTGGATGCTTGCTAATGCTTGCGTCGCAGGTGGGTACTTTGATGCTGAGCCGGTCAGCAACGCGACGTATATTGGGACGGATGCGCAGGGTAGTGTCAAGCAGGAGAGCGGCTCCGCGTCTTCGACTTCGGGATCGACGCGGGTTGGAGGACTCTTCTCCTTCCAGGACGACGTGGTGACGTCTCGCGTTGGGATTTCGTGGATCTCCACGCAGAAAGCCTGCAAGCATGTCCAGGATGAAATACCCCACGGGACAGAGTTCACCTCTGTTGTTGATGCCACCAAGGCTGAATGGAACACCACCGTCTTGTCCAAGGTGACCACTACAAACAAAAACGACACCAGCCTCGAGCTGCTCTACACCTCGCTGTACTTTATGCACTTGATTCCGACGAACCAGACAGGCGAGAATCCCAGCTGGACATCCTCAGAGCCCTACTACCAGGATATCTTCACATACTGGGTACTCTTCCCTTTCCCTTACATGCAACACCAAACTGACGAAGCAGGACCTCTTCCGCTGCTCCACAGCCCTCATGCAAGTCCTCCAACCCACCGCCTACGAAGAGCAAATCCGCTCCCTGATCGACATCTGGCGGTTTGAAGGCTACCTGCCCGACGCCCGCTCCTCTAACTACAACGGCCGCACCCAGGGCGGCTCCAACGCAGACAACATCCTCGCCGACGCCTACGTCAAGGGCGTCCGCGGCTCCGTCAACTGGGAAGACGGGTACAAAGCCCTGGTGAAAGACGCCGAGGTCGCGCCCCCCAACGACCCCATCGACCCTATGGCCCCGGACTCATCAACAAAAGAAGGCCGCGGCGCGCTCCCCGACTGGTTGCGTCTGGGGTTCATCACGCCAAAGTACACCCGCGCCGTGACGCGCGCGGTCGAGTACGCCTGTAATGACTTCGGGGTGTACCAGGTTGCATCAGGACTAAAGAAGCAGGCCGACGCGGACAAGTTCCTCAACCGCTCGCGGAACTGGCGCAACCACTGGAATCCGGAGCAGACGTCGCTGGGGTTCTCGGGGTTTGTGGTCCCGCGAAGTACCTCCGGATTCCTTGAGACGGATCCCCTGGCGGACAGCGGGTACTGGGGGGATCCGTACTACGAGGCGAGCTCGTGGGCGTACTCGTGGGCGAGCGTGCATGATATGAAGGAGATGGTTGAGCGCATGGGAGGCGAGAAAACAGTTGTCGATCGGCTGAATACCATGTTTACGGAGGGGGCGAGCGGGTCCAGTGGGATGATTTTTGATCCTACGAATGAGCCGTAAGTCCTCATCTTCTGCTTCTGGTCCAAGGTAAAAAGGTTGCTGACAAGTTAGCATGTTCAACATCCCATATCTATACAATTACGTCAACCGACAGGATCTCTCCGTCGCGCAATCTCGCAAGGTCGCCAAAAAGTTCTTCAATACCGGCGTCGCAGGCCTACCTGGTAACAGCGACGCTGGGGCTATGCAGACATGGCTGCTCTGGAACATGATCGGGCTGTATCCGATTACAGGGCAGACGACGTTCCTCATCCACTCGCCGTGGTTTGAGTCTCTGGCTATCGATCTAGGGCGTGGGAAGCAGCTGCGCGTCACGGCAACCGGGGGTGACGGCAACGGTGACAGCAAAATTTATGTGCAAAGTCTCAAGGTTAATGGGAAACAGTGGCGGAAGAACTGGCTGACATGGGGTGATGTCTTTGAGAATGGAGGGACGCTCGAGTTTGAGCTGGGGGAGAGCCCGAGTGACTGGTTCACGGGTGAGCTTCCTCCCAGCCCTGCGTCGTAACCTGCAGGCCGGGTGAGTACATTTTTATGGTCATAAATAGATATTGTGGCAGGAACAATAAGATAGGATGGCTGTAGCGGCTCCCAAAAAAAATGGTAAGAGTGGGGTTCGAACCCACGCGACTTTCGTCAAGTGAATTTGAGCAGACCGTACAGCTTATGTAAAAGTGCTGTACAGCACTAGAGCACTTAAGTCACTCGCCTTAACCACTCGGCCATCTTACCTCCTTAGTTTTTAGAGATATTAGATTCGTTTCATCCGATTTTCCGCTGTTAAATAACCATCTCCGCAGATAGCCAGCCAGCAGGAATCTCGCGATTGAAGAGCTTTCATATTAGAGCGACCCAAGGACACATCCTCATCTGGTCCTCATCAGAGTCAGACTCAATCCCTGTGTCAGACACGAAGTCTGTAACAATGTCGCTGCTGCCTCGCTACCAGCCGCCCATGCGTGATATACTCAACACCGGCCGACCCGGCTAGAATTCGCTGCCAAGAGAACCGTCGCAGCAAGTTCGAGGAACGGTGGGTTAAGCAGTGGAAGATTGGCCAAGGCCCGGCAATGAGTGACTCGAAGAGGAAGACAAAGGACGACCATACTCTCTGGCAAAGTAATCAGCCGGCGAGGTTTTGCTTGATAACTGGTAGATTGGCGTAGACGTCCTGTATATTTGAGAATGGAACAAAAAGGATGGCTGTCAGTAGCCATGAGGCTGACTAGAGGAAAGAGAAGAAGAATAAAGAGAGGAAGAAGTAGAAAGAGAGGAAGAGGCAGAAAGAGAGGAAGGGGGCTGGATCGGCAAGCAGTGAATAGCGAAAGGGAGGGAGGGTGAGCATGCATTCACTTCACTGCTTGATTCGGAAATCTCCGGATCTCAACAAATCAGTGAAGGCTGAGGCGGTGCACCCGCTAAATTCATTGAAGTGGATGAAAGAGGATTGTCTGTGGCCATGTGACTGGATCTGCTCATTCTGAGAAAGATTCACTGGACTCGTGAGGTTTCTTTGTCCGCCTTGTTAGATAGATGTATGGCCTCGTCTAAAGCACAGTCCTCTTCCCATATCTTTAGACCCAAGCTGCAAAGCCAAGCAAATGCAGTATGGCCTTCTGCGGCGAGCAAGAAGATTGTCGCAAATAGGGTCCCTTCCAAAGGGAATCCGCATCTTCCCGGACAAGCAAAGAGGACGAGGCAAAACAGGTTTGTCAAACATTTCCTGCTCAGCGTCTTTGATGACCTGCAACAAAGGACTAACGGCCAGAAAGAAGAAACATTCCATTATAAATACTCTCTGATACCCTGCGGAGACCAAGAGCAGAAGCATGGCCGCATACGGAATACACTGTTCCAGGCAAGCGGACTGCGACCTCTGTTACAAGGGGACGACGTTAGGAAGGTAGGCCGGAGTCATATCCGTCTCCCATTATTGAAGATAGCTAAATGCTTCTAGGACGGGGAAAGGGCACATATACAGTGCCGTTTCCCCCTCCAAAGGAGAAGAAACGCGGTTTCGTAACAGCACTGTCTATGTGCAACGACGCTTTGACGTCCCTAGCCCAAAACGTGCGGAACTGTCGCAGCCGTCCTTGGCCAGATACCATCTCGTCCACTTCCTGGGCGCTCATACCAGTATGCTCTCTAGGAAGTCTAGAATAAATGATCCGTGTTGCGAAGGAGAACCCTGTACCGCACTTTTGACCGATAACACCTTCGCCTCTGCCGCTTCGACGTATTCTCCGGCAGGGGAACCAGCCTGGCTTTATTCTTCTCTGGCCGTTGACAAACGCTATCTGATGCAAGACGGACTTCTGTGAACAATTTTCAATGTCCATTATGACGGAACGGCGGGGCTATGTACATGTAGGTCTAAGCCAGGAGGCAATGTCCAATTTACTGACATATACAGGACAAAGAGACAGACATTAAGATACTTGGTCAACATGCCACTGAGTCAATCTTCTTCCACGAGTTTCCCGGATGGGAGTCACTAAACTGGCTTCCATCACCGTCAAAACGGATTACTCTACAGCCATTGCCCATAACTTAAAAAGCAAAGATTTTGAGATTGTGCTTGCTGCAGGGCGGTCACCTGCAACGACGTTTCAGATGGAGACAGCAACCACTTCGGTGAGTGTTTCCCTGTTGACCCGGTGCTTTTCGTCGTCATTGTCAACGTATACGTAGACTGATGAGGTCGCTGTCACTTCGGTGACCGAGGACAAAGAGTCTTCGCGGGCGACTGGGCGAATGACTCTCCCGAGGATAACGAGGAGAATGATTCATGCCTTCTATGCGCTGCCGTGTCCCCCGAGGCACCGTATTGCCAGGCATTCAAGATGCCCCGTCCTGTTGTGAACTACCATACCGATCTGTCCTGCCTTCTTCAGAGGTTTGGGCTCACTCGTCGCCCTTCTCTCGCTTCGACCAACAGCCTCTCCGTTGGTCAAGCCATGCTGCTTCGCACCCTGCTCGTCACTCCGATGAACCGTACCCTCGCACGATTGCCGCATCTCCGTTACAACCCAGTTGGAAATCTTTGCTGTTATCGACCAGCTAAAGCGCCGCATCCACGAATCCAATGCCATTGCTCTGTTTGCTGCCTTTGGTCTGACTCATAATGCGAACATGACTCATCTTGCTGCCATGGATCTGATCTCTCTGGAGACCTTCCATGATACGGGCAAGTGCGCTCTCCTGATGAATCAGTCTATGGACTCCATCAGTCGCCTGTGCAGTGATACAACCCCATGCATAGTTTCCTAATTTCAATTTACAGAAGTTTCGGATTGCCAACGTGAAACGTCTGCATTTATCCGACAATGGGCACGGCATAGTGTCATGCTGGCAACAAATTAGTGCGCTACTGCAGCTTACCTGCTGGACGCCGTCACCAACTCGCATGCGAAGGCGTTGTTTGCAGAAGTCTTTGAACGTGCAGCACATCCAGCTTTGAGCTCCTGAGGACTTGAAGGTCCGACTCGCCAGATCTTCCAACTACATTTCTCTGCTAATGCAAGGGATACATGTATCCAATGTGCATATGCGCCCGGACACTACATGCACAGCAGATTGCCTCTTATACGTCTTATCCACCTGGCTCGATATCTCCACCCGACTTCTACAATCTCAGTGATTAACATGCCAGCGCAATTGCAGCCGCTGATTCGATACCGGACCTCTGCGAGCAAAAGACTAACTAAACTAGGACGTCCTCGATGGCCAGCCAGCCTTTGCCATTGGCCTTAATATAGCAACATCTCAGAGGTTCTGCCTCGGCTCAGACGGCCCTACGTCGTTCCAGATATTATCAACGTGTTATTGCCCAGGTCATGCGAATTGCCCGTGCGACCTTTGGTCAGGAGCCAATGGTGACTGACATCCAGGTCATAGCAGGGGACCTTCAATGAAAGGCTAAGATGAATGACCTAGTGGTCATTAGGGTTTGGAACACCTCGCTATGATCTATCTATGTATACTGCACTCTTGCAGCGCCAGTCAGGGGAATCTAAAGGAGGAAGGGGGATCCACGTACCTAGAGTCCAGACTTTAAGGTTCCTGTCTTCTGTTTACAGATCGGGACTTCGTGGGTGAATGTGCGCTCATGAACGGTGGTCCTCTTCTGCGTCTCATGGAAGATGGCTTTCAGGGAGTTCGTTCAATGGCATCATGCCAGTTCTACAAGCTTGCAACGATATGGAAGATAAAATAGGGAAGTTGAAGATATTCACACACTAAATTCTGACACACTCGGGCAAACTCGGGAATATTTCACTGCGGGCCTACCGCATCGGCCAGGCTGAATACAGAAGGCCTGGATCCGTGTTCCAGGAGCACTCGATCTCCCGGTGGGTAGAATGCAACAACGTTGTGAAGACCCTCCCGCAGTTGTCAGCACAGCTACACGACCTAATCAAGCCGATGGTGCTTGCGGCATGCTGAGCGTGTACTATAATGTGTGATATAGCTCATATCGATATGAAAGAAGCTCTAGATCCTCGCGACTAGGCAGTAGTTATGCGGACATGCTACCATTTTGTTATGGTAGACGGTGAGGCCTGGTAAAGCAATGTATTCAATGAGATCTCTCTAAGATACATGATGAGGTGGAAGTACCACCAGTCACTCACGTTGTACAACATATTGCCGCCCCCGAAAAAATAACAGCGTCCTCACTGTATATCTTGCGCAGCCCATTAACATGACAGTCTAATAACATGCTAGACAGGCATGGCAACCTATTTTGCAGCTTTCTTGCCACGGAGCTGCTCAGGCTCAGCCTCAGACTGATCGCTGTCAGCTCTTGTGCGCTTTTCTGCAGTAGATGACGGTATTTTCTTGGACCATGAACCGTCATCCAGGATATAGGCACCACCCAGGAAGAATTTTAGGTCCTCAGCAACATTGATATTAGTTGGGTTGATAAAGATATGTCGTCTGCATCGGGTTTTCAAGGTACTAATTGTAGCACCATGTAGCCAGTCAACCAAGCTGTTCACTTTGAATATGGCTTCGAGAGTGGGCGGTGATGTCGGATAGACCACCTGTTGATCCCCCTTTTCATCCTTCAAAGTTACCCGAAAAGGCAAACAGGATGCTGGGTCATCCGTTCTTTCAGATATAACATACGCATTGGGATGTCTTTCTCCAGGTCGTGCAAACTCAACTTGGACTATGATTCCATCCTCGTTATCCCTGAGGTAGAAGCCCCGAATTCTGGGCCAAATAACAGAATGAACGAGTAAACAAAGGTCATATATCTGCCGCTGTTCTTTATCCCGGTGGCTGGACCACCAATGCTGCCCTTTATAAATGCACCCGTTCAGAAGGCTCGTCTGTGTCTGTATCTCGAGTTGTGTCAGTTCTCCATAAGCAGGATCATGCTGAGCTGCAATCATCTGCTTTCTGGTAGGATTACCGACACACTCGGACACTTGGAAGGCTTTAATCTGAGCCTTCCCACTCCAGCTGCACCGCAAGGTATTGTTAAAGAAAGTAATAATCTTGGTATTACTGCAAAAAGTACTTCTTCTAAGTGTGATATGGGGGTAGCAACGAAATGTACAGAAATCTGGAGGGAGGATAGATTGAGGATCTGGGGATTAAGGGAAAGCAAGAGTAGGAGTTGAGTCTCATGTGCTTGTTGTTTATATAGAGGAAGGAGCCTGTGGTGGCCGGATAATCAAGCCCATAGATGGAAGACAGTGAATCTGGCACCACTAGGTATCTTTGGCAACTATTGATCCGGTGCTTGAAACTCTCAAAGCCATGTCTCATCCATTGAGAGGAATGAAAGAAAAAGAAAAGAAAGAAAGAAGCAGGCCCCCATGAAAGCAACACCATGTTGGACTTCATGACTTCAGATTACATTTTGCTGCTGATCACGACCATCTATGTCGTTTTTATGGCATTCTTTAACAGTATATGGTCACAATGTTGCAAAAACCTGCTGGAAAGGCTACATGGTCTTAAGTGGTCAACCCGCCCGACCACAAGAGACCAGAATTTGGGCGTTCAAGCACACGCCCTTCTAGAGAACATCAACAATTCAATTCAGTTCCGTTGAACGGCTGTTTCACTATGCAGGTGCTCCACAGTCTGAAACAAGAATATGACCCGGAAACGCCGTAATTCCTCAACCCCAAGTAGAACTCGCAGAATGACACAAACATATGAAGCAACGCAAAGCCACGTACGTAGGAAACGTCGATAACGCAGCAAGATACACAACCGAACAAAAAATAAATGAGTGTCGCAACTGATCAGTGAGTTTGCCTGCGGAGTCACCATCCTCTGCTGTCGTTTCTAGTCACCCCCTGCTTCCTACCTGTGTTCCTTCGTCGGCTTGGTACGCGCGTCAGCCCGTTCGGAGGTATTCCGTGTAGACCTAAGCTTCGCCAATTGATCGGTGGAGAAACCATCGAGAGTGAGAAGCCTTCCAGAAGAATAATTTGAAGGTATCTATTCGCTAGCCATAACCACAGCAAGCCTCATTCTCCATATATCCACTCGTCCCCTGAGTTTCACCTTTTAGATGTGGAGATTACCCAGGAGGCGTAGTCCAGGTAAAGCTCCGACTTTGGAGTCGAGACAGTTTCAAACAAGTCGGCTTCATAAATGTAGTTTAGCACTCCCGAGATACTCTTCAGACCTCACATTCCTTTCGTTTTGCTTCTGAGAAGCTCTGAGCGACAATGCGTCTTCACGCCTTTACTTTGCTCTCCCTTCTAGGGCTGGTACCTAGCTTTGCTGCTGCATCACTCTCCGGCTCTGTCGGACCTCTGACCTCAGCGTCTGCAAAGGCGGCCAAGAAGACATGCAATGTGCTCGACTATGGAGCAAAAGCAGACAAGAAGACCGATCTGGGACCACCTCTCGCGGCGGCATTTGCGGCCTGTAAGTCGGGTGGACTGGTGTATATCCCCGCCGGGAACTATGCCATGTCCACCTGGGTCAAGCTGGCAAATGGTAAAGCATGGGCGCTGCAGATTGACGGAGTCATCTACCGGACCGGCACGGATGGTGGCAACATGATCATGATCGAGCATACCAGCGACTTTGAGCTCTACAGCAGTACGTCGTCGGGTGCCATGCAGGGCCTGGGATATGAATTGCACGCCGCCAACAACTGGAGTGGGCCTCGTCTACTTCGACTGTGGGATGTCTCGGACTTCTCGGTTCATGACTTGATTCTCGTCGATTCCCCCTCTTTTCACTTCTCTATCGACACTTGCTCCAATGGGGAGGTCTATAATATGGCGATCCGTGGTGGAAACCATGGTGGACTGGATGGTGTCGATGTGTGGAGCACCAACATTTGGATTCATGATGTGAGGATTGGCTTCCGTTCCCGGATACGATCAAGATACTTTGAATCACAAGGCTGATTGATCGATAGGTCGAGGTGACGAACAAGGACGAATGTGTAACGGTCAAGGTATGACTGGAACATAAATCCTCTAGTATGTTTGGTGCTAACGCAAGACTTAAGAGTCCCGCAAAAAACATCCTCGTGGAGAACATCTACTGTAACCTGAGCGGTGGTTGCGGCATGGGCTCCCTCGGGGCAGACACGGATATCAGCGACATCACCTACAAGAACATCTACACCTGGAACTCGAACCAGATGATGATGATCAAGAGCAATGGTGGCAGCGGCACTGTTTCGAATGTCGTTCTTGAAAATTTCATCGGTAAGCAGCAAGCACTTTCCTTTGTCATTCAACGTACAGGCGGGCTGACCGAGGATTCAAAACGACCATAGGTCACGGCAACGCTTACTCCTTGGACATCGACAGCTACTGGAGCAGCATGAGCGCCGTGTCAGGAGATGGTGTCGAACTGAGCAACATTACGATCAAGAATTGGAAGGGAACCGAGGCGAACGGCGCACAACGCGGGCCCATCAAGATCATCTGTCCTGACAAAGTGCCCTGTTACAACATCCTCATTGAAGACTTTGCCATGTGGACCGAGACCGGCAGCAAGCAGTGGTACTCGTGCCAAAGTGCCTATGGTTCGGGATTCTGCCTAAAGTCAGGATCTCATCACACCTCTTACGCAGTGACCACAACCACCGTCAGCAGTGCTCCGTCAGGCTATTCGGCGGCGAAGATGCCTTTAGATTTGTCGACTGATTTCGGCAGCACCCAGTCAATTCCGATCCCGACCATTCCCACATCTTTCTATCCGGGTGCAACTCCTTACAGCGCTTTGATGTCTAAGCAGTCTACCAAAGCTGCCAAGGCACGCGCGGTTGACATGAG